CGGGATGACTTAACTCTCTCTTCCAGGGCTTGCTTGTGTTGTTTTTTGAGAGGGTCATATGCCCTAAAGATGTCTTTGCAATTGGGGGCTGCGATTCTGGTGGTTGGGGGTCTTGGAGGAGAACAAACACTATTCAAAGAGACCGTGTGTAGGTTAGTAAGGCTCTGACTATCCCCGTAGCCGGTATAAGTGGACAACTTAGAAGTACAAGCCGCTAGCACATCGCATAAATAATTACTTCATATAGAAAAGACTCGATATTGAGATAAATATAGTTTCTTACTTAATAATGTAGTCTTATTAGACAACTCCATACAAGGCAATTCCTCATGTGCCGTCCTTTAAGGCCGCATATGCTGATCCCTAATGGGGTAATTCTTACAGGCCGCACATAATAATTCCTTATGGGGTAATATCCTAAAGGGACCACTCAATGAGACAATGAATAAGACAATCAACGGCACTACGACCTCTTGGAATTATGTCATGCCTGAAGCCCGATTAGGAGATTTCTCGCATAAGTAAGCCCCAAGCAAAGACATTGAAACCAGACTAGACACCGGACAGCACTACCAGAGTGGCCCAAAACTTATGGTTTGAATGAACCCCTATTGTCATTTGCTCCGAATGCAAATCGAGGCAGTCTATTGGGTGTGGCTAAGCTCACAGTAGGGTTGTCCCGTAGTCCGTTTGAATTAGCAGGTCGAAAGACCTTTGTCGCAGGATTAGCGGCGTGGCTGTCGTCTGGATAGATGGGCCGTATGGCGCAATGGTCAAATGCGCCTGGTTGTGTTCTCGTTTGTGCGGTGGGCGACGAGAACAAGTGGGTTCGAATCCTGCTATGGCCCCCTTTCTGACCCGGCTTGTGCGAGTCGATAACCAGCACATGACAGTGGAGAGGCCCCATTTTATCGCAGAGCCTGATAGCCAAGCAGCTTGTCTCCACAATACCCACTCCTGCGAGGTTTTCCCCCTTGTGGTTTCCCTCGCCAGCAGATAATAAACACCTACTCCACCCACCAATGCGACATATATCGAACGGCTATTGGAACGATATGTACACCAGAGAACTGAGGTTCACTGGGTCGCTTTGTCACTAGATAGGAGGTTTTTCTGACGGAATCGTGCTTGTGTATTGACTAAAACCACCTGAACACTCCAGATTGGTACCGTTACAGCGAGGATAGGCTTGTGCGCGGATCTGAATGTATCTAATTTAACACCTCTACAACCTTGCGATGCAATGGCTCTGGGAGGCGTGCTTTGCACTACTGAGGAGCTACCCCCCACGTTAAATACAAAACAAACAAACAACAAACAAACGTCTGGATAGATGCAATAGGCTTGTCCGAAGCCCACAATAGGGTTGTCCCGTAATCCATCTAGATCAGTAGGTCGAGGGACTTTCGTTGCAGGATCAGCGGCGTGGCTGTCGTCTGGACGGGGGCCATGGGCTTTGAGGACGACGTATAAGATTGTCCAATAAAGGCACGACATAAACATAAGCGCGGAGGCCGCCCATGATACGGCAATGAATTTCGTACCGGAAGAAGCGGATATGCCGATGCCCTCACCAAAGTGGTTGATCCTGCTGACACTCTTGTTCGAAATGAATACGGTGATTCCACTTCCAATCACGAGAAAGAGGAAAGCCAATATGGCTACCAACACCTGGACCATGATAGGTTTGCTGTATTGGGCTCTCTGTAGGCAAACCGGGAGGATGACACAAAGTAGGACCGAGACACTTGTAAGACTGCAACCAACTGCATATGCTAATAAAGCAGCGAGAAAGAAGTCGCTAAGATAGTTGACTACCTGATGAGTGCCGGATAGCAGAAGAGAGTCGATATCCAGGCCGTTCGGGATAGTCTTGATGTCGCAAAAGAATATATCTGTAAGGTTGAATGTGTTACCTCCGACGCATCGAATGCAGCTAGTAACATTAAGAGCGCTCGATGGAGAAAAAGTGCCTTTGCAATAGCTATTCAAGTGCAATGAATACCACTGTGAGATATTGAAAAGCCTGGTAATCGTATCCACAGGTTCATTGAATATGCCATCAAGGAACCTGATAAGTTGTCGCTTAAGTTGTCAAGAACGTTGTCTAAGTAGCTGTCGTCCTGGTCGGTTTCATCTTTAGGTGTGTTAAGAGAGAAGGCATGTCCAAAGAAGGACGCGTTCAGCTGCACGACATTAGTACCAGAGTATTTGATGTCATGCTCAAAGCCCGATTGAGAGATGAGAGGATAACTGACAGCGAGGATATGGTACTCTTCAAGTTGCTGCTGCAAGGAACCGGCGCCCGCAGTGAGCACGGTAATCACAAGCCCAAAAGCAACCAGGGAGCAGAGGAAAGGGAACATCAGCCCGGCCAGGCGAAGCAATGAGACGCTCATTTTGACTTACCCAGGTAGCGGAAGGGACTGCCGGTAGTACTTATGAACAACAAACAGTAGCTTTAAATATCAAACGGTTACATGTAACAGTTTGGCAGAAGCGGTATTCAGGTAAACAAGATACTGGTTGTTGGAATCATGATCCCAATTACGCGATTCTACAAAGGGGTGTTCGAGCAAGACAACTGTTGGATAACAGGGGTCATGAAGATAAGCCGAGTCCGACCGGAAAAACCACGGTACGGCGGAGATGACCAGCACCAAAACTGGGAACCGATCAGGGGCACCTGAACAGACAGAACAGATACAACACACTACATGCAATACACCAAGAATCACCCTCCAATCACTGAACTCGCTTGAATCTAACAACAACGATGCTACCAATGAACCAAACACAGCCCAATTGGTTGGGGTCATAATGCTGTTGGTTGCACAGATAAGCGAAATAGGGCTGTGAAAGGGGGGTGTAGATAGTACTAGGTTTAAAAGCGGCAAGACGCTTATTAATCAATGACCTAGACAGGTAAAAGTAGAGAATTATTATTTCTCTATTATCTAATCCGGCTATTATCCTATTTTGTAGCTGACAATTTATTTGACAGGCGCAGCTACTACTATGTACCACCACCTGCTACGTTACCTACCGTGCCATCGCACTATTTCTTGCAACGGCATGGCAATATCTTTAGCGGCGGCGCGACAACGTCTCTCATAACGGCAGCGTCTCTCTCGCGGTGGCAGTATCTCTCACGGTAGCAGCATTTCTCTCGCGACAGTAACATTTCTCGCGGCGGCACGGCATCTTGTGGAAGCACGGTAGCAGCATCTCCTTTCGCTGAAGCATACTCTCGCAGCAGTATCTAGCATCTCTTACGGCATCAACAATTCTTTTGCGGCAGCATCTCTCGCAGTAACAGCATCTCTTGCGGCAGCATTTCGTATATGATGCGCTCTTAATACGTGATAGATGTAGTATATCTTGTTTACTTAATTGATTTGCAATCTCCTAACAAACCTAACGTTGACTGCATACCCCTACTGTGAGAGGTTAGAAAATCGGATAATAGCCGGATTGGATAATAGCGAAATAACAATTCTTTAAAAGTAAAGCAACACCTTAGCAAAGATAAGGCCACTATGTACCACACTGACCAAGACCACGCTCAGAGAAGTCGAATGCATTGCATATAAAGACATTGGATTGTTGCTATCGCATATGGGCAAGTCAATGCCGTATGTGAAAGCTATTAACGCAAATTGGCAACACCATGTCGTAGTAGTGGTCAATTGCCCTAGGTGGTAGTGGAGGATTAATGTGACGATTGTGGGGCACTACGCTCACAAAAGGCTGTCAAATCCATTGCACGCGAATCCGTTGCACACAAATTTATTGCATGCGACGACGAAGGGAGGACATTGGATTGAAGCTATTCCATATGTGTGGTCAGTCGAATTGAATGTCGTACCAATGGTAAGAAGCCTTCACCGTATTAGCACGACGGGCAGTGGTTGTTGTGGGGGCAAAGTCGGTGGGGGTCAGGTACATTGAAACTTTGAAAGGGTACATTGGCCGTTGGTGGCTGTGGCTGGTTGACGGAAATCTATTAGCCGGAACGCAAAGTGGATCAGCGGGGGGTGGTTACTGCATGCAGAAGTGCTGGAAGTCGAATTATAATTAACTTTTATTTATATGTTTTCGGTATTTATCTTGCTTTCTAATATTTATAGCTTTTTTGATACTTATAAATATAATAATACGTTTAAAAAAAGATAGTATGATATTTTAAAGTTATAAAATTCATAGATTAATAATAATAAATTATTACATTTAAAAATTCATATTCAATATTATGATGATAATAGAATAATAATAATAATACAAAATAAGCTATTAAATACCTTTAGTAGTTATATTCATTAAAGCATTAGCTTAAGGTATTTATAATATATTTATAAGGCTATAAACTTTAGCTTTTGAATATTTTAAATAAAAACTATTTATTAGGCTTATTTAGTCATTTTAAGGGATTATTAGGTTATATAATGAGGGCTTTTTCTCTAAGTGATTAATCTATTTCTTCTCCTTTTATTATAAACCACTTTTAAATCTGAGAACAACCCCACAGCCCCACGGGTCAATCTCTATATATATCTGTTCCTGTCTTTTAGCTAGCTTTATAGTTTCTTTTCCTCTTTATGTATATTAATAAAGTCATACCTGGAGTCTCTAGCAGTCGGACTGTGACACATAGCCATCGCAACAGCATCACTGCACCAAAAAGCCTGTTTGAGATTAGCCGAGCAGCGAACATTGCCTATTTGGCCAGTAACACCCATAACGCACATCACCCGTTCGATTGATGAATCAATGACTTAGGGCGTAGTGTGTGAAACCATCTGGGATATTGCACTCGGATATCAAGTTCCCCTACGTTGATGCTCCCTGTCAAAGACGAGGGCACAGACTACCCAATTCGAGAGCATGCCTTGGACTATCAACGGAATCCGCACATTTCTATACAAAACCATGTTCCTAGTCTTTGGAGAGGAGGTTGAGTTCAACGAGATTCTGACCATTGGAAATTTCCACATATGAGCATGGGTCGGCACCAGGATAGTGAGGAGAGCGTTGTGGGCGCCGTGATTGCTTCCCTGCCACTTGGAGGCGACGCGATGATGGAATTCGACATCGCTAATGAGTTTCTGACTGGTTGGGGCAGGAAGGGCTACACTACTGAGCTCATTCCGGGCTGCCTCAAAGAGGCGGAAAAGAAGAAGCTCTTGGATTCAAGGGCTTCGGAGGAACTGACAGAGGAAGACTTCACAGCCCAATGGCGCGATTTAGTCAACAGCTGCAGGGCTCCTAGAGATCACAAAAGCATAGTCGAATTCCCCATCCCGGGCACTGAAAGGATCATGATACAACAAGGGAAGAAATTGAATCAGCATTATATCCATGTGGTAGAGAGCAAAGGGTTTGCAAGATTCATCAGCACGGGCAGGAATTTGAGAAGCAAAATCAGCGAGACGCCTCTGTTACCACAAAAGCGTAAGACTGCTGCCAATCAGGGCACATGATGTTCACGTTCAACCCTGGTAACGGACAGTGAGCTCGTCGACGTCGTCTCGAACCAGGCTGTGCTCGAGACGGCTGCTTCTATAACCATGATGGTCTTGATCCGAACCTCTACATTGACGCGAAACATTACACATATCTCCCACCTCGAAAAACTATCTCCTTACTTGAAAGCTACTGATGGGCCGCTGCTCATCTTGCCATGAACTCGCAATCCCATTTCTCCTCATACAAGAAGGCGTCAGTTTCCCCGTCAGCGCTCGAGATCTAACGACAGCCATCGCTCGCACTTAAAAGCACCTTCACCTCATCTTTCTCGCAGATTCCAGACCAGGAACCACTGCTAGTACCTTGCATAGGGAGACGCTGCCCGCTTAATGGACACAAGACCGAAAAGAAGGCCTGCGATGTTCATCTCATCGTTGGTCGCAGTGGATCGGCTTCGTTCCAGTCAATATCTGCTCAAAGCAGCATCCAGGTAGTGCACCAATGGAATCAGCGACTCATTGAGCGTACGAATCTAGCATCGCCACATCATCCAGTTCATCCCTCTCGGGCTCAGCTTCCAGTATCGCGACCTCAAGTGATGTGACTTCCTCAAGCTCCAGCAGCTCCAGCATTGCTATAAGCTTTAGCGTTTTTACAACCAGTACAAGCTCCAGCGTTGAATTCAGTTCTATTCTTGCCTCCTTTCTGAGTTCAATTCCCTCTTCTCCGAGTTCCATAACTTCGACAAGCACCAATACTTGTACGCAGCCAAGCTCGTCTACCGCAGCCAAAACATGCGATGGGCTGCCTAACCCGACAATAGTGCTTGGTGAAGTCTGTGGGGGAACCAGAATTTACGATGACAACGTCGTCCAGATTGTGTTGCCGTTTGCCATCGGAGCATTCGGGCGATACGAGACAACGTGTTCTTCAGCGTCAATGGAATCATTACCCTCGGCAACCCTCCTGGGCCTCCGAATAATCAGTTTCCACTTCCCAATGAATACCTTCCGCCTCTGACGATCCTAGGCTATTACTACGACCTTTACCTCGACAGAGGAAGCCAAAGGCTACAATACCAGATCACCGGCAATGTTGGCACGCGACAGGTTACCTTCGAATGGTTCGTGTCGGCATTCCAGCACCTCTCCCGGTACTACCATTTCTCACTTACCTTTTCCGAGGCGGCTCCTGGCGACATTCTCGCTCTTTACTGCGAGATTGTTGAGGACGGCGGTGCCGGCGGCGCTTACGGGACGGTCGGGGTGCAGAACACCATGGTAAACAAGTTTTTGCAGTACGAAGACCGCACTGCTGGCACTGTCACGAATGGCACGAGCGTCAGGTACGTTACGGTGAACAATGTCTTGACGGCGGATCACTTTGACTCCTCGAAGACCACCTAGTCGACGGGCCGAACGCGTTCTTTACAACAGATGGGACAGCGGCAGGACAACCCCAGTTAAGCCTCGCCACTACTTCTGCATGTTGATAAGTTAGCCAATGTCGCTCTTAGGTCTGCGTATTGGGTCGTGGACTAGATTGATTTTCTTGCAATACCTAACCTTTCATGATCCCATTAAAGTGAACGTCGTCTCACCTGTATGGTTCTCATTTCAGTTTTTGACCCTTCCCTTCTCCGTAGTAACAACGCTTCCTTGCGAGGTTATTCCCAACAATCTTGAACTTCCTGGGCTCCGAAGGTAGCTCATCGCAACTGAACTAATCACATCTTGCAAGGCAGGTCAGACAAATCAATACGAAGAAAACGCCAAGGTTACCATGGAATATTACGCTCTTAACACTGCTCTTTGAAGGGAAGGAATGAGATGCACTTCCCTCCATGTTACTATGTGAGAACTCCATCCCTTCGAAGTTCGAACTGGTGAAACATCCCCCGCGTATACACAGCCGACAGGCTCCCATCACGCAGTCTAAGCCATCATCCTGTGAATTCCCAGTACTTGGGCCGGACATGGCTATATGAAGGGTAGGACCTGACTCAGCGCTGTTAGGGGTGGTGGCTGGTAGTGCGAGTCTCTGGAGTGTTTCCGAGCCGTTGTGGACCAGCGGCTGGTCGGGGGTAAATTACCACAGCTGCTCCTATGTACGAATAATAGAACAGCCGGTCTGCTTGCTTGCTTGCACGCTTCGACAGCATAGCCCAGACTGATATGATGGCCTTCAGCTGTATCGTCATAATATTATTCTGCTTGATGTTGGCTTCCTAGATTGCCTATCTGTGCTGTCTCGGAGGTGACTCGTACAGCCGAGCTCGGCGCCGAGGCCGTAGCCGAGTCCACGTGACCACGTCTTCTAGAAACAATCGGTATTCCGAGGCCATCCTTGCCACTCTGACGAGTCCCGGGCATCGCGTCCGCTATGGGGCAGCAAGCAAGCACCGCAGCCCTCGGCGATAACGAGGAGAGCAGGGAGTCGAATAGGCATAGGGGGTGGATGGCGTGGATTGCAGAATATATATATATATATATATATATTCCAAGATGTCAACGGCCTTGAGGTTTGAATTCATACCAATTCGGTGGTACAGGTAGGATCACCGAGCGCAAACATTCATTCGTCTTCAAACGTATTATTGCAGTGGAGCATCCATTACACACATTTACACTCGATCGCGGAAGCCGCTACATCATAATGGCAAGTCTCAACGCCGACGCCATGCTTCCACGAGCCGAGCATCTCGTCCGGTCGCAACCGCTCAGAGGCGCTCTCGCCGTCGCTGGCGGCACCGCACTCTTGGCCTTTCTCAACTTCGCATACCAAGACTACCGCGCCTACGTCGCCCTGGGCCCTCACGGCCTCCCGGACACCTTCCGCGGATGGTGTACCCAACTGCAGATGGTCCTCATTTCCCGCCCGGAAAAGGAAACGACGGTTCCGGCACCGTGGAGCATGGCCGACATGGTGAGGGCCTACGGCACCAACGCCGCGCGATCCTTCCTGACCCGGCCCCTGAGCCCGCGGTCCGGTTCTCGCCCCCAGCTCTGCAAGTACGTCGCGCCTCAGCGGCAGATGAACGACCGCGCGTCGCAGACGATGAAGGAGGACATGTTCGCCTACCTGCGCACGCTGGCCGAAGTGAACCCGGCGGTCCTCCAGGTCGGCAACTCTTTCCTCGAGGGCCCTGTGCCTGGGGCCCTGCAGCTGCGGCAGGATGTCGATATCCCCGATTTCCTGACGAAGACCAAGGGGGAGATCGCCCATATCCACCCGCCGGACGGCTCGACGCATCTTGAGCTGAGCCCGGCCGATTCGAAGACGGTCATCGAGCTGGGTTGGGGCCAGCGACATCGACTGAGTGGACCTTACATACCATGGGGATATACGCTGGTGTATGCGCCGAAGGACAGGCGCGAGATGGAGGAGTGGAAGAATGTGGTCGGTGCCGCGGCGAGGTACTGTGCGGCTGAGCTCGAGGCTGTTCAGGATCCCAAGGAGACTTGACCTGCATGATGAATTTCGTGTTGGGCAACTGGGTAGTGCGCTTGGATGATGAGACCGAGGGCTATTGGTAGTTCCGTCATGAGGGCGACGTTAAGGTTGGGCCGAGCCTAGTGTATGTGTAGGTATATGTCAGTCTGTGCTTTGGCCTGTCGGTTTCTACCTGGTTTGTTGAGTAATTGGTCCCCGTTGACAACTTGGTAAAGGCGAAAGCCAGAAGACAGCGCAAGGATACAAAGAGCAGCACTTACAGTTGAACGGCGTCCTTTGTACTTGTCATTTCCTTCTAGAGATTCCTTTGAAGAGTGTCATCGCGGATAAAGGTCAGCCCAGGAGCTTAACCTCATTGGTCATCGCCACACAACCATTGAGATCAGAGGTTTTGATCGCTAGATAAGACAAAAGCTATTGTTTCTTGGGCAACCCGGCAGCAGGAAAACCCATTCGATAAAAAGTTCTCGATATCCCAATTTTGAAGTCAGTCCGACGAAAACCATCTCGTCTTGAACTCTCCCGCCGTTGACGCCTCGATACCCAGCTCATCCATAGCCCGCTCTGGAACAACCACCTCTCGACCAACTTACCTTACACCCCCCCAGCCCGCTTTCACAATGCATCCCACCCAGCTGACCAGCATCCTGGCAATGCTAGCCTCACTCTCCACCGCCCACGTAATCCTCGAGAGCCCCAAACCCTACAAGTTCGTCGCCTACGGGCCCAGCAACCCCCTCTCACCCGACGGCTCCGACTTCCCATGCAAGATCCCTCCGGGGCAAACCTACCAAATCAACGGCTCCCGAACAATAATGGCCATCGGCGAGGCCCAGACGCTGTCGTTCACGGGCCAGGCGGTGCACGGAGGCGGCAGCTGTCAGCTGGCCCTCGCGAGCGGCCTACCCACCCAAAATTCGTCCTGGGCCGTCATCCACTCGATCGAGGGCGGGTGTCCGGCGCGCAACCAGAAGGGCAACCTCGACGGCCCTAATGTGGATAAGTACACCTTTCAAATCCCCGAGCGCGTCGCGGTTGGAGAGTACACGTTTGCGTGGACGTGGCAGGCGCGCATTGGCGGGGTGCCTGAATTCTACATGAACTGCGCGCCGATCACGGTCGTCAAGCGGAAGCAGAAGAAGAGAATGGAGATGGTCGAGCGACGGGCATCCCTAGCCACGTCACTGTCGATCTCTCAGCGCGCGGTCGAATTTCCGGAGCTGTTCATGGCGGATATGGGCGACGTGAGCGGCGGATGCACGACCGAGGAGGCGCTGAAGCAGCAGATCGCCATCGGGTACCCGAACCCTGGCGTTTCGGTCGACCGGCCCGAGGGCGATAACCTGTTCCCGCAGCCGTGCGACGGCAATCCGCGGGCGAAGGCCCCGGCCGGTCCTGGGAGTGGGAGTGGTGCGAACAAATCGGCGAGGCCGGATGGGACTGCGTCGACGCCGGGTGCTGATGTCCTGCCTACTACTAGCAGTGTCTTGGTCAAAACTGGAGTTTCGAGTACGACGGCAACGACGACGGCTACTGCGACGCCTACCGTGAGCGAGATGTCTACATTCACTACGTCTGTCGGCGCGACGTCTGTTCCGTCCGAAGCTTTCCCATCCCCAACTTCGTCCGAGGCCGTCGCGGTACCGACATCGAGCACTGGCATAGGAGCATGCGTCGAGGGACAGCTTACCTGCCTCGAAGATGGTACGCACTTTGCGACGTGCACCGGTGGCCAGCTGACCGGCCCTCTGATGGTTGCGCCCGGCTTCAAGTGCAGCCCGGGGTCTGGTGCCAGTCTCGACATCTCGCCCGTCGATGAAAGCGACTAACTTCAAAGCTAAAAGATCGGTCACTGACCGGCGTACCGGTAGTCTTCTAAAGCCCATTTCGGTTTCCTACAGAGTTAGCTGAATATAATGCACCAATGACATCTCGCACCTTGTGTTACCCGCATGTTATAATCATCCGTCTGGTGGACTCACCGTGTTGATCAAAGCAGCATAGCACAGTACAGCACCTTTGGTCGACGGCGTAACTCGCACACTCCATCCCTGCTATGGCTATCAGGATCAAGCAAACGTCTAGACCCGAGAAGAATTGACTGTAAGCTTCTATGATATTTGAACAACTATTATAACTATAAAGATAACATATAATAATAAGCCTTGACAAGACCGCGTAAGTAAGAGTTAACAGCATAAGAAAACGTGTCTCCGGGGAAAGCTTCCAGGCCGAAGATGGTAAGGTCGAGAAGGCAACATGTATCAGGCCATAAGCCTATTCAGCGTGTATGCCGAGCGCACTATATGCAGCCAGTACGTGACTCCTTGGACGTTTGCCAGGGTATGGCGCTCTTTGCGATACGCACAATAGGCAATCTCTTCCCCATAGCAACTGCTGCGCTGCTAACCATGATCGGTTATCTAGTGGTATCACAGTGGTCGAAGGGTAGATGGGATGCAGGGAGCGATCGCGATGCAGGTTTTGCATTCTATGCCAAACTCTCGGTTGGTCCATCGGGGTCGTTGGAAAGGCGTCATTCGAACTGTTCGAACCGAAATAGCGGTATGATTTTAAATTCCGGGAATCTGTTGGTGCTGCCAAACTGGATGGTTGAGCTCACATGATGGCAAGGAGTCATAGTAAGCCCATGGGCGTCACCATTGCACTTTTCGCAGTCTTCAATGCCGTTTTTGTCGAAGACGATTACGTCTGCCTCTTGCCTGTGATCCCCAGTGTAATGCGGGCTTTGCATTAACCATGAGACATGCATGGTAAAGTTTGTCCCTGATTGCAACTGCAGACTGCTGAAGAAGTCGTCTTGCCAATCGCCGGACAGAAGCAAACGGTTCAGAGTAATGCTTGCTAGCGTAAGCTGGTGTCGTTGGACAAGGGCCGGGAGATCTTGAGGCGCCACAGCGCAGTCGCCCAGCTCGAGCGTCTTCAAGTTGGTAAGATGGACTTCTCGGCAAACCCTTCCAATGGCCTCAAACGAATACGGGACCAGAGGCGGGTTGTCTCCGTAGGCCCATCCATCAAACGTTAGGCTCAAGTGCTGCAAGACTGGAGCGATATCCAGAAGCTTGACAAGCCAATTCTTCCACGCCTGGCTATCGATATCCGGGACCATTGACAAACTCAGCAGCATCTTGATGCCTCGCAAATCGGCCAAAGCTTGTTGTAGTCCGGTCTTGTAATACCCTTCAATGGCAGGCATCTTGGCGATGTCCAGCCCTCCAGTATCGCATTCGCCTTTGGAGTGGTGGAAGAATACGAAAAGCTCTTTCACGGGCTTTCGGAGGCAAGCCAAGGCTCGTGGTACCAATTTTAAGTTGTGCGCAAGGCCATCATCGTCTCGAGACATGTCATGCGTGATATCAGGGTAGCCGAACGGGAAGTACCACGAGCCAGTCTCTTTATGGAGAGTCGGCATGCCGTAACAAGAGCTGAGCTCGCCGTCCACAGAGTCGAGGCACAGCTCGCCGACTTCCACCCGCTCCATCGAGGGTAGATTGTCGAAGATAGCCGTCATCATTGCAAGATCATCCCCCCTGCAAAAAGCGTCCTGGATCTCGAGGTACTCCTTATGTCTTGTCATCCGTTGGGTAACTCTGAGGCGCGCGTCATCGTCGCCTTTAGCGTCATCCAGGTCGTCGTCAAATTGCATTGCCGGTCCTTCATATTCCATATTCCAGGTAATGTGTGCCAAACCGGATGGTCTTGAGCTTTGGAGCCAGGCCTGGATGGTTGGCTATACCAAGCAACGCGCTGAGACTGTGAGGCGCTACCAGCCATCGCAATTGGGATATTCTCTCAGTGTATGCGTGATCGCTCCTATCGCAGCACTCTCTCGACGTGAGCCGGAAGGCGCATAAGCCAGGGGGCCATCCAGGTGGGTTGCGACGAGGTCTACCAGTTCCGCCGTCAGGTCATGGAAGCTCGCCATCGTAAAGACAAGTTGGTCTCGATCTCGGCTCTCTTGGCTACTGCGGAGTTCCTGTACAACTTCTGCAGTCGGCTCTCGCGGCGATTCGAGAGGTCGAGAAGTTATGGGGTCTGCAGTAGCGACTCGGAGGAGCGAGGATTGTTGACAACAATAGAGCTGGCCCACCGTCACTGCTATGATTAACGGCACAGGAGCTCGTGTCAGGTATTGATGGGCCTGCAAGTCCCTAATGACACGCACGAGGACTGGATGAGATGCTCAGAAGAATGCGACAAGCTCTTACAAACAAGCACGTGACAGTCAAGGAAAAGCAACTCTATTCCTTTTTCCCTTTGCATTTCGGCACCAGTGGGACTGTGCCTTGTGGTAGCGGTATCCAGAATAAGGACCAGGGTCACGAATGGTGGCTATTGGTCTGTATTCTGGAAGTTGCTTGATTGAAAGAAGGGATGGGTGGTGTCCCCATCCCAGAAGTAGCTATCATCCCAGTTGGGTACAAATCAGGTACAAACGGGTACCCGTTGGGCTCCAAGGTACCTTGTATCCTGGTCCGTGACCCATCCGTCATTGTGGCTGGAAAATGGGTTGAGGAGCCATAGGACTACAGGGTCTACCTGGTATCGATGGGTTCGGATTAACCAGGTGCCGAAATGGGCGCCGATTAGGTGCTGATTCAAAGTGGGTGGTAATTGATGTTAGAGAGGTCTGATCTTGTACTGGTACATATCCCCACTACCAGTGCAAGGGATAGACCTCTCATGGGCCCAAGAAGAGTTGCGATCGTCAGAATAAAGTCAAAAGAGGCTTGGAGTACTCAATTCGAATGTATAAAAACAGTGATTTCGTTAATATTTCGTTTAGTGAACTTCGCGATGAGTGTCTGGCATGGATCGCTCGACATGGGCTGGGCTGGATTCGATATATTGTTCTGGGAAACCAAGGTCGACATCAATGCAATCTCTCCAAGCTCGCAGCTTGCCTCTTGGGTCTTGGCCACCTGGATCCGCGGCTCAGATCGACGGCCACTGACGCGGGTGATGCTGGGCTTTCTTTTTTTGTCGGCGTATCGAGAGTCTACTGTAGAGAGAGTCTAGACCTGTGGGTACGTACCTAGGTAGGTAGACTTGAATGGGGATCCCTGAAGCTCCACTGCGTGGTGGCTGAGACGCCCGCGTGCTGTCGATTTGGGACGTCGAAGCCGGTGGCGGCATGACGTCAGGCCTCGCCCTCGGCTGGGTGACACTTCCCCTCCCCACCCGTCAGCTGTCAGCTGTCGCGTCCCACGAGCTTCAACCACGGGATCTCTGGTCTCATCACATCACTTTAAATTCTAAAGATCGCGGCGTACTGAGCATGGCCGTACTACACGAGCCTTACATTTCAGACGAGGAATTCGACGTGGTTGAAGCCGCCCAGCCTGTGAGCGACCTCTCGTCTCCGGCCGAGGAGCCCGGTTCGCAGCAGGACCTGGCCGGCCGCCGACATGTCGATTCCCTAGACCGCCGACAGTCGGGCGTACCGGCGCCTTCGAGGCCCTACTACGATCAGACCGTCGACGCGGCCGCGCAGAGACTCGCGCATAGTTCCCTCGAGGATTCATACGTGTCGACCGCTTCGTGGAATGCCGGCGACGGCGTAGGCGAGGGCTCCGCGGGGGATGGGATACCCGGGTTGAGCTACACGAAATCGGTGGTGCAGAAGTTCTGGACCGGTAGGGACCTGTTGATCGCTGTCATGGGCATGACGGGGTCTGGGAAGACGACCTTCATCTCGAAAGTGACGGGACGGACTGACCTGGAGATCGGTCATAGCCTCACCTCATGTATGTGACTTACCAGTTCACTTGGTCTTTGATGCGGATGAGAACTGACTTGTTCCTACTATAAGGTACCCGAGACATCCAGGTCGTCGAGACCAAGATCGAGGGACGCACGGTGCGCTTTGTCGATACGCCAGGCTTTTCCGACACCAATCTGTCCGACAGCGAGGTTCTCCAGTTGATCGCAGACTACCTGGCCGCAGCCTATAGACAAGACATGAAGCTGTCGGGTATCATATACATGCACCCCATCTCGGATACCCGGGTGACACACCACGCGACCAAGAACCTCCAGATGTTCCAGAAGCTCACGGGCGAGAAGAACCTGAAGAACGTGGTTTTGGCGACGAGCATGTGGGACAAGGTTACACAGGAGCAAGGTCTGGCACGCGAGCGCGAGCTGAAGGACAAGTTCTGGAAGGTCATGCTGGCATACCAGGCCAAGGCCGTCAGATACGGTGGCACGCTCGAGTCGGCGCTACATATTGCGCATATCCTCATGAACAACAAGCCCTTCTACCTCCAGCTGCAGGAGGAGATGGGCAAGGACAACAAGGCTCTCAGGGACACGACGGCGGGGCGAGAGGTCATGATTGAACTGCTTAGGATGAAGGAGGAGCACCAGAGGGAGCTGGCTGACATGGAGACGATGATGAAGAGCTCGGCCGAGGAGAACAGGTCCGTGGTCGAGGCGCTGAAGGAGCACTACCAGGGGCGGCTGGGGGACCTGGAGAAGACGCTGCGCGACGAGAGACGGATGAACGAGGCGGCGGTGCAGTCGCTGACTGAGCGTATCATGGCTCTCGAGAACAGAGGCGTGTGCGCTGTCATGTAGGAGGCAGGGGAATTTACCTGTAGGTTGTAGCAGAGGGACACTACAGTAGACGTGTTCAACTTCTCAAAGATCCTCTAGTATCACGGCCGGCTATGGTTCGGCAGCCGGCGTGGGACGACATGAAACGGAACACACACTAGCCGACTAGTCGTGGTTTTCACCTACCATACATATTGTGCAGATGCATCCGGAGTCATGTAACATGCAGTATATACGGTATCAGAACAATTGAAAGATGTATGAACTGAATCGTTGGTCCGCCTTATCGAGGTTGCTAGGAGACAGGACAGCGGCGCCCTCTTGATTGACGGACAGAGCAGCATCCGGTGCGAGTTTGTACAGTACATAAGGTAAGCAATGCATGGTGACGAGACCGACCCGGGGGTGTGGCTACTCAACCCATTTTCCAGCCACAATGACGGATGGGTTACGGACCAGGATACAAGGTACCTTGGAGCCCAACGGGTACCCGTTTGTACCTGTTTTGTACCCAACTGGGATGATAGCTACTTCTGGGATGGGGACACCACCCATCCCTTCTTTCAATCAAGCAACTTCCAGAATACAGACCAATAGCCACCTATCGTGACCCTGATCCTTATTCTGGATACCGCTACCACAAGGCACAGGGGTGCCAAGAAGTAATAAAGTATGCCTGCGCATGCAGCAATTTCCTGCCAGCCGCACCCCGCCGGACAGCCCCAGATAAGTTGAGATAACGACGCTGGCAGCCCCAAAGGCGTCCACTGGCAGCGCCGGACTGCCCTGGCCAGCCGGCCAGATTGCCAGATTGTCAGATTGGCCAGCTGCCAGCTGCTACTGCGTGTGGCTTGTGCCTTGGTCTTCCCCTTGTCGCAGATCCCCAAACGAGTGGGTAGCTGGTCACATTATGGGGCCTATGAAGTCATATTTGTGCTACGGACCACGGCGGGAACATTAGAAAGCCTCTAGTCGCGTAGCGCCAACAGGGCAACGAACGAGCCTGCGTGCATCCATCCAGTGCATCCACCAAACCCAGATTGCCCGTCTGCCCGTCTGTCCGCCCCCGACTGCTCCGATCCCATACCTGTATCTCATATCTCCTACTTCTTAAAACAAAGATAACCCTGTGCACCATCTCCATCTCGCATTTCTGTGCTGCGCTTTTGCTTAGACTTCCTTGGGGACTGCCGCGTCGCCGCCATTCGTCGTTCGTCGTTCTCTACGATGGCTGATGATTCTGCAGACCAAGACCGCCACGTTCGCTTTCCCGAGTTAGAGAGGTCGGCCACCGCAGCAGACGAGCAGCAGCGACGCCAGGACGATGCAGACAGACAAGCGGAAACCGGGCGCCGGCGCTCGAGTTCAGACCCCCTGGGGAAGAGGAGCCAGCGACCGGGCATGTCCGTCATACGCCCTATGAGACGCATGTCCAACATTGGGAAGCACACCGCGAACCCCGACGACAATCAGAACAATCAGAACAAACGAATGACCAGCACCGCCACCTTCAATGGCCCCAACGGTCGCAATCGCCTGGATCAGAGCCTCGCCGACGTGCTCGACGTGATCGGTACGTACATCGCCAATTTAGTATTATGGCAACCACTGACATATTGTCCTCGCCTTGTGCAGATCCCGAAGTGTCGACCCTGAACAATGTGACCAATATCCAGAACTCGCTCTTTGTACCAGACCTGGGCAGATTTATCAATCGACGACCAACTTTCAACCTGTCCATGCCGCCCCAGTATGACTCTATCACTGAAGAAACCCAGGCCGAGAGAGCCGCCGAGAGAGCTGCACAAGATGCCGAGCAGGGCTATTCCTACAACTTCAACCACGCTGTCCTTCCTGATGGTGTGTCGCTGGTGGGCTGGACCGACGAGGAGATGGACGAACTGAACGACCACGTACGGCACATGCTTCACTCGCGCCGCAGTAAGTTCAAGCGAACAATGAAGGCTTTCGGCCAGTACGTCCGAAAGCCCCTGGGCTTCTTCGTGACACTGTATGCAACCCTCATCACGCTCTTCGGTCTTGCCTGGGTGCTATTCATTATCGGCTGGATTTACGTTGGCGAACGACAACTCTATATCATGAACGTCATCGACTACGTTCTTGTTGCCCTCTTTGCCGTTGTCGGCGATGGTATGATACCATTCCGCCTCATAGATACGTACCACATGGCCTTCATCGCACATTATCACCACTTGACGTGGAAACTCCGCAAGAAGAAGCAAATGGCCGACCTCCAAGACAAGAACGACCTGCCCACTAACCCAGAACTGGAAGAGGCCCGTGACGAGGTAACGGTCCTTTCTGAAGACCAACAGGCCACGCTCGTCCACCATCAGAACAAGTTCGCCAAGTCGCATACCTTCTACAAACCGCACGAGACCAGGACGCACTACGCCTTCCCGCTCGACCTCCTGGTGGCCGTCGTCACCCTTTTGGACGTACACTCGTGCCTGCAGGTCTCTCTGGGTGCGACAACGTGGGGCATCGACTACCACACGCGGCCACCGGCCATCACCGCCACCATTCTGAGCTGTTCGATCGCCGTCAACATTACGGCAGGGATTCTGATCACCATTGGCGGACGCAAGACGCGCAAGAAGGACGTTGTCGAGCGTATGTTCCGCCAGGAGCTGACGCGGGAGGCCATCGACAAGATCCGGCACCAGGGTAAGAAGGAGGGTGACGTAGACAAGGAGATCAAGGCCGAGCGCGCCCTCGAGCAGACCCGTCAGACCGAGACTCTTGACGAGGCCATGAAGAGTGACATCCCCGCCGCGACGAGGGGGAGCATCGATAAGGGCCGGCAGAGCCTGGATAGCAGCCGGCGTAGCATGGATAACAGCCGGCGTAGCGTTGATAATGGCCGGCGGAGCATCGACAAGGGTCGGCGGAGCGAGGGTCGCGGCATAGAAAGCATGGATAGGCTGAGACCGATACCCTCGGGGCACCAGCTCTAACGTTTTAATACTAGTCCTGTATGCCACGAATAGGAATTCTAGATAGATACCTGGATAAGCGCAACATCGATACCAAGCCTGCGGGACTAGTAGTACTTGAAAATGTCAGCCCTAGTGAACTGATGTGACAATGTTGTTACTTTGTAAATGTCAGTCTGGCATGGTTCTATACCCGGCTACAAGGTAACATCAATTAGCCAAGTATTTACCAACCATTTGCCAACATTGAAGTTATCCCTTTCCACTCGGGCCGCCTGCTACCTAGGTATAGTAAGGAAGGTGGGTACCTATGTATTTGACGTGCCAATCCCTTAGGCATCCCTCCGCGGTCACGTAAGGTAGGTACAAGTCTCTCTAAACAAACAGGCGGCAATTATATGTGCTATCTGCAGGCGCCCTTCGCCGTGTTTTGCCCCCGTTTAAAATCGACAAACTTACTTCAAATACTAACATTAAGGCGGGGTACTAGTTAAAAGGTCATAGTTAATATACGGTTAACGATCGCTTAAAATTTCAAGTTAAGTTATATAATATAATATAAGTTTGAATGGTTATAATAAACATTATATTAAAATTATAACTTAGTTATATATGTGACGGCCTGCACAGACCTTCCCATATGACAAGCCGATACTTCCCAATACGGGAAGGATCTGACCAGAGGATCCCCTTAAAGGGGCAACCTCCCGCTGTACCTATCTCTCTTTCTCTTCATTTCCTCTCTAGTCTTGATATTCTCGTCAATAGAGTAATAGCTGCTTGCTGCCGGCCATGTCCCAGTTCCTCAGTACGCTCGCCGTGACAATATATATATAAATAAATATAGTTACTCGAATTTTATTAAAGTAAAAATAGATTTTCGAACGTTATTATCGTTAAATTATATGATTACTTAATATTTTATACACAACGAATTATATAATATCACGGCGAATTAAACTATAAGCTTATAAGTTATAAAATTATAAGATTACTAGGTTATTACCTATTAAACTATTTAATATTATGAAAAAATAAGAGCGTTACTTTGTTTTATATTATATAGTAACGAAGTAAGTAAGATACGATATAAGGCAGGTAAAGGTTTTTAATTAGAACTGTTGTGACGGAACGCTCACCATAACCACCATGCCACGGCTGTTCCTACCAAAAGGATGTCGAATATCAAGCGTGGCAGCTTGACATTCAATGGTGGTACATGTACTCATGTCCGGGCTCCAGGACTCACCACATGGGCTATCTGTACCAGACCATGACAACTGTTATATAACTAGTAATTACTGTATAACTAGCCGTTAATCAATAGTTACCTCAGAACTAAAAATCTACCGGTAACTACTATATTATTATACCTTGAATAAATAAATAACTAGCTATCAATTAAACATGTATACCTGGTTACGATAAAACTATGTAATAATTAGGTAGCATGTATAACCATGGATATACAGCCGTCTAATAGGTGGCTGCTCAACCCATGCTTCGCCCAAATGAAGGTAGGTTATTTCGGTTTTTCGGAGCCCCTGAGTGCCCTCAAGTTCTCTGTTCTTTGACTGCCGGGCTTGTTGAGCAGAGCAGAGAGAGTGTGTGGGAAAGAGAGAGAGGGCGCTTGGTCTGCCGTCAACGTCTACCGGTAGCCGCTTTTGGGGACGCTTCTGACTAACTTGTTTTCTCTAGCTGGTGCTTAGCCTGCTGCTGCTGCTGCTGCTGCTGCTGCTGCTGCTGCTGCTGCTGCTGACATGTCGTTCGTGGCTTGGTTGCTTGTTGCCGTGGCTGTGGTGGGTAAGCCAGGTAGCGAAGCCTTGTTCTGGAGCTGTAGGTGTTTCTTTGGTTGCTACGAACTGCGGTATGGTGGATGCGTGGGAGGGTAGAAGGGTAGGAGCTCAGGGTGGGTGGGAGGGATGGAGGCAGGAGAACTCTCGGCCCTAGGAATTCTGTGCTACGTACATGTAGTCGAACGAGCTGAGTCGGGGACCATCTGGACCTGAAGTACCTTAATACTATGAGGGAGAAGCCGTCTCTGGAACGGGAACGAACCTCCCTCGGCTAGGAACGGAGGTGCCTTATTGTCGCCTTGAAGGCGGTAACTATCGGCGTTGCGATTTGAGTCTTCGCTTTTGGGGTTTCTTCGAAACAGATACGTCTTCTGAGCAGGTGGTTTGAAAAAGTTACCGTCACAGTCGTGATTGATTGCCTTTGCCCCTGGATGGACTTCTTGCACACTGGTGGCCTCGGCGTACCTGGCCTGCTGGGATGCTGGCTACCTGATTCCGGGGACCTCTTATGTCAACTCCTCGAACACGCTGTAGCGGACTATCCTGACGGATCGAAGAAGACCGTGTTCATGATACGATGTGGGGGATCTTGTGCTGTGCTGATGAGAGCACAGAGACACTAGTGGGCTGGACTGTCAGCCTTCAGCTTGGATAGAGGCTTGGATTTGGTTTGGGTTTGGGTTTGGGGTCACTGGCGAAGCTGTGCAGCCGATAGACACAGCATGAGTGATAAGACGCGGACGGGTTACAGCAAGTATACCTTTTCGAAGAGGCACACGGCGCGTAGCTTGAGATATAGACGTGGTATCCTGACTTCTGCGCCTCGGGTCTAACGGCAGGATCGTCACTCACCGCATGCGTGCCGGGACCATCCAGGATGAAGTCTCGTTTCTTCTGATTTGGATTGCTTCTTGTGAGCTGTCGGCTCGTGAGTAGGCAATGTTTTCAAGCGGGATGGAGGGTTTATTCATTCGGCACGGTCATGGCTGGTCTGGTGGTAATCAGCTCGCTCTACCTACGTGTGTTTAGAGGGGATTAGGGGTTACTTACTGACTCTTGTTACTTGTACCTCTTCTGGCCTTGTTTGATCCCGACTGGTCCGGACTGGTCCCGGTTGAGACCCGATGATGTCTGCACAATTTTTCTCCTGGTGGTTTATCGTAACTTTAATCGACGCGGAGCTGGAGGATCGTACCTAGTTAGAGGCTATGTAAGTTGAAGCAAGGAGGCGTTAGAGCAACCACTGTAGGCCCATACGCGTGAGGGGTGGCATAATCTGGCTGATCTCTACTGTTATCAAAGTATTTGCTCTCGGTTCGTCGAGGTCTCGTCCGCCGCGGTCCCGGTCTGCCGGCGTGCCGCCCATCTTAGTGACGGTGCTGACGTGATCAAAGGCGGTTCGCCCCGTGTCAAGTATTTAACAGCATCTGCTGGGGTTGGTCCGAGAGAGATCTCTATTCAAGGTAGGGTCTCTTTCACGCCAGATGCCTGATGCCAGGTGTTGAGACAGAAGTTGATGGACGCAACCATGCGCCCCATGAATGACCCAACGAGCAGAACGGCTACTCTTGGACGGCACAGAGAGATCTGCGCTTTGGCCGGCTGTGACTCACCGAGCGCATCGTCACAGCTGTCCTGGTTATCGTAGTAGAGGTTGTGGTTGTGGAAGAGGAGCATCAAGCTGTAGCAGCAGGGGACCTGGAATTAAGCTCAGAGATTGAACTTTCAAGAAGGCTGTAGCAGACTTCTATGTAGAATTCCCTGGACGACGCGAGATTCGGGATCTCTCAACGACTCGTGTTCTCTGTGTATTCTTTCTCCGGCCACTCGATTCAGAGCATTTTTGTGGTAGCCTCTGGCTGCTGCCGTAGGGTGTTATCACGACTAATAAGGTAGACGTCAGGGCCTGTAACAGCGCCGCTGTGGTGGGTTTCTCGTAAATACAAATTCATGATCGATTTCTGACGTCTCTTCTAACATTGAAGCGGATTAGAAGCTCGATAGTAGCTTCGAAACGCCCCTCAAGGTGTGCTCGTAAGTTTGACGAGAAAGTATCTGGGATCATGCCTCCGCACTTATTCTAGTTTTGCCCGTTTTGACCTGTGACTAGGGCCAACAGCCTGACATAGTCTATCGTCAGGTGTTGTTGTTGATATTGTTAGTAACCCAAAATTTGCCGAGTATGGCTTCAGGTGTAAGACCGCGACCTCGTATTCAAGCCATGTAATCCGTGCTTTCCATGGTGTGTTTATCACTCTTTTGACGCAAAAGGCACTCGCTCTCTGGCTCTGAAGCAGTTATACCGAACCCTCACAAGTCTCCATACACCCCGTACGCAAGGTCTTGGATATCCAGGTCTATGTATAGTTTATGGAATCTAACTCTGGAATAAGCATCAAGCGTTGCTTGATAGAGTATGAATGCCTCTTCCACCGTCTATATCCCATCGAAAATCTTCGAGGTGCGCGGACGGGGACGTATGGGGGTGACTGTACCGATAGACGATCACTTGTTACGGTATTACATAATACCTCCACATATTTATGTATACATATATCCCTAGCTTCCCCTTTCTCTTCCGACATTGCCTCTTCTTCCTTAGATATCGTTGAATCTAGATATTTCATCCCATCAGCCCTGGCCAGCGCAGCTGCAGGCCTGATTGTCACATCACTCATCCAGCCTCACAAGGTCTTCAGAGCACCAGACTTGTCTTAAACAAGTTATATTCTGACGACCACTTGACGCGAAAGGCCTCGCCTTCTGCCTATCAGTATTTATCATATGACCTCTGCAACCAATTACCTGGGGCCGCGGGAGCATCCGTGGGACTACTTGAAAATGCCGGCACGACGTATGGTCTAGAACAAAATGTGGTCATTGAAACGAAACCGACTTGGCAAGAATAACAGTTTGATTGGCTGCCGGGCAGACTGTATTTTGACCCATGCATCGAAGTACCAAAGAGCGGTATCGCTGAACTGGAATGTAGCTGATCAACACTTCACTTCGGAATTGCTCTGTCCGCAACACCGCCCAGCAGTGAAACCAACCAAGCAACCAGCCCAGCAGTACGGCAGGTAGGCCAGCAGTGAATTAAGGGGAAGAAACAATCCCTGTGGCTAGTCTCAGGTGTTCCATGTTCGAAGTACACCGGGAAAACCCGCAGCTTCTTACATTCTCAATACTGAAGGGCTGAGGTGGTGGGCAAGTGGGTTTCCACATCATATCGTGCGGCCCGCTTAGGACGGCGGCCGGGAGCCGTTACGCGTCTCCGAGGCCCACATGCAGCTTACTTTGATAGCTGCAGTGTTTTCGATAAGCACCCCTTAAGCTAAGCCCTTCCAGCGCTTGCTTTAAATAAGTTAAGGCCTTATAGCGCTTGCTTATAAGGCTTGCTTGTTTAAACTTAAATCTAAGGACCTACCAATTAAACTTTTAACGAAAATTTCTAAGGAGGGTTATAATTTATAAAGAACCTTTCGAACCTTTTTTGTTTCTTTTTGCCTTTGAATAATATAATTATATATCATATTTTTGATAACTATTAAAGTAAACATATTAAAAATGAATCGTATATAGTAATAATTAGTACCGTACGTATTAAAAAGCCTGTAACGTATCTTTTTTTTCTTATATAAAGTATAGCTAGCTTATACTAAAAAAATGTTTTTTATACTTTATTATTATTGTAAGGATTAAGAAGATATTTATAGCTATTAATAGTAACAATGAAAAATCCTTTTTTAATCTCTTTATTAATAAAAATCCTTTTTAATACCTAGATTTTTAATAACTGTTATATTAAATATTTAAAAACTTTATTTTTAATAGCTGTTTTCTTATATATAACCTTATAAATAAATAAAAATCTATAAAGTGTCTCTTGGAAAAAGATAGAAATTTTTTTTTTTTTTTTAACATACTTAATTTGTTTATTGTAAAAAAGTGACAAATCTTTTATTAAAAAAATCTAAATTTTAAGCTTTTATATCTTAACCAACCTAATATAATAAAAATTTTTCACAAAACCTTAATAAATAAATAAATTTTTAAAAAACACTTTTCTATTATAGCAATTGATCCACATTTAATAATTAAATGTTTTAATATTCTCGTACAAAGAGTTCATATTAAGTTAAAAAAGCTATAATAATTACCAAAGTAATTAAATTAGCATATGTAAGGTTTATTTATTTAAAAAGTAATATATATGACTCGTTAGATGGAGTGGTGCAAGTGGTGTGGCTGAAGGTGGTCTGTGCGCAGACCAGGTTGATCGGGGGTGGTCCGAGCGCCTTGAGAACGGTCGATTAGCGACCGTTACCTCACAGCTCTAGCGCTATGGCAGGTAGACGCGTTGCAGCTGTATTTGGGTGTGAATCCGTCTGTATCAGATAGACCTTAAACCACGAACAAAACAACAACCAATACTTCCGCATACGAATATTGACATATTTAATTAAAATAATGAACGATTAGAAAATAAAATTAATAAGTTAAACGTCAAATTGACTGATACAAAGTTTTTATAATATTTTTAATATTTAATAAATATTTCTTAAAATAAATATTTTTTTAAAAAATGAAAAATCGTAACTTTAAAAATATTAAATAAGCTTATAAAAATTACTAAAATTATGTTAATCTTTAAAAATCATTTTAGTATCTCAAAATCAATATATTAGCCTTAAGAATTTATTAATTCTCTTTATCTATGTATATGTAAATATTAAATTTTTGAAAAAAAAAATCTTTTAATTGTTTCAATTTTTCATATACATAATTGATAATAATGAATATAACATTAATAAAACCACTACTTAATTAAATAATATTATTCATTAATATAAAATCTTTGATTTTATAAAGGTTTTTTATAAAGTCTAAAAAATCTTTTTTTATAATATTAAAAAAGTCTTTTTGTTTAATAAATTACGTTATAAAACTTATGAATAAAAAAAGATTTTTGTGCTTTATAAAATTCAGCTTCTTTTAATAATAATAGGTATTTTAACTCGGCTATGATTGCAATATTAAAATAAGTTTAATTTATTTTGACTTATAAATATCTATATTATATATTCATAAAATGATAATAATGATTAAATTAAAAATAATACCTTAATATTGTACTTGTGACGGCCTGCACAGACCTTCCTACATGACAAGTGGATACTTCCCAATAGAGGAAGGATCTGACCAGAGGATCCCCTTAAAGGGGCAACCTCCCACTGTATCTATCTCTCTCTCTCTCTTCCTTTCCTCTCTAGTCTTGATATTCTCGTTAATAGAGTAATAGCTGCTTGCTGCCGGCCTTGTCCCAGCTCCTCAGTAAGCTCGCCATGACAGTACTTTTTAAATATTATATAACTTGAATTAAATACATTATTCAAAAATAACAAAAGGATATTTAATAATTTAGGAATAATTATATATTTACTATTTAATTATTTATACATTATTATGTAAATTAAAAATAAATCTTAAAGTTATAAATAATTTATATAATAATAGTCGTATAATTTTTAATATTGTACATTTTTTAGACTTTTTATATAATAGATAATGAATAATAAACATTATATTAAAGCTCAATAAAATATATAATAATCGCAAAAATAAAACAAAAATAACAAAAAGTTTAAATAAATAAAACGTATACTTTAAGAACAAATTCTTATGATTAGTTCTTCATTTTATCTCGGTTTTATTTTAAAAAACTTAATTACTTTAATATAAATAATATTACCAATATTAAAACCTTTCTTGACAATAAGTTTACTATTTAAAAAGAAAAAAAATCAATTAAATAATCATTTATAACTATTGTGACGAGCCGTCTAACCTATAAGGCTAAAGGGTTCTATAGGGTTTATGTTCTGAGGTAAGTCAACACAGAAGACACTCAGATACTGGGGCTTGGTCTGAACTGGGTTCACTGCGTAGTCGAGTCGTTAGTAGATTTCTCCCACCTTAAGGTTGGCTAAGATGCTTAGATTGATCACTGAGGTAGAGACTGTCTATCTATCTAGTTAGGAAATGTCTGTCCTTATATATCCAATCTCTCCCTCACTGATGGAGTAGGATCACCTCGTCCCAGAGTGATGCTCACTGGCTCACTCCGTGATCCAGTGATCCTTGTAAGCTCACTCCGTGATCCAGTGATCCTTGAAGGCTCACTTCGTGATCCAGTGATCCGTCACGTGACCTTTGTTATATAATCCGTAATACCTATTGTTCCGTTTCTGGCTTCTGATTCCATTGGTTCTTGGTGTACTCCCCTTGGGCCTCCCACAGGCCGTGGTATTTGTTGGTTCGTAACAACTATTTAAGAAAAAAAAAGAATTTTCAAGTAATTATAAAAAGAATATATTATAAAACCGATTCATTTTATTTTCAATAAGAATTGATTTCTTAAAACGTAATAAAAATAAATAATGATATTAAATTATTAACACACGTCACAAGGAGTGGTAGATGTAGTGGCTGGAGAGACCTACTGTAACTAGCTAGATAGATTAGATAAGGGCTGCACACACTGTAAGTTTGTGCAAGCTCTACCTATCTGGCTTGGGTTCTCCAACCCTCACCCACATACCAATATACACCCATACACACACGCTTCAATTATATAAAAATATGTTTTTTTATCTTACGTTTTTTTTGCTTTTATTTATTTATATATTATAACTTGGAAAATAAATAATGACTTCATTTATATACAAAAAGTTCATTTCATTATAAACAATTTGCTTTTAATTATAAATTTATAGTATTAAATTAGTAGAGAAACCTTATTATCCGACTTTGTTTCGATTAAAATAAAATTATATTTGTAAGTATAAAAAAAAGCCTTTTTTTTAGTTATGTTTTAAAAATACTTTACTTATAAAAATATTTGATACCAAATAAATTAAGTATCATATTTTTCAAAGGTTTGTTTAAAGCCGTAACCCGTTTCATTTAAACAGTATAATATGTTATTAATCGCGTTTTAATAAAAGAATCTTTATATTATTATATATATATAAGTATTAATGAAAGTGTTGGATCCATGTGATTCTACAGTCAAACCATCTATATAGAACCCACATATATGATTAGATAAGAGATTAGATAACAGATTGTGAGGTCACTTAGCCAGACCTGCAGGTCCAGCTAGACTTCACAATCCAACCATAAGCAACATCATGACCTTGACCCCATACTCGAGTATTATGATTGATCGTTCAACCCTGTTCCCACAGAAAGTAAATTTTGAAACTTTTATAATTTTATAACTATAATATTTGATCTTTAAATTTAAAGGTGCTAGATTTAAATCCCGTTAAAAGTATTGAAACTTTATGTTAAATGAGAGCCGGGGATAGACACCGGAAGATCTCCAGTAGGGCAGAGACACACAGGGCATCTGACCCACCAAGAAGACAGATAATCAATCTCTGCACACAGAGCACAACAATCAATAGAATCAATCATCATCCGTGTATTCAACACTTTACATACGTAATAATCGTAAATAACATAAAAAAAATTAAAATTTAACTTACTTAATCGAAAATATATATAAGTCTTATTAACCTTAATATGCTTATTTATAGTTATAAGATTTTTTAAGCTTTACTTAATTAAAATAAGTTAAAAAATGTACCTGCTTACCTTGCTTAATTCAGCTTAGCTTGATTAACGCTTGGTCCAGGGGGTCCTTATCGAAAACACTGAACAGCTGCCCGTCCTGGTTTTGCACTCCCGAAGTAAGCGAGCCCATGTCGTCTCGATGATGGTACTCAACAGCACTGTTAAGTCTCTGACTTGGGCTTCTTTCTCGAGACAGTGCCCCCTGAGCCGTCGGAATTTCTCCGTGCTTGAGAAGCTCGCTCGGGCCCCTAGTGCTGACGTGGAAGGGCACCTTGCGCAGCTCAATTCATGTGTGTAAAGTCTGTGATTGCGTGCTGCGTCAGAGCCAGACTTGATAGTATTCAGGATGCTGGATGGTTACAAGGACTATTTCTTGGTCGTCCCATTGTGCGCTGTCCATCGGTACTGGGCCCTTGGATGGGGTTGATGGGGCTCCCCGGCCGCCCGGCCCTGCGCCGGCTCTCATAGCGCACATCCCAAGAAGAGTCGGTGAGCATTACACCGGAGTACCGTCGCAACGGGCCAACGGCTATGCACTCATGTCAAATCCGGGAACTAATAATAACAGTAACCTGCGCGCTTGACAGCCATTGGCGCAGGGGAAACGCCTCGTTACCGGCCGCTGCGCCCGCAAGCGACGGCTCGACGCAGGAATCAGGGCCGCCCCTTTGCATTGGCGGCCTCGGGAGGCGTCGACAGTCTGCAAGCCGGCGACTTCGTGACAGGACAGTTGACGTGATAGCGAGCGGAGAAATTCATGCTTTCGGAGGCCCTCATTGGCTGCTCTGTCGTTTCAACCACTGTTCCTGGCCTATAATAACGTCGAAGTTCGAACGTCGGTTGTTACCCTGGCCACCGGTAAGATCTACATGAGCAGTGATAGGGTGTCAGACATTTTGGAATCTGGATCCTCTCGTCCGTTTTGGGACCCAGCTCTTCCATTCGCCAGTTTGCTTGCAACAGCCGGGCTGCTCGGAACGTTGTCGGAACAGGGAATGTTTTAGTTCTCTCCGGGGTCCGCTTACCGGTAGGGGTGGGTGTGTCCGTTCCACCGGGTTTGCCCGACACATATGCCGGTATTGGGGCTCGTTGGTGACCTGGAGAAAGCAAGTGTACGATGTAAAAAGGATTTAGCAAAAGGAGCTCGTTCGGGTTCCTCGAGAACAAGTGTTGAGAAGATGGATAGGGATGCGTGATACGACAGTCTGACCTGGGATGGAGCAATATGTGGCCACGCACAATCGCGCTATTCGCCTTATTATGGGTACTCGAACATCGGAGCTCGTTATGCGAACCCGGTCTTCCTCTCCCACCAGGGTTAGCATGATGCAAATCGAGACCATGGTTGCTGTGCCTGTCAAGCGACGGAGGGTTCATTACATCCCGCATGCCACCTCAGAGCCCCCTGCCGGCCTGCCAACCTGCCAACCTGCCCACGGCGACCCCCAAATCCACGTGATTGCACACAATACTGGTTCCGCTGGTTCGTTGGCAGGCCGCAGACTTGTTGCATTGGAGGCGTGTTACACTGCATACCTGCTCGGCTTATGATTTCCAAGCGACGTGATAGCTCATCTATTCAAAAACCCTCCGACAGCCCTGCCGCCTACGCTTTCCTTTTTTTGCCCATCATGCCAGACAGCTTCACCATGGCCGACGAAGAGATCGTTCTCGTGACGCAGCTGCCGTCGGATTCGTGGTTCGAGGGCTTCGTGCTGCGCCCGAACGGCAATATCCTCGCCACCCGCCTAGACAAGCCAGAGCTCTACACATTCGACGCCGAGGATCCGGACGCCACGCCGCACCTGCTGCACCACCTCGAGCTCTGCAACGGCCTCATCAACATAATCGAGTTACCGGGGCGGCCCGACGAATACCACATCCTGTCGGGCAACATCGATCTGGAGAAGGGAACATGCAAGGACTGCCTGCTGTGGCACGCCGTCCTCTCCCAGGACGACAGCAGCCCGCCCAAGCTAACGCAGATCGCCGAAGTCAAAGACGCCGGCTTCGCCATGGGCATCGTCGCCGTGACGGACCGCGTGATGCTCATAGCGGATTCTGGGAAGGGCTGCGTCTGGCACCTCGACACGGAGACGGGGAAGATGTCGCAGTTTGTGGCCGACGACACGATGATGCCCCCGACGGAAGCCGACTTCTTCGGCCTTAACCGGATACGCGTCGTCGGGGACTACCTCTGGTTCACGAACACGAGCGCCGGCACATTATACCGCATACCGGTCGAGATGGACACGGCGCAGCCCGAGGTCGCCATCCGCGCCACGGGCCCGGTGCAGAAGGTGCTGGGCGACCTGCCGCACCTGGACGGCCTCGCGCTCACTAAAGATCAGACGCGGGCGTACACGGTCTCGATGGCCGACGGGCAACTGTTGGAGATCAAGGTCGACCCGGCGACGGGCCAGGGCTCCGTCGAGGTCATCACGACGAGCCTGGACAGCCCGACGGGCGTGGAGCTCGTCTACGTCAACGGCCGGCCGAAGCTGTACGTCGTGTGCTGCGGCGAGATCGACATGGCCTGGATACCCAAGATCGACGAGAACCCCTGGGCCAGCATGGACTTCAACTCGAACGTGGTGGGCACGGTCACGTCGGAGGTGGTAACGGTAACGCAAATGTGAATCATTGCGCATCATGCGTGAAATGGCTGGATGAATGGGTGGATGGCATGGCATGCTCGTCGCAATTGGAGTTCATTCTGCTTTATTCTACTCTTCTGTCTAACTACTACTGGGCGGGTACGCTGAGCGATTCTTGTTCTATACCCCCAAACGCATCGCATCGCACGCATACAACGTGCTCTGACTTATTACGAGCACCTGATGATAATTGAATTTCGCTTCAAAAAACTTCCTGTCCGACTGCAATCATCGCTCCTGCACGGTGATAGACATCCTGGGCCTGCCAGATCTGCAACGAGAAGACGGGGTAGACGACCCCCATCGTGTGCCATCGGTAGCTTCTTGCCGACAATAAACAAAACAAGTTCTGAACCCGCCTAATCCCAGCGAGAGAACCCCACGCTTGCTGCCCTCGGTACTTGGAAAGGCCAGGAAAAAATCTGCAATATTGGGCAAGGATTTGCGAAACTGCGCAATGATGGAATGATGCCTGTCCGCGGGTCCGGGGGCCGCCGGGAGGAGCCTCCCGCCTCGCCCGCCTGCCACGTCGCTCCACCCCTGGGCGGGTACGGCAGGGAATCAGGGATTACTCATGTCACTGGTCAGTTCTCAGGGGCGGGCTGGCTCGGAGATGAGGATGATCTTGTCCATGCTTGAGGTAGGAGTGGAAATGGCACCTGAACTGGTCTAGACCGCGATCCTTCGCGCGGGAGACGTTGAGGATGGATGGTATTTCCCCGAGCGTCACCGCCCGACGAGGAAGGGCGCCGGCGAATCGTGATGAAAGAGTCTCGGCGCCATCGCGATGCTTCGTGTGGGCTCGGTGAGATATTACATACAAGGACCTATGTTTGATGACGGGAGTATTCAATGATTCGAAGTAAATACCGTACTGCGCACGCCGCATGCGCCGCGCTCCCACGTCCGCTCTGCTGTTGCTTGCAAGCGAGTGAGCTGCGCTGTTGTGAACGCCGTCCGCCATCAGGATAGCAACACGAGAGATTCCAATCCATCTAGCAGTATGCACGGCCACATACGCTCAGATCACAGGACGTAATCAGGCTCCCTGCTGTATTCAGTATGCTAAATGCCATAGTGACTCGCTGGGCAAGCGGCAAAGCGGCAAAGCGTCAATGAAAGTGAAGTGCAGGTGCGTATCATAGTCCATGGGCGAAAAGTCTCGCCTATGTCAGCAGTGTGTTGCCCGTGGTGGAAGGCTCTTACAGTAAGTCTTGCTTCTCAGGATAGACCTACGTTTCCTGCAGTGGTATGGAAGTTGTACCCGTTCGCCTTGAATTCGCAGTGAATAAATGAATACCGAGAAACCGGATATAATGAGCTTGCGAGAGTCTGAGGAGCATCTTTAATCCTCGAAGTCCCCGGATGGAATAACTTGAAATGCCAGAGCGGTTTCGCTCCCATGTAATCAGCAGACTCGCGCTTTCCATTCGTTATCCAAACGGCCTTTTGGCATGCCCTCGAGATACGTCTCGAGCTTCAAGTGAACTGCGTATCTGCTCGACATAACTCTTCATGTGCCTCGTGACGGGTTTGCTAGTCGAGCTCCGAGAAACGATACTAAGTTCGGTACCCGAAAGAGCCTCACATTAGGTACGCACGAGGCCAAAACCACCTATAAATGTGGTTTGCGCAACAGCAGTAACCGCCAGAAGCACGGGTAACGAAACACGCACCCCAAAACCAGCATCCGGCTCCGAGGAAACCCGAACCGCATCGCCCCCTGCCCATCACTCGCCCCTCACCGCGCCGCGATCTCCTCCGCCGTCAACACCCTTGACGCAGCCGTCAGCTCAGCAAACGTTGCATTCCGCTGCGCCTCCGAGCCATAGTACTCCGCCGTGACGATCGTCCGCACCCCGGCCGCCGCCTCGATCACGTCCGTCGCGTTGCGGTAGGCGCGGCCCAGTCCGACGCCCCCGACCGCATCCGATAATTCGGGGTAGTACGGCGCCTCGTTGGCGTCGGACAGGACTGCTAGACACGTGTCGAAGGAGACGACGGCGAAACCGGCAAACCATGCGTCGTATGTTGTATCCAAGGCGCCCGTCAGCGACGTGAGCGTCGCGCCGTCGGGCGAGAGCAGGCTCCACGGGTCGCGGCACGCGTTCTGCTCGCACGACTTGGTGACCATGAGCAGGGCGTTCAGGCGATTAATCAGCGCCTTGTGTTCGGTCGCGTTTGTGTTGTCTGCGGCCGCCAGGTTGGTTAGCTCGTAGGGGTCCGCGGCCGTGTCGTAGAGCTCCGTCTCGCCCGAGCACCAGACCGTGTAGACCCAGCTCTGCTCGGCGCCCAGCATGCGGATCGTCTTGTACGTCGTGTTCACGAACGGCGAGCCGAGCACGCCGGCGCTGGGCGCCTCGATCCCCGCGTTTCCCCAGTACTCGATGTTGATGCTCTCTTTCGAGTTGCCCTGCCCGGCGTCGGCGCCCGCGTTGTCCGACGAGGTCGGGTCCTGCCATTGCGGCAGCAGGCTGCGGCCGTCGAAGAACTCGGGCCAGCTCTCCTCGGCGAGCCCGGTGATCTCGAGGAAGGTTGGTGCCATGTCCAGGTGTAAGCCTGGGATGCTCGAGGTGACGTTGGCCGGGACGCCTGGGTCCCGCACGATCAGGGGGATGTTGGTGTCTTCGTTGTAGAAGAGCGACTTCCCTGCTGGCGTTCTGTGCTGACCATGGTGGTAGCCGTTATCCGATGTGTAGATGACTATCCAGTGCCATTAGTATCATTGGTCGACAGCGAAGCTGCTCGTTGGCGGTCAGGGATGCTTACTGTAGGTGTTGTCTATGATCACCTTTTCTTCCAACTTTGCGACCACGTCCTCGATTATCTCGTCTACGCCCGCAAGCGCTTGGACCCGGGATCGGTAGACGAAGTCGGCCATGTTGATTGCTGACTCGTTCATCGCAATCAAATCCTTGACCCAGCCACCGGCGTTGGCCTGGTACTCATCCGCTGGGTTGAAGTTCGGCGTCCTCGGTGCCGCGGCATCGGGGAACAGCTCCAAGTGGCGCTGCTGGGGGGTGGGCCTTGACACATATGTTAGGAAAGGGACTACAAAGTGAATCCTGAGACGGTCATACCTATGGGATGGGAGGTCTTGCTGGTAACCAACGTGTGGAGTAAAGGGGGTTATGGCCAAAAAGAAAGGATCACTTTGGTTGGTAGTGAGATATTCCAGTCGATCGAGACTGGAGGATAGTTAGCGCAATATCATCATCCGGAGAGCGGTATGCCTACGCCTTGATGCGAATGACATCTGTCTGGTGGAAGCCGTCATAGAAAACAAGTGTCTCTCCTATTTAACGGACAAGCATCAGCAGCTACTCCCATCAGAAATGGAGGAGATCGAAATCGCGTACCATTCTGCGAGAGGACAGGCAAATTGAAGTCGTCGATGTAAGGTTCGACCTATTCCGCATGAGTAATTGAAGCCAAGTTGGGCGGACTGCACACAACGCACCAGAAGGTCACTATGATCCCAACCCTTCGACGGCACATCATAGTTAGAGAGACCATATCCATTCATGATCTTCCCAATATCTGGCACAAAGTTAGCTGGCTTGATGAAGCCAAATAGGTGTCTGCGTCCGAATCACACTCGCTCCTGTATCCAGCCGCACTCAACCAATGTGGAAGATAGTTCGTATCCTGGCCAGAGAGTACCCATTTGTTATACGAGCCTCCCGGTGCAACCACGTTGGTCAGGTTGATGTTGTGTGCACGTTGCACGGTTAGCGTCTCGTTGTAAGATCTATAGATTCAGTCACTGATGTGAACTATTTTCGGGGGCTCTTCTGCGCATTGAGAAGAGAAAGGGGCTCACAAACGAACAGTCTGGCCTCGCAACAGAGTAGATCTGCTCGGGCAGCACAGGGCCTGATTGGTATAATGGTTCGTGAACTCAGTGCCCTTGGCCACCAGCTCCCGCTGCAGGACAGACTGGTAGTCCGTGGAGCCCAGCCGCCTATCCTGGTCATCCGTCATGATAAACACGATATTCGGGCTGCTGCTCTGGGCGCGAGCGACAGCGGCCCTGAGGCCGAGGCCGGCGTACAAGATCGAGAACAACATCAGACAATAACGAGGAGAATGCCCACCGAAAATGGCGATAGCCCGTCGGCTCAAAGGCTCCTGACGACAGCATAGCTTATGTATTCTCATCATCGCGCGAGTCTGCGCGGAGCGTGATACCATAGCGTAACAACACGTCCATCACGTACTTCCGCAGACATATCACGAATGGTGAGGGCAGCTGCTGTACATGCCCATCGCGGTCTTCACCGCAGAGCGGCTGCGTCAGCTGTTCTCCTGTTTTTATATTGCCCCCACGCACCCGGATATCCACCAACATTCGAGCCCGGTAGTTGCTTGGTGGAGAGATGAATATCAGCAGGGAACGGAGCTATGGCTGTCGTGCTCCAACGTCATCGTGGAAGGACAATGCTAGATGCGACTTGGCCCTTGCAGCACGCCATCGTGGAGCTTCCCCATACGGCACGGGCGTGGGTGGTGGGGCGCCAACGATGAGATCCAGGAGATCCAGGACGACTTTCACATGCTTCGACCCTCTGTAAAGCGATAATATCTAGCGTATCCAGGCTATTGACTAAACTTCTAGTTATGTCCACCGATCTGTGAGTGCAGCGGTCTGTGGGAGATCGTGAGGCGTATGAAATAGGTAATCAGGCGGTCCAAGCTCAGTTTATAGATAGCCGGTACTACCCGCATCGTCTGCGCATCCGCGTGGTTGCGGCTCACCATGATTGACCTATTGATACCTATGGTCCCCGCAGACGAGCTCATCGAGAACAACGAGCAAAGGGCGATGCCTATGGAGGCAGCGCGAGCTTCTGCATGAAAGGGCTGGGTCAATAATCGAGGCCAGGGTCGTGGTTGTGCCGGCAGCTGTGAGCGGGAATCTGCCCGAGTCGCCGCGTATATGCGACGCAACTTGCCTCCCTTCACTTCCATCAGGTATTCGGTGAGGCCTTAGATTTTGTGTCCAGCCCGGTGGCCCGAATATCCTTATCTTCAAGTCGGGTATGGACAAATGGTAGAGCCATGTTGAAGACGTTCTCCGCCGTACCGGTGTCCGCTGCCTGTATTGCGACATCATACAAATCCCCACGTGCCTCTCTTGAAAGCAACTCTGTGCAAACCGCAATCGCCCACATTGTCAGATCCTCAGGCGACCAGAGCCTGAGGATCCCACGCGCATTGATTAAGACGGAGAATCTACCGGTGCGTGGCCAGAGATTGGTGTCCGCCCTACCCAGCGTCCAAGACCAAAGTTGAACCGCAGATAGTAAATACGTATGTATAAGGCCATGACACCAGACGGGTTGCCATCGTCAAATGCAAAGACCTGTAGCACCCCTGCCGGTCTTTGAAAGGGGATAAAGCCGTGATCCATGGCATCCAAATGCTTGGAATCAAACTAGAACCCGCCATCGCTCGAAAAGCCCATAGTCGACTATAATGGCATGACATCGATCGAAAGGTTTTCAGAGAACCATGGCGGCCCGAAGGGATGGATATAATGACCCCTGGTGACAAGGCGAGGCAGTCCGCAAAAGTTGACTGAAGCTGGGATGCCTCCCTCCCGGTGTTGGAAGGTTGGCATCCAAAGGAGTGCCGTCGCTGCTAGCAATACGTCGTTAGATTGGCCCCTGAGGTGTCGAATTGGACGTAGGCGACCAGAGCTATAGACAACTTGTATCGGATGTACCGTGCGCTCGTGCTTTGCTTCACCTAAACCACCAATTGACTGAAGCATTGAGTTCTGCTTCGTGGCCCGTGCTGGCAACACTATGCCACCAGCCCTTGGGAATGAACAGCGCATCTCCTGGGCCAAGGCGTGCTTGCTTGACGTCATTCGAGCCCTCTGCGTTCGCCCAGACAGCACGATGCAGCAGCTCACGCTCAGGACCGTCCATCATCTCCGAGCCCCTGAAGCGGGAACTGCCCATGGACCCAAGCTGTCTGCGAACGCAGGCATACAAGGCCGCACCGGACTGTGGGCGCATGAGGCGAACTGTCTTGGATCCAACCATCTGACAGAACAAGTTTGGGTTCGGATCGCGGTGTAATGGAGTGTAGGTAGGCTGAAGCCCAAGCCAGACACTGGAGTCATAAATGTCGCCCTTGCCGGCATGCCTGACAATTGCTGGCACCGGTAGGTCCTCGGAGAGAGGCTGTGGAAGATTGCTTAGATTCGACTGTGCGACATAGAGCTGCTTGATCCGCTCAGCAGCACTACTTCTGGTTCGGTTGAACTGGCAAGCACGAAGCAGCAGGCTCAGGGGCGCGTCGAATTGTAGGAAATGAGACTGACTTCCCTCGATGCTCTGCAACAGGTGTCCCACGATCACTGACAGATTATCATGGACGCCTCCAGCTTGCTCTGGACTTTGAAGCCACTCCTGAAGATTTCGTAGGTTCTTTAGCCGTTGATCTGGCGAGGTACCACTGTATGCTGGGGTCATGAGTTCATAAGGCATGACAACATCGCCATATGGCTCCATTGTCTGACGAAATGAGACAGAAGGACCATCCGAGACATCTGTAAACCATTTCTTCATCGCCGGAAACTCATGAAAGCCTCGAAGCTGAAGTGGAATTTCAGGGGTCCATGCAATGTCGCGGAAAATGTTCAAATCAATCCTGCCCTCTACTTTTTCGACGTCTGCAACTCCAGTGTGACCTTCCCGTGCGAAGCTTCTTGCACTCGACAATGTCGATTGGCATCTGAGGGTTGGCTTACGAATGTCGTTAACCGGGCGCTTCACCACAGCAGCCAGCTGGGATGTATAGGGCAGCAGCCGCGTCATTGTCGAGCACCACTTGACGGAACTCGCACGGCGACATCGGACACTGCAATAAAGGCAGGCGGGCCCTTTGAGGCCAAACAATGTCTTAGTCGACATTCGAACGAAACAGAATCAGGCAATAGCTGTTAGCACAAGTCTAACAAAGGTTGGTTGCAATGGAACCGTTCAAAGACGAAATTCTGTGAGAATCTGTCAGAGACAGCCATGAGCCACAACTCGGCTTAAGACATAGCCACCTGCAGGGAGGGAAATATCCTTCTACCGGGGTTCAGCCACCCCCTCCAAGCCCCAAGTCTGCCAGGTACACGGGCCACTGGCCACTGGCTTGAAGCACAATCTTGGGTCGATACAGGCAGCTGCCAACCTTGGAAGGGCAGGCAAGGGCGCAATGTGCACATGCAGCCTCCTCCTGCTCCTCCTCCAAAACCCCCCCTCCACCATGGTAGCCTTCAATTCATATTAACCACCACCCTGCCACCTCAATATCTTGCTACATTAGGTATCCAGCTACGATATCGATTCGTTCAACACCGGATGTGGGGTCCGTCAGCATAGTCAGTCAGTCGAGCCTGGATCCCCTCCTCCCGCGCGTCATGCAGGTGCCATAGGTTTCAACCCACGCAACCTTCATCGCCCACAGCCTGCCCTGGCCCTGACAGCCTGACCGTGACTTGACAGGGGTGGTTCGCACGTCCACCAAATCTTCCCCTCCATTTGTTACCAGAGCCCCTCCGCAGCCAAGAAAAGACGTCGCTGCTGGCGCATTCCCTATTGGCATGATGTCTTCGTCCTCTGGGACCCCCGAGTCCTGGATCTCCTCCTTCTGCTCGCTCCTGGGCCATGAGTACTTCGCCGAGGTGTCGGAGGAGTTCATCGAGGATGATTTCAACCTGACCGGCCTGCAAACCCAGGTGGCCATGTACAAGGAGGCCTTGGAGGTACATACCCCTTATCCTTGCCCTTACTTATACTTATGATATTCCGCTGACTGACTTCTTCCCGATCAGATGATCCTGGACGTCGAGCCCGAAGACGATGACGACGAAGAAGACGAAGAGGAAGAAGAGGAAGACGAATCAATCGAAGGCGCCGACCGCATGCGACAGGGCGAACGACGAAATCATAGCCGTATTGCTAGTGACCTCTCGGTGATCGAGTCTTCTGCCGAGATGCTGTACGGCCTCATCCACCAACGGTTCATCTGCTCCCGAGTCGGCATTCAACAGATGTCAGAGAAGTATGAGCTGGGCCACTTCGGAGTCTGTCCGCGCAACCACTGCGAGCAGGCGAGAACTCTCCCCGTTGGTTTATCCGATGTACCGGGCGAAGAGACTGTCAAGCTGTTCTGCCCTTCGTGTCTCGACGTATACGTACCTCCCAACAGCCGATTCCAGACTGTCGACGGAGCCTTCTTCGGCAGAACCTTCGGTGCCCTCTTCTTACTCACATTCCCCGAATACGACCTCACAAAACGCGGCGCCGACGTCTTGGCAGGTGCTCGCGTTGCTGAAGACGACAAGGACATGCTTAACGGCATGTACCTGTGCAATATTGCTCCAGGCTTGGGAAAAGACAGAATCTACGAGCCGCGTATCTACGGGTTCCGCGTGTCAGAAGTAGCGAGATCGGGCCCACGGATGCAATGGCTGAGAGAAAAGCCCGAGGATTTGTCAGAACTAGACGAGGCGCGTCGATTTGTGGAGGAGAACCCAGACAGCGACGATGATGACGAAAGCATGAATTTGAATGGACGACCTGCACGGCGGCTACGACCCAAAAGACGACAGGGCCAAGGGGGAAGCCCAATGAATACGGAGACGAACGGTGCCGGATCAGAGGTTTAGGCAAAAGACGAAATTGGCAGACTCCTCCAGTTAACTTCGTCATCGTCTCCGGCCACAATATCCGCCCTGACAGATACCCTAACTCACAGCACTTCAGACGGGGGTGTAGACCTCCACGGGGGTGTAGACCTCCACGGGGGTGTAGCCCTCTGAAACTCGGTCTAGCCTACCGAGAAGAGGATTACTGTGGGAATGAGCCGAGATGTGAAGCAGGTAGGCATGGGAAAGAGGCTGCATTGGACCTTCTCTTTCGTCTTGCATGCAAACGGCGTTTGTTCTTCGTCGCTGTTTCGTGACGCCTGTGTTGATGTGGTGTTGGGAGAAAACAGCGCGGCACAGGTGAACGGAATCTCATGGAGAGGTCACTGTTGAATATGATGGCCCTGTGGGAGAAAGGGGGGGGGGGGGGGTGGTGGGTGCGTTTGGTCGATCATGACACATGATGCTGGCGTTTTGGCGCTTATAGACCGTAGTCCTGCATCATAAATCATAATATGACCTTTCCCACAAACGCTGTCAATTCCTAGAATCCACGGTGGATCCCTATTAGTCCACCTTTCCTTCGACAACCGTCAGTCACGTGGGTATTCTCGTGGTTGTTTGTTTGTTCATTGAAAAAGCACTCTTCCGCCCCCCTATGATATTCCCAACTGGACTGAGAACATCAAGCGAAGACAATGGTTAAACATATAGAACCCACCAAAAGCCGCTGTTCGCTTCGCCGTGACCCTACCTACCTAGACTGGGAAACCTGATATATGTGACCGAGTAACGCATACACTTCGTCTCTCTGTGTACCGAAAATCCCCTTTCGTCAGCTCCTTGGCTGGCCTCTTCATCCAGATCTAGCTGGCTGGGGATCCTCAGGAGATCCTGATGCGAGACTCCTGTCACATGAGTAGGCGGCTGTCGGAGTGTGGTTTTCTTCGTGGGGTCTAAGGTATGTGTGAACGAGTTGAGTCTTCGAGTTGGTTACATGGTCTGCGGGCAGCAGGCAGCGGGCAGCAGGCAGCGGGCAGCAGGCAGCAGGCAGCAGGCAGGCTCGGATGTGAGGGATTCTCAACGCGTCTGCAAGCGACTGAGATCAGACGAAGAGGCTTGTGGCTCGATGGCTGATATTTTGGTTTTGCTGTCGTTCCGTTCTGGCTTCTTAGGGGGTACTCCTTGCTGGACGTAGCCTCGATGTCGGGTCTCACTTTGGTATGAGGCGACAGTCGATGCATGCGGTTTCATTGTGGTGCAGGACTTTGCGACATATTCTGGGTATAGTATCTAAAACATTTCTCGTATGAGGGACAGCACAGGCTCTTTGACCTTATGTGGATCTATGTGTTGGTTTACTATTGAGCTGCTGAGCTGCTGAGCCTCTGATCCTTTGTTTCCCTAGGTAGTTACACTTGTGATATATATATTAGGCACTATACCCTGCGGTATAGTCTCAAGGTGAAATCCTAGCAGCCGCCCTTAATTTGTTAGCTTGCGCGTAAAGCGATCCTGTGGGCATCTCCTTGCTATTCCCATAGTTACCTGGTGGCACCTCTGGCTGAGTGGCAGTTGGTTCGGTGTTCTCACAGCTAGGTCAGGCGTATGAGCTGAACGAGATGAACGAGAGCATTTAGTCAGGTTAAGCATTATGCCAAGGCTTAGGACAGTCGTCTCGGATTATCATTCCTAAGTACTGATACACTATTGTCTAACCTTAGTTCGTAGATTATGTTTGCGCGGAATAATGCGCGGAACAACCTACTGGTAGTATCTCGGCTGCTTAAAACAGGTTGCATATGGCAGTCGTTGATACCAGCGAGTCCTCTCTTGCTCGGTTTTTAGGCAGATGCGCACTTTGAAGGTGCATCATCTGCGCATGCATGGTAGCCAGCTTCAGATTCAGTGTCATAGGCTCCTGAGCCCGGACATATCAACCACAGCCTTGGGGTCTGCGGTCGCGACACGGGCAAGGGCATACTGCGAGGCTGAGTACCTCCAGGCGAAATTCCGCGATCACGACATGGGCGTATTTGCAAGGCTGCAAACAAAGACGCATGCATCCACGGCACACCCGATGTTTGCCTCATGCCGGTATGCTCAATGCTTGCTGGGACCCCCACGCGATGCAACGCACACGGGTTGTTGGGCCTGTCCTGGCTATACCGCCACCGTAAAATACTGTGTCAAGCCTAGCAATTTACAGGTATTTACCTTACTAAGCGAAAATACTAGCGTGACTAGCAGCCAAGAGCCATCCCCACTATTCCAGCGGCGCGGAGATTGACCTCCAGTGTCTTATCTCCATGCAACCTTGAAGCAACTTGCAAGGTGCTTGGGTCTGACAGACCGACACGTGGGAGGGAAACACTCGCTGCCCTTTTGGTATTTCTTTTTCTCGCGCTGTTACACGACTTCAGATGATGATGCATTGGAAGCTGCGTGATATTCTGGTCGATCAATACTTGACGCTTTCTCGATCCCTGATGTGCTTGATGATGGTGCGACTGCAGAAGGTGTGAAGGACTGAAGTTGAAGCTGACATCCAAATGACACGAGTTCCGATACGGTGGATGCTTCGACTGACTCGACTACGACACTAGTATCTCGCCTCCCCAATATCTCCGCTTTACGAAGTCCCGTCTGGAGATAGATTTTTTATGGCACCCCGCCAAGACACTGGGCTTTTTTCTTTCGTCCCGCTACCTAGGGGGGACAACAACAGCACACCGCACAACGCATGGAAACGCGAAATTCATGGTTGTATCGCATCGCCTGCACACAGATAATACCGTGCATGTCGCCCCTTTGGCCTCTGCCTCCAGCCAGTCGAGGTGCCGGCGCTGGGTTTATTAGATCTGTGGCTTTCAGCCCGCCCATTGGGCCGCAGCTGATGCGCAGGGCCGGCTGCCAGCGGGAGACTGGACTCAACGGTGACAAATGAAGCTTGCTTACTCCCTCCTCTAGAGTCCGGGCTTCGTCGGGGCTATCACCTCGAACGGCTACATTAGGTAGTCTTGATTTATAAGTTAGGTATGTCAGATCCGCATCTCGCTCAGGAGTCAGGAGCAGAAGTCAGCACTAATAAAAGCATCAAGCTGGCCCGGCCTGTCGTCTTACGCCGTTCGCCGGGTGAGTCAAAGGAGTGAAAGGACAGTCAGATATTAAATTGCGCGCCGTATCAGTCCCTCCTTTTGGCCGAGTGCGAAACATGCGCACGCTGTGCTGGGACCGCCGGCAGGAAATATCGAGCCAATAGCGGAATGCCCAGCCCGTCCGTATATCGGCCACGGTCTGCAAGGTTGAAGTATCTCGATCACAGTGACACGGTCAGCCTTTGTTTCGTCGTACCGAAGACCCAGCAGACTGCAGTTGCAAATCTTGCAATAGGAGTCTGAAGTCGAGCTCGCTATCAACGTCCCTGCCTATAACCCCTAACAATCTGATACTCTAACAGGAGATGTCGTTTTATCAATCTCACGTACACTCTTCCCCCTGTTTTTTTAAACAGTAGATTCCGTACTTTTAACTTATAAGACCCTTATTAGCCTAACTCTTTAAAAGCCTTTATAAAGCATATACCTTTAATTTAATTAATTGAAAGCTTTAAAAGCTTTTCAGGGGTTTTAAGGTTTTTAAGGTTTTAAAAGCACGAAACTACGTTATAATAAAAGGGGTATGTACGTAAAATGAGTTGAAATTTCTAACTATAACGTAAATAATAAGCGAGCTACAAGCTATTACAAACCTTTTAAATAACATATCAAATAACTTAATTATAACGTATTTAATTTAATTTAATCAATCAGATTCTTTTTTCAAACATTCTCATTTTTATTATATAAGTTCGTGTATTATAGCTAGTATTGCTATAAACGCTACAACATCGCTTAGGTATTGCTGTTTTTTTAAACGACAATTATTTTTACTTATTTCTTGTTTTGCTAGCTTATTACTATCTTTTACAGCTTAAAAACGTACTGCATTTTTAACGGAAAGTATTCTGCTTTTTATTAACCGTTTTTTTTTAATCTTTTCGCGTTTACTTAGTAAGTGATTAACTTCTTTTAACTTGCAGACTTAAAAATAATTAAAGCGACCTTAAATATAAAACTGTACATAGCTTTTAAAAACGAGTTTAATATATTAATAATGAACGTAAGCTTGATTTTGTAATAGCTTTTAATTTAGGTTTTAATATATACCGACTAGGTTATTATTTTAATAATAATAATAATAATAATAATAAGCGTTTTTAATGTTTAAATAGTAAGTAGTCAATTAAGTTTAATAACGGTATTTATACGATAATAATAGCATTTAGCTTCGATATAACATTTTTTAAGTTAAAAAAAAAACAAAGCTAATAGTATTAAACCTTAGCTAAACGTTTTTTAATGTGATAATAGCGTTATATACTTTATAAAACGCTGCAAAAAAGTCTTTCTTTAAACCGTAAGTTATGTAACGGCGGATAATATCCTTAATCATACGACCGTAAGCTCGGTTGAACGGGTTAAAATAACATTTAAAATTAAAGCTTGCATAATAAATAAGCAGACATATAAAGGTACTAATACTGTTATAATAATTATAGTTTTTAAAGACTTGGAAATAATAGCTTTTATAACTATTTAAAATAAAAAGGCGTTTACCGGCAGTTATACGCCTTTTAATATACTTGTTAAGATGTTATATTTATTTTGAACCTGTCTTATTTTTAATTTACTCCTTATTAAATACAGCTACCTTTTAATCGCGTAGTAATATCGTGTTGCGAAATTATAACGCGAGGTAGGTTTTACCTTATAAAATAATCAACGGCAAGACTATTTAATTATGACTATTAATAGTAAAACTGCTATAAACCATGTTGTTTTACCTTATTAAGCTTATACAAACCTGTTATATCTTTTAACGTTTATGACAACTATCTTAGACTTAATAATGTCTATTATAAACCCAGTTTTATTACAATTATAAATATCCGCGTTTTAAATACTATATTTTATAACTATTATTTTAACTTAGTAAAACCAAGCGCGATACGCGTTTAAGTCTTCGTTTAAAACCTTTTAATTTTTATATTTCAAAAAACGCGTTTAGAAGCATATTAAACATTTAAAAAAGTTCCGCGTCTAGTTTTTATTAACGCGTTCAGCCTTCCACGCTATTAATCATTAATTCGCTATATCTTTAATATAACTATACCAGGGTAGAGATGCTCGTAAATTTAAAACGATAAATATTTTTTTTAACATTATTTTCAAAAATTTCAAGTTTAAAAATATTAAGCATATTATCGCGTCGTAATAATCGGCCGGAGATTCTAGTGTAAAAGGGGCTTTTAAGAATATAAAAGAGCTTTATAAGTTTAAAAACGAGAATATAAAGGTCGTGTTATTTAGTTTAAACAGCTAATTACAAGTTTAATTCGTTATACCGTAATGCTATTAATACAAGGAAAGAAATAATAACTTAAAGTTAAAGGCTTATAATATTAATAATAGCTCGCAGCTCGCTTGTTATATACGTTATAAAGAAATTGGTTTATATAAACATTTATTGACACGATGCCTGCGGCGTTGTGTGTGAATCTGGTGTTGTATTCTGAAAATAACAAGGCGAGGAAGGAAAGGAATCCAGGTGTTTGTGCACCCAAATGGCTGCGAACATATGGTGGTGTCCTTCCTTATCTAATCTACACGTGACCTGATGACTCAGCATCCAACCAGGTGGATACAGGTGCTGGACCGTCACATTTATTATTAAAAGAGTAAATTTTATACGTTTTTTTCTTCGTTTTTACTATTTTATTCGTATTTTATTACTATTAGTATTATTGTTTAAAATCTTACTTAACGCCTTTAAATTATCATTCAATAACGTTTTAATAGCTTATAACGTCTTTATTTCTTAATAGTTCTAAACGAAACTATGTAAGGATTAAATAATATAATTCAATAGTAAATTAAGCGACATAGCTTTTTAAAAGTTATTAATTAACTTTATTAAATGCTTATCACTTGCTTTTTCCTAATAATATTTCTTAATATACATCTTTATATATAGCTATATAGATTCAATAGTATCAAGATCCGGGCTTTTTAATAAAAACTTTATCATAATATTAAGAAGATAATGTTAATTAAACGACTTATTCATAAATTTATAGTTATACGTAGAACTATTTTCTTATTATATCTTAATATCTTAATATTATTAGTATTAATCTTTTACGTCAATAATAATGTACTTTTTTAATGTGCCTTTAACTTAGTAGTTCTTTATTTTTATTATTTTATTATAATAAAGCCTTTAGCTTCATTAGTAAAATTGCTTTAAAATATTTGTCTTCGGCGTTTATACATATAGTTTTAATAAGGCTTAATCGATTTGCTTAAAAATGAAGCACATTTACGGTTGCGGCCAAATAAGTTATTAATATAAGTTTTATCCGTTTAAAGCAAAGTTTTTTAATTTATTATTATAAAACATAATTATTTGTAAGTAAAATTAAGTCATTTTTACCCGTACTTATTTTTAAGGTCTATATTATAAGAGTAAAGTAATTAAATAAACCCGAATTTCCTATATAAGTTTCGTTGCAGTCGAAAGAATATTTATAAAAGTAAGAAATATACTAATAAAAATATTTTTCTTACTCTATTAGTAAAATTTTTAAAAGATATGTTATAAAACTTATTAAAGTATATATCGAGCTAATGTCATATTTATTAAATAAAAGTTAATAACGGCGAATTACATAAGTGTAATAATATTAATTATCTTACAATAACTTCGTTACTTATAAGCATGCTTATTTAACGCTTTTATAACGTATTTAACTTGTTTTTAATAAATTTATCTCTATAACGATACGTATATAAAACTAGCTTATAATATAGTATAAAGCTTTAATTATTACCTTTTTAGAAAAGTGGTTTACTTAATAAACGTTATTGTTTTAATAGCGGCGGCGGTAATAATAACCATCGTACGTTTTTAAGTAACGGCTCGTAATATTTACTATTACGTAAGTCTTTTAACTCGTATTTAACGGAGTTATTGTAAGGGTATTGCACCGGCATGTCAGGCCGACTGGTCACCCATCAGAGCCATAAGGCTCCACTACCATATCTCCTTAAAACGTCTAATTCTCACAAACATACTAGGATAGATTGAAGTATCCTCATACACCTACTTTTTGGAATCACCGCTATCACCTACTTCAGCATTCAGCTACCTTAACCCTTACAATTATTTACGTTACAAGAAGTGAGTTATATTGTGATTAATTTTGAAATAAAAGTTAAAATTATTAAAAAAATGTTTAGTTATTAAAAGTGATCGTAAAGAGGTTACAGTATTAAAAACTTATATTAAATAATAGTTTCAACGAAAAAATCAAGGGCAAGGTCGATTTTGTTACGAGCGCACAAAAAAAAAGGCTTATTATAAAGGGTGGTAAAGCCTATAAAGTGGCTTAATTCCGCCTCAAGCAAAAGATTTAAGGTTAAAAATTAATAAAATCCTTAGTAATGGTAGCTTTTGTAACTTTTACTTCTTTTTTATTATAAGGTAGTATTTTTCTTCAACGAACGTAATATCGAAAAACATGTTAAATAAGCGATTAATTGATAATTTAAGTTAAAGATACAAAAGATACTGATATAAAAGCGCTTTTAAACGGCAGCTTAACTATTAAATAAAGAAGGTACAACATACAGCAAAAACAAAGAATAAATTCGAGAAAATTAAAGGTATTAATAAAAATAATTATAAAATATGTAAGCAGTTAACCGGTACCTATATTTAAAGAAATACGGTACTTAGTAAGTATTACTACTTTATACTTTAATAATATTTTCATAACGGTTTTGATACTTAATTTTAAGCTTAAAATAATAAGAGATAAAGGTATTTTAGCCTCCGGTTTATTTATAAAAAAACATCGTATAATAGTTTTAATTATAAGCGTATTTATAACTATATTAATACTTTAACGATACTATATATATCTAAGTGTTGTAATAATAAAGGTAGCAAATACCATATCTACTGTTTAAAGAAACCGGGGTAAAAGTGTAGAACCCACCTGGATACTTTATTGTGGTTCATCTAAGGAACGACCTTGCATCCCCACAACATGGGAACGGTACATATGCCAGCACTTGCGGCGGCAATGACTGTGGCCGGCGTGAATGTATTCTTGTTCTTGATACGCCGAATGACAGGTCATACCGAGTATGCACGAGTGGGCGATGTATGTAGTATGCTTGGTGAATGTTAAGATGTCAGACTCCTAGACATGCGTCAGAATGAATCATTCTGTCGGTATGGCCACAGCCACAGCCTGGTGCACCGTGACTGTGTACCACTTCCGTAGTACATAGACACGGTAGTACGGCACACGGTGTTCTGCTCGTGGTGGGCGGGATGTCTCTGTTCAAGTGTTGATTGATAATCCACACTCTCCGTCCAATCATTCCTTCCCTCTTCCTGCCGCAATCAAGCTTCTCCACCTTCCTGCAGTAGAAATCTGACAGATTGTCGGGCCCTACCTAGCGTAGTGCTCACCCACCGTAGCCACTTTAGCGGGTACCTTACCGTTGCAGTGGACACCAACACCACGGCACGGTAGAAACGGAGGGCTGCTGCAGCAACTAGCCACCTGCAAGCAGCCAAGGTAACGGCCGCTGGCGACGGTTATTATCAATCAAGCAAGGTAGTAGCGCCTGTGGTTCACTTCCCACCGTCCATATTAGAATCTCACCTTCTTTTATTTTTTACCACACACACTCCTTGGCCGCGTCGTGGACCTTTTGCTTCTTCGCTTCCCTCTCTCTTTCTCGTCCTTCGCCCCAAGCCCCAAGCCCCGGTCCATTTGAGACCACAGCAGAAGGTGTTGCACCGGTGATTGCTCCGATTCAACAATTACATTCCTTCCCTCGCTTTTGTTTTGGTCAAAGCTCGCCATCCAACCCAGCCCCGAGCCGCTGTCGCACGGGCTTTTGGCTGCCATTACACTCTTGTACCTATCTTGAGACAAGCCGTGTAATATAGCAATTAAGCCGCCGGTGAAAGGCTCGCCGTTGCACACAGACCACAAGTTTCATCCATCACTTGTCAGTCGGCGCCACCCAACGAGGTGTTGCTGTTGAAGATGGACGCAAAGGATCTGGAAAAGCAGGAATTGGTAGCGTTGGCCCCAGGCGGTACTGTGCAGACTTCTCATGGCGAGAACCCTGCGCATCCAGACAAGAGCACTCAGCCTTCCTCCGCGACTTCAACGCCAACCACCACGGATGCATCCGAGGAGCAGCGCGAGTACGCCAGACAGAGCAACCCCAATGGCTTTTCTCGCGTCAACACGGGCGTCTCGGTTGAGCAGGCCGAGGCCGATTTCGCACACTTGCAGAGGGAGATATCTGGACTATCGCGAGCCAGTCGTGCCAACAGTCGAAAATCCGCAGACGCCGAGAAAGATGCTAAGACGGACGTGCAATCGCCCGAATCTGAGGCCTCGATAGAAGTCTTCGACCTGGAGGAAGCTCTGCGAGGTGGGCTGCATGCCGAGAGAGAGGCCGGCATCAGGCCAAAGCATATCGGTGTTCACTGGGACGGACTCACCGTGAAGGGTATGGGGGGCATGACCAATTTCGTGCAGACATTCCCTGATGCTTTCGTCAACTTTGTCGATTACTGGACCCCATTGATGAGCCTGCTGGGAAAGGGCCAGAAGGGTGTTGAAGCTACTTTGCTAGACAACTTCCGGGGTGTCGTCAATCCCGGCGAGATGGTCCTTGTGCTCGGGAGGCCCGGTTCGGGATGTACGACTTTCCTGAAGTCGATTACAAACCAGCGATGGGGCTACACCAGTGTCACCGGCGACGTTGAGTACGGTCCTTTTACCGCTAAGGAATTTGAGCACTACCGGGGCGAGGCCGTTTACAACCAGGAAGATGACATCCACCACTCAACCCTAACTGTTGAACAGACTCTTGGATTTGCTATCGACACCAAGGTCCCCAACAAGTTGCCCGCAGGCACCAACAAAGGGCAGTTCAAGAAAGACGTCATCACTATGCTCCTCAAGATGTTCAATATCGAGCACACGAGAAATACGGTGGTAGGCGACGCGCTCGTGCGCGGAGTTTCTGGCGGCGAGAGGAAGCGCGTGTCCATTGCCGAAATGATGATTACCAACGCATGCGTTCTATCATGGGACAACAGCACCCGAGGACTCGACGCCAGTACGGCACTCGATTTCGTCAAGGGTCTCCGCATTCAGACTAACCTCTACAAGACCTCAACGTTCGTTTCCCTCTACCAGGCCTCCGAGAACATTTACCGGCAATTTGACAAGGTACTCGTCATCGATTCTGGCAGACAAGTATACTTCGGCCCAGCTACCGAAGCACGCAGCTACTTCGAAGGCCTCGGCTTTCTTCCGCGCCCGCGACAAACCACACCCGATTATGTTACAGGTTGCACGGATGAGTTCGAGCGCGCATACTCTGATGGGTATTCTCCCCAGAATGCACCGCACAGCCCCGAAACACTGGCTGCGGCCTTCGAGAAGTCCAACCTCACCGAGCGCCTCAATGCCGAGATGGCTGACTACAAGACGCGACTGGAGCAGGAGACCGCCCAGCACGAAGACTTCCGCTTGGCCGTCCTCGAGGCCAAGCGCAGCGGGGCTAGACACTCGATCTACAGTGTCGGGTTTCACTTGCAAGTATGGGCACTGATGAAGCGTCAGTTTGCCCTGAAACTCCAGGACAAGCTCGGGCTTTCACTTTCGTGGTTCCGTAGCATCATCATCGCTATCGTTCTGGGTACTCTTTATCTGAGATTGGGTAACACCTCTGCCAGCGCGTTCAGCAAGGGTGGTCTCCTGTTCATCTCCCTCCTGTTCAACGCTTTCCAGGCCTTCTCCGAGTTAGGCTCGACCATGACTGGTCGGCCGATCGTAAATAAGCACAAGGCATATGCATTCCACCGGCCCTCGGCATTATGGATAGCCCAAATCTTTGTCGACACTGCATTCTCCGCGGTTCAGATCTTGGTTTTCTCCATTATCGTCTATTTCATGACCGACCTGCATAGAACCCCGGGGGCCTTCTTCACCTTCTACTTGCTGATCCTAGTTGGCAACCTCGCGATGACCTTGTACTTCCGGATCATTGGCTGCCTATCTCCGGATTTCGACTACGCAATCAAATTCGCCGTCATCACAGTAACACTGTTCATTCTGACATCGGGTTATCTGATCCAGTATCAGTCCCAGCAAGTCTGGCTCCGGTGGATTTTCTGGATCAATGCTCTTGGTCTGGCCTTTGCTAGTCTGATGGCGAACGAGTTTGGTGGTAACGAGCTCACATGCTCAGGCGAATCACTCGTTCCATCTGGTGTAGACTACAACAACATCAGCCACCAGGTTTGCACCTTGGCTGGCTCGGTACCTGGCACCCTGCAGGTGAACGGTGGCGACTATATCACACAAGGATATTCATATCATCCTCATGATCTGTGGCGGAACTTTGGCATTATCATGGCCATCATTGTCTTCTTCCTGATCATGAACGTCGTACTGGGCGAACTGGTCAAACATGGGATGGGCGGCAATCAGGCCAAGGTCTTCGCCAAGCCAAACGCTGAGAGGAAAGCGCTGAACGAGGCACTCACGGACAAGCGACTCCAGCGCCAGACGTCGAGGCAAGATGAATCCAGCGCGACTCTAAAGATTGAGTCAGAAAGCATTCTAACTTGGGAAGACCTGAACTACGACGTCCCCGTCCCTGGTGGCGTTCGCCGGCTGCTGAATGGAGTTTACGGATACTGCAAGCCGGGCCAGCTCACTGCGCTCATGGGGGCCTCGGGAGCTGGAAAGACGACTCTACTGGACGTGCTCGCTTCAAGAAAGAACATCGGCGTTATCCATGGCGACATTCTCGTCGATGGTTCGAAGCCGGGCAAGGAGTTTCAGCGGTCAACTTCGTATGCCGAGCAGCTTGACATGCACGACCCTACCCAGACAGTCCGTGAGGCGCTGCGTTTCTCCGCCGACCTTCGGCAACCATTCGAAGTTCCCCAAGCCGAAAAGTACACCTACGTTGAGGACATCATCGCATTGCTCGAGATGGAGTACATCGCAGACTGCATCATAGGAACCCCGGAAGCTGGTCTCACCGTTGAGCAGCGCAAGCGTGTGACTATTGGTGTTGAGCTGGCAGCGAAGCCCCAACTTTTACTTTTCCTGGATGAGCCCACCTCGGGTCTCGACAGCCAGAGTGCTTTCAACATCGTTCGATTCCTGAAGAAGCTTGCTGCTGCTGGACAAGCCATCCTCTGCACCATCCACCAACCGAACGCCGCCCTGTTCGAAAATTTCGATCGACTGTTGCTGCTACAGAGGGGTGGTCGCTGCGTCTACTTCGGTGACATTGGTGAGGACGCCTACGTTCTTCGGGACTACCTCTCACGACATGGAGCGACCGCAGGGCCATCCGACAACATTGCCGAGTACATGCTGGAGGCAATTGGCGCTGGTAGCAGCCCACGCATTGGCAACCGAGACTGGTCCGACATCTGGACAGACAGTCCTGAACTTGCTAATGTCAAGGACACGATTTCTCAGTTCAAGGATTCCCGGAAAGCGGCTGCATCGAAGCATGATTCTTCACTGGAGCGCGAATTCGCATCACCCCTGATGCACCAGATCAAGGTGGTTTTCCACCGCATGAACGTGTCGTTTTGGCGATCACCAAACTATCTATTCACCCGCGTCTTCAACCATCTCGCAATTGCCCTACTGACAGGCTTGATGTATCTCCAGCTGGACGACTCTCGCTCATCTCTGCAATACAAGGTCTTTGTGATGTTCCAAATCACAGTTCTTCCCGCACTGCTCATGCCTCAGGTTGAGGCCATGTTCGTCATCAAGCGTGCCATTTTCTTCCGCGAACAGTCGAGCAAGATGTACAGCACCTTCACTTTCACTTTGAGTATGGTGCTCGCAGAGCTACCCTACTCGATCCTCTGTTCAGTCGTCTTCTTCATTCCCCTTTACTACATCCCCGCCTTCCAATACGAGTCCACTCGTGCCGGATACCAGTACTTTATGGTTTTGATTACCGAGCTCTTTGCTATTACCTTGGGGCAGGTTCTCGCTTCCATCTCACCGTCGGCTTTCGTCTCCAGTCAATTCGACCCTTTCATTGTCATTACCTTCGCCCTCTTTTGTGGTGTCACGATTCCCAAACCCCAGATGCCCGGTTTCTGGCGCGCGTGGCTGTACCAGTTGGACCCGTTCACACGACTCATCGGCGGTACGGTGAGCACTGCTCTGGAAGGCATCGAGGTTCACTGCAAAAATTCCGAGCTGAACGTCTTCACCGCCCCTGAGGGTCAGACGTGTGGCACATACATGACAAGCTTCTTCGCCAACTCAGGTCCCGGATACCTCGTCAACAATGACACCAGCGATTGTCAATATTGCGCTTATCACTTTGGCCAAGAGTTCTACGAGCCGCTCGGCATCAGCTACGGTCACCGCTGGAGAGACTTGGGCATTTTTCTAGCCTTTGTGGGCAGTAATTTGATCATCCTGTTTGCAGCCGTAAGTCCCCCTTTTCACCTCAACATTCGCAGCCGTGCTAACTTATCACAGGGCCGCTTCTTGAACTTTAACCGCCGTTGATGTTGTCGAAAAGATGTTGTGATGAGTTGATTGGTCGCTATTTTGTGGAAGATTTGCCCGGCGTTCTCGCATTGGTGAAGCGAATACCTAATGAGTTGTCAGCGGTTCGGCAAACGGTATACATGTTAGAACATAGAATGGCGTCCTTGATTGGGGCACCTGTCGAGGTGTGTTTCTGCATCAGAAGTAGATAAGTGGCTGTGTACATAGTAATCATACAGTCAAATAAATAGACATCGTTTCGGTTGCGTTTGATGCCAAGATAGTCAAGTTGATCGTGGGATATAACGAGGCACGCTATCATCGTGTGCGCTTCGCGTCACTGTCAGATACTGCCTTTATTCACTCTAACCTCCCACGCCTATATAGCTACGTTACCGTACGTAGGTTATTTCCCACGTCCACACCTCCCACAGCCGTCAGCCATTAGTCATCAGTTCATCAACCTCCACCACATCCACCCCATCCAACTCGTCCAAAATCCCCCTCTTGGTCACCTCATCCGCCCAGCTCATCTCGACCGCATCCCGTACAATCCCCACCATGTCCCCCTTAGTAAACCCGCAGTACGTGTACACCTTCTGCAGCGCGCCGTCGACCCAGACGTCGTGCATGTAAGCCGGGTCGTCACTCCCAATACTAAATTTCACGCCCGCTTTGTGTAGTGTGCGGATCTTGGGGAATAGGACTGAGGTCGCCTGCCGGCGGTGGTATGCGTGGGGGCAGAGGGTTAGTGGGATTTTGTGGGTGCTGAGGGAGTTTAGGAGGGGAGGGGAGGAGACGGCGTTTAGGCCGTGATCGATGCGCTCGGTGTGGATGTTGTGGATTGCTTCCTGTTAGTAAACTAGAGTCAGTAATTACTTCTTTTATATGCTTTGCCGAGAAGCAAGGACCCGAGATGCATGTCTCGGGAGCAAAGGGCTCCTGACATAGGCTAGAAGAGGAAATTCGCCCCTGAGACGCGGCCAGGAGTGGCAATAAGAGACTCGAAAATCTGCCAGTACATACGTGGATGTGCGAGACGGCGTCTTTCTGGTCGACGTCGCAGTGGAGGGTTATGTGTAACCCGTCCTCGCGCGCGCGGGTGAAGGCGGGGAGGAAGAGGGATGGGGGGTTGTTGTATTCGTTTGAGGCTAGGCCTACGGCGTGGAAGAGGCCCTCCCCACGCTCGCCCTCCCCATTGCCCTCCCCATCCTCGCCCTCGCCTTCTTCACCTTTGCCATTACCGTGATTGGGTACACGCGCCCACGGCCACGCAGCCTCGTAAGCGGCGAGGGCCTCGGACACGGGCCGGTCCCGGATGAAGCACAGGATCCAGTTGCTGCGGATGCCGTGCGTGGCCTCGGCGGTGCGCTTCGCGCGCAGGTAGCCGGCGCAGACAGTCGCGGCGCTGATGCCGCGCGGGAGGTAGGCTTGCAGGTCGAAGAAGGGTTCGCAGTACCTCACGTTTAGGGCGGCGGCGCGGGTTAGGTAGGCCATGCCTAGGTCATAGAAGTCGGACTGTTGTAGGGCGAGGGTTGGGTTAGTGGATGGGATGGGTGGGTGGTCGTGTTGGCAACTTGGAGGTAGGTAGCGGGAGGTCAGGGGGTTTGCGGGAAGCTTGGGACTAGGTAGGAGATTATAGTTGATCGTTGGGGTTTGGCAGATGCGCCGGGGTGAGGCGGGATGAAAACGGGACGGGACGGGGGGAGCGGAGCAGGGTCGGGGGTAAGAGATAAGGGGTAGGGGGTAGGCGATTAACGGGCAGCGACTGACCTCGGTGCACAGGACCTGCGTGCCGGCGAAGTAAGTCTCTAGGAATGTGGGCGCCCCCGTGTCGCCGTTGAGCTCGGGCCGGTGGTTATAGAGGACCTGATAAGAGGCGAGGAGGTCCTCGTAGGTCGCGTACGGAAGAGGGACATTGTTCTTCTGAGCAAGACGCCAGCGCAGGGATGGGGGGAGGGCGCCTTCGATGTGGATGTGTAGCTCTACCTTGGGGAGGGCGGCTATGAAAGGGGAGATGGTGAGGCCGTTCATGGTGGTGGTTGTGGGAGTGTGTGAGAAGGCGGATGATGAGATGAGGCGGGACGAGGCGGGATCAGGCAGGATAAGATAGTTGGGATGGCACGGGATGGGTCGAGATGAGATTGGATTAGTGAGAGCGAAACAGTTGATATCTAGTTCGACCCTGTCGTTACCGACCGACTCCTCGGGAGGAATCAAGATAGCCTTTTTCGTTCTCGGGATAGGGTGAATTATAGACTCCGGCTGGTATGAAGCAGACGGAACAGGTGCTATAGGACGATCTTCAAATCGAGTAATTTCTATGCCAGTGATTATTTCGAGCCTTCACGATTATGAAGGTCTAAGAACCTGCTCTCCGCAACTATCATATGGTAGACGATAGGATTCGGCCTCTCGGTAGAGGTCCGTTCAGTGGGCCACTTCGGGTCGGATGACGCCGATGCAGGTTGATCCCGCGCATCATAACTGAGTGTGCCTACAGTGAGGCAGATGTCAAGATAATTCTACCCTTCTCTTGGAAATACCCCGAGCGTCTGTCTCCTTTAACGGTGAGACCTGAGCTGCTTTTGAAAGTATCGATGTTTGTCGTTCTACGGATTGATCACGTTAACACGGCATGTATGTTGCCGTCCGCCCATCGGGATTCGGGATGGACCGCTGAAGGTCCGTCGCGTTCCTAGCGGGAGAAACGGTACAAACGCAGACTCGTCCATGATCGCAGAAATCACCCTTCCTCATCCCAAGCTTGCTCCTAGGCAAGACCAGTACCACGATGAACCTCGCAGAGCCCGGGATGCAATACTCATCTTGTACAGCAAACGATGGCTGCACCCTCGCCTACCAGACCTCCCTACCCATCGCCTCAAGCCACACTGCCACACCCGCAGTGACCACCAACCCGCGCAGCGACTGTCTCATCCTGCTCCTTCACGGCTTCAGTGGCTCAAGCGCATACTTCAAGCGCAACTACGCAGCCCTCAGCGCCCAGCACTGGGTCGTCGCGCCCGACATGCGCGGCCACGGCAATTCCACCCGCACGCGCGGCGGCTACCACGTGGCGCGTCTCGCCGCCGACCTACGGGACCTCGTCGCCCACCTCCGGCACAGCTACGACGCGTCCGCGCCCTCGACGCTGCACAGCCTGACCATCGTCCCCGTGGGCTGCTCCATCGGCGCCGCCGTGCTGTGGACGTACGCCGAGCTGTTCGGGTGCGCCGACTTCGCCGGCTTCGTGTTTGTCGACCAGGCGCCGCTGCAGGACCGCTCCGTGTTCGACGGCTGGGATGCGTCGAGGGCGCATCTGGGGTGCTACGACGAGGCGACGACGCAGGCGGCGCAGCGGACTTGGATCCATGATTCCGATGCTGCGCATCGCGGTCTGGTGCAGGGCTGTCTTGGCTACCGGCATGCGCCCGAGTCGGGCGACGATGTCTCTACAGAGACGAGGAAGCGGGATGAGGAGTTCTTCGTGAGCATCAGCGCGCAGTGCGACCAAGAGTGGCTGGCGAGGCTTCTGAGTGATCATACGCGGTACGACCACCGCGAGGCGATTGAGGAGATCACGGTACCGACATTGGTGATGGGCGGGCGGAGAACGGGATGCTTCCCGCTGGAAGGCATGGAAGAGACTGTCAAGCGGGTGAACGGCAGACGGCCTGAACTGGCAAAGATGTCTGTGTTCGACTCGGGGCATTGGCTGTTCTACGAAGAGCCGGATCGGTTCAACAGCGAGATCATCGAGTTTGTCGAGACCTGCAGAAGTATATCGATCTAATAAAGCTGGATGGCTACTCAGTCTGTGCATGACTTTATTCCCCTTTACTCATTCCTTGCTGGCTTTGAGGCCCCGGCTGTGAAAGTCTACATTACAGGCTGCGTGAGCATGCCACACGGCACGGTCGTTCACAAGGTGTCGCTGCTTCTCTCGCTCTGCGACTTCTCCTATAGACAACGAGCCGCACTACACAAGGTCTTCCGCCTCCATAGTGAATCAATCCTGAAGCCTGGCCAATCGCTTATCAGGGGATGCACCAGCCACCTATGATGCCGTCTAGACGCACGCACTATATCATCCCCTTGGCTACAGTCTCTCATCACATTAAGTATGTGATTTTTTGGCGGCACAGGGGACATCCCTTCTTGGAATCGACAGCGATGGCTCAAGGGACGATCATCTGAGGTCCCCGTCCGTAACGGTTAGACGGGAAGGTCTGGCCGAGCGCCGCAGCGTCGGCCAATGCCGACAAGGGCGGTTTACTGATCATTAATAGCATGCTATTGTCAGCTGTATCGTGTCATATCATGTCGAAAAAGATGGTGTTGAAAGAGAGAAGAACCGAAAGAATACAAAGAGGCTCAGACCCACTCACTGAGCCGAGGTCGCACCCTACTTGGCCATTTGTTTCACTTACATTTGTCATCTATATTTCGCCATCACTCCTCACTTGCATTTGTCACCTTATCTTCTCCACGTACCGGCATATCAATCGCGGTCCGATCTATGTAAGTACGAATGATCATTTTCACACACTTTCAGACATACTCGGGCCGTTTCCTTATACAAACCAGCTCTCCTACAATTTGCCCGAGAACAGTTCAAAAACGATACAAGGAGACAATCCAGTGCTCAGCGAGGGTAGTCACACATAATGTCCGCCGACCGCATCTTCGAGCCATTGAAGCTCGGCCATTGCGAGCTGAAGCATCGCATGGTAATGGCACCGTTGACCCGTTTCCGAGCCACCTCCGACCATGTACCCGGCAAGTACGCCAGGGAGTACTACTCGCAGCGAGCCTCGTGCCCCGGAACGCTCATTGTAACGGAAGCTACATTCATCGCGCCACAAGCCGGCGGCTACAACAACGTGCCTGGCATCTACAACCACGAGCAAGTCAAAGCCTGGAAGGAGATCACCGATGCCGTTCACACAAAGGGCTCGTACATCTACCTGCAACTCTGGGCTCTGGGCAGAGTAGCAGTAGCTGAGAACTTACTGAGGCAAGGGCCGTACCCTGTCGTTAGCTCGAGTGCCAATCCCCTCAACTCGGAGTTTGAGGTGCCCAAGGAGATGACCGAAGAGGACATACAAGCGTTCGTTGGCTACTACGCCAATGCCGCTCGCAAAGCGATGGGGGCGGGCTTTGATGGCGTGGAGATACATGGTAAGTAAGCTCCGCATCGGGAAGCGCCGGGTGTCCTCTTTGCTAACAGTTCGCAGGCGCCAACGGCTATCTCATTGACCAATTCTGGCAAGACAGGGTCAACACCAGGACGGACAAGTACGGCGGCAGCGTCGAGAACAGAGCCCGCTTCGGCCTAGAAGTCACCAAAGCCGTCATCGAAGCGTGCGGCGGCGACAGCAAGAAAGTCGGCATCCGGCTCTCGCCATGGTCACCGTTTCAGGGCATGAGGATGGAGGACCCGATACCGCAGTTCTCGCACATCATCAGCGAGTTGAAGAAGCTTGGCCTGAGCTACCTCCATCTGGTAGAGTCGCGGCTCTCCGGAACCACTGCTGGCGACTCCGTCTACGGCTCCGTGACAGGCACGAACGACAAGCTCGTCGAGCTGTGGGGCACTGAAGCGCCTGTCATCCTTGCCGGTGGCTTCGACCCGGAGAAGGCGAGGAAGGCGTTGAGTGAAGTGTACCCGGCAGAGAACGTCTGCATAGCTTATGGGCGGTACTTCATCAGCAACCCGGACCTGCCTTTCCGCATCAAGCATGGTATTGAGCTGGCGCCGTACAACCGGAAGACGTTCTACTTGCCGGAGAAGGCTGAAGGTTTCATCGACTACCCGTTCAGTAAGGAGTTCCTAGCACAGGAGAAGGAGAGTAAGCTTTAGACCAAGCTCGAAGAGTAGATAGACGTGCTTCTAGAGTCTAGACAGTATACATCCATGGCGATCGTGAACAACCTCGTCCAACCTCTCAATGATACATGAACCCCTTTCCACTCATCTGCAACAAATCGACGTGCAACTTCATCTCCCGATTCTCAGCCTCAAGTCGGATTCTCGCCTCCCTGAGCTCATCCACCCTTTTGGCCTGGTGTTCGAGCCGCACATTTGCCGCCCCAAGCTGCTGCCGTAGCTCCTTCTCAGACCTCGTCACCAACACCACCTTCCGGCTCAACCTCTCACATTCCCCCTCCGCCATAACGGCGCGCTGTTTTTGTCTCAGGGTCTGGTTCCATTGGTCCAGGACGCCGGTCTTGAGATTGACGTTCTGCAGCTTCCACTGATCCAGCTCGCCCTGAAGCGACACGCTTTTGCTGAACTTGGACTCGTGCCGCTGGTGGGTGTCCAGCTCGTCGCGAAGGGAGCGGATCTCGGCGCGCTGACGGCTTTGGAGGTCCTCGGCAATGTGCAGGAATTGTAGCTGCTTGGAGGATTCCGACTTGAAGTAGTCAAGTTCGCTGTCGAGCTGGGTATTCCGATCGATGAAGTCTCTGCAGATGTCGGTGGCGAAGGTCTTGTTGGATACGGAGATCTGGCGTAAGGACTCTTCTAGCTCAGTAACCCGTTTCTCGTACGCGAGACAGTCGATGCATTCGGCTTCGGAGATAGATGAAAATGCGGAAGCTGGTTGGATGGGACGCACGAAGGATTCGAGAAGTGAGAAAGGGGTAAGAAGCAAATCCACGAGACCTGAAGTTATAAGATGCCATCTATTGTTGAGCCATCGAGCAGAGTGGCGTCTAAAACCATGGGATGTCTCTAGAAGCTGACTCAAACGAGATGTGACGAAGGGGCTCAATGGTGCTGCTGAAGACGTTCTCCGGACCATGTAGAGAGCGATCCATGCAATGGCACAGTTGATGGGGTCGAGTTGAAAGGTCCAGCTGAAACCCATTTGGAACACACAGGTAGATGGATGAGGAGAGAACGAGTGCATCTTACTCCGACCTTCCGTCTCTGGAGTTTCAGAGAACCGATGATACTTATCTGTAATATTGCAGCACCATGAACCTGGAAGGTGTCAACAGTGTTCAATCATAAATTCCATGCCGCGCTTCAAAAGACAGAATTACTGCTATCGCACAGCCTCTCTATAATGGTGACATGCAGTTACTAAAGGGGATTCTTCGCTTCTTCGCTTCTCGCCATCACAACTACAAATCGTGGCTACCCTCAGAATGTTATACAATGCAAACCACGACAGACCACAAGGACGCCCTTTGACAGCTTCTCAATGACGGCAGCATCATTAACGTACTGAACACTAGTACGTTGCCACGGAGCCAGAGCTGCACTCAAAAAGCTTTTAGGCGACCTGCAAGAATATGCAGAAAAGCCACACCAGTCTTAATTCCTATACCGCGACAAGACATAGCATTCGATCTTCAAAGCGATCTTCAAAGGAGATATCTTGTTTTCCTGAGACAAATCTTTGGTGAGTCTTCTAAACATTATTACCCTTCCATAACGTTGCATCGCATGTCTTACACATCCACCTCACGGTCATCTTTACTTTTTTAGACCGCGTACAGACCACCCTCACATGGACACAAAATGCCTGTGGATTCCATGGTGAATGTTTTGGTTGATTGAGATGATATACGGCCGTTTTAATCTATTAGGCTTGCGCACAGCACACGCCTCTTTTTTTTTTGTATTTTCTTTTGGTTTGACTGTTCCGTTGCGGTGGAAGAGCTTAACAGTATAATATTTTGGGGACCCTAAACCGCAGAACACAGCCCCAATTGGAACTCCCATAAAATTCAGGAATGGTCTGTATTAGAAGGGAAGAAGGATAGCTGATGGGGGTACCGTCTCCCTTAAATATGTGGGAAAGGTACCTCTGACAGCTACATGTGATCCCACAGGATGACACATAATAACTAATCACAACAAGGCTAAATACGCCACTGTTATGATATATGACAATTCCTCTGGCTCTTGCCTTCTGTTACTGTCATCCAACGCGGCCCGAGGGCTTCCGGAAAGTAAAAAACGGGCTCAAAGGCTAGGGTAGGTAGTTAAGGTCGGCGCCATTGCCAAAGGTCCCAGCCTTGTACTACGGCGGCCGTACCGTGCAAGGTTTACAAAGAATTTGCTTTAAGGTGCTGCATGAATGGTGCAATTGGCTGGGGTAATAAGGTTCAACGTGCCGCAAGTCTGACCTTGTTCTTTCACGAAACCCTTTAGCCAAGTGGGGTGGCATGCTGATCCCATAGTGAAGTTGCTCGAATCATTGTCTGCCATGAACACACCGGGCTACATTCCTTCTCATGCAGTCTAGCGAAAGAAAAGCATGGATCCATCTTTGTATAGGAGCTAGGTATGCCCCCAAGAGAGGACAACGGGAGTAATTAGCAGATTGTGCCACTTCTCTGTTCTTGCCAGCTTGCGTTTAATACACCACGGCACCGGAGTTATCTAGTCAAAAGCCACAGACACCATGGCTTCAAATTAAAAACCGACTGATTGCCCACAGTTCTCCAGCTTCTGAAAGGCACGGGTAGGTGTCACCTACCCAGCCTTTGCACCCCTCACCGAAAGAGCCAGACAGGTCCACGAAAGCTTATCCATAGATCTTTCGGAGATACCTACACTCTCGCATTCTTGAGAAGCTGTGATCCCCCACGGCTGGCTTCTGTGGAATTCTACACCAATTCTTCACCTTCCTTTGAAGACGCCGTAGCTCACGCGACATCATTCGCTATTCAATTTGAATAGTCGAAAGTCCAACATAATCGCAGTACCCACGTTGCATTCGGTCCTCACCCACCACTTCAACATTGATGATCACAACTTCATTTCGACTGGCCCTGATGGACTTCGAAGTAAAGCCCATTTACAAGAGGGCGGAGAAGGCGAAAGCGCTCGAGAAGCACGAGAGGGAGGTTCTGAGGTCCATCAAGAAAGCACACGCCAAGACAGCCGAGCAGATCCAGTATCAACACCACGCCGCTAAGCAACTAGCTCAAGAGTGCGAGTTTCGACACCGAGAGTCCGTGCAGCACGGCGACGAGTTCCTGCGCGACTTCCTTCGGTGCCACTTCGAGCGTACGTATAAAACCATCCCAACCCAAGACCCTGGGCCTCGTATTCGAGAACAAGCTTTGTAGTTCTCTTTCCTTCTCGATCTAGAAACTGGCCGTACGGGTTTAGAGACAAGATGTTAACGTACACGCAGAGTACCTGGATCACATCCGCATCATCAGCGGCCAGACGCTCGAGGAGGTCAAGATGATCGGCAACGAGAAGGACCAGAAGCTCGGTGTGCGCCAGTGCCGCAGACTGTTCAATGCGCCTGTTCTCAGCGACCAGATCGGATATCTTCTGTGGTGCGAGTTGAGGCAGGGTAAGGCGCTTGATCATAGCCACGAGAGGCAGACAGAGGTGATGACAGAGCGGGGAGGCATCTCCATGGAGGATGCCAGAGTTGGACACGCGAACGAACTCCGGCACGGCCAAAACGAGTACTCGAGTAGCGCGAACTACCGCCGAACCAAAACGTGGGCCGGTACGAGACATTCGATCGTGTTCTCCCGACCAGAGGGCGAAGCACCAGTTTCAGCATCGGCACCGGTCTCGCCCATTTCTTCGATACCAGAGACCGAGCCCCCAAAGGAAATATCACAGAAGATGGACATGAAGAAGAGGAAGTTCGAATGCATGATACAGGGGATTCGGAAACGCACGCGCAGCGGCGCTGGGTATATTGAACCCTCGAAAGTCTCCGTACACTACCCGTCCAGCAACCCACGGTATTCATCGGATCGAAATAAGCAGAATGAAATAAGCATTCCAAGTGGCTTATCAAACCAGAGCTACTTATTCATGTCTGAGTATACCAAGTTTTCACGTCTGATGTAGAGTTCTCTCAACCTGGCGCGCATGGAGACTTATGAGGGCTGAGTGTATGTCGCCGCGTCGCTGGACGGTGATTACTGCTTTTGAGACGGAGGGCATGGGGAAGAGGGTGTCTTCGGGACTGTTGATATCTGCACCATCTTTGGGTCGTGGTTTGCGTGTTAGGTCAGTTCCATGACGATTGAACGTCCAGCCAGGCCATTGGGCCACGATTGGAGGAAGAAGGGCAGGTGGCGTTGATACCAGAATGCAATCGATTATGGATCGTACCAAATGCTAGTAGACTCGAGTTTCGTGAGTTCGCGCCGACATTCCGGTCTTCGGTTGTCTATCCAAATGAAGGATTCGTCGTAGTAAAAAGGAGAGAAGAGTGAGAAGACAAACGGAATATAGTTGAAAGACCAGCCGGAGCATGCCTGCAACCGGAGGCCGACCTTCCTGGCCCACCTGATCGGGCAATCGGAACGAGCCGAGGACAGGGATGTCGTCAGTATCATTCGCGGAAGATTCGCCAGGAACCATCGCAACTCAATCTCCGCGTTCACATACCGGTACGCGATGGATTCAGCACGACATCCAAGCGGTCCAGAATTCCGGTTCCTGCCAAGACGTGGCCTGTACGCCCCTGAAGAATGCACGCAATATCAAGACGATATTGGCGATGTTACCGATACATCGCCCGGCCTCCCCGCGATATCGTCCTGCTATAATACAGACAGATATAAAGGACCAGGTCCCGGCACGGCGAGATGAGCAAATTTAGACCCCAGAGCCTCACCCTGCCCTATTTGACAACAGTTCTTGGCGATGAAGTTCCTCCCGTCCCTCCAACTGCTCGCCGCAGCCGCAGCGCCGGTCAGCGCTGCCTTCACATGGCAGAACGTCAAGATCGGCGGCGGCGGCGGTTTCGTGCCCGGCATCGTCTTCCACCCCACCGCTAAGGGCGTCGCCTACGCGCGTACCGACATTGGCGGTCTCTACCGGCTCAACGCCGATGACGACTCTTGGACGGCCGTGACCGATGGGATCACGGATGATGCGAACTGGCACAACTGGGGTGTCGATGCACTAGCTCTGGACCCTCAGGATGAGAACGCAGTTTATGCTGCTGTTGGCATGTATACCAACGACTGGTCTGTCTCTGCCTTTCCTGACTTTGAAGACCAAAGCATTTTCTGATATCGAGCAGGGACCCCAACAATGGTTCCATCATCAAGAGCACCGACAAGGGCGCGACATGGTCGACCACAGCCCTGCCCTTCAAAGTCGGCGGCAACATGCCAGGCCGCGGAACAGGCGAGCGACTCGCCGTCGACCCGGCCAACTCCGAGATCCTGTATTTCGGAGCGCGAAGTGGCAACGGGCTCTGGAAGAGCACCGACGCCGGCGCAACCTTCGCCAAGGTGTCTTCCTTCACGGCCGTAGGAACGTACATTGCCGACCCTACCGACGTCGGCGGCTACAACGGGGACATTCAGGGGCTTACATTCGTCACCTTTGACTCGACAAGCGGTACGACCGATGGCGCCACGTCGCGGATCTTCGTGGGTACGGCCAGCAACGACACTTCTAGCGTCTATGTGAGTGAGGATGCCGGTGCGACGTGGGCTGCTGTGGCGGACCAACCGGGCACATTCTTCCCGCACAAGGCCGTGCTACAGCCAGCCGAGAAGGCGCTGTATCTGACCTACAGTGATGGAACTGGTCCGTACGACGGTACCCTGGGTGCTGTCTATCGGTATGACATCTCGAACAGTACTTGGACCAACATAACGCCCGTATCAGGGAGTGATCTCTATTTCGGCTTTGGCGGAATCGGAGTCGACATGCTGGTACCTGGTACCATCGTCGTCGCGAGTCTGAACTCGTGGTGGCCGGATGCGCAGATCTTCCGCTCCACCGACTCGGGCGCCACGTGGTCGAAGATCTGGGAGTGGTCGAGCTATCCTGATATGAACCTTTACTATAGCGAATCAGTAAGTTACCCCTTTACCTCAATACACAAGGGAATTTTACTGATGATGTTATCAAAAGACCCCGAAAGCGCCCTGGATAACAACGGGTTTCCTCGATACTGACACCAAGGACCTGGGCTGGATGATCGAGTGTCTCGTCATCGATCCCCTGGACAGCGACCACTGGCTGTACGGTACCGGCTTGACCATGTTCGGCGGCCACGACTTGACAAACTGGGACACCATCCACAACATCACCATCCAGTCACTAGCCGACGGCATCGAAGAGTTCGCCGTCCTGGACCTTGCATCACCTCCGGGCGGAAGCGAATTACTTGCCGCCGTCGGCGACGACAGCGGTTTCACCTTCGCGTCCGCCAGTTTCCTAAGAACATCGCCCAACACCCCTTGGATGAACCCCATCTTCACATCAACAACAAGCGTCGACTACGCCGGCGCCTCGGTGCAGAATGTGATCCGCATCGGCAACTCAGCCGGCACGCAGCAAGTCGCCGTGTCCGCCGACGGCGGCGCGACCTGGAACGCCTACTCGGGCGCCGACACCACCATGGCCAGCGGCACCGTGGCCTACTCGGCCGACGCCGACACCGTCCTCTGGTCGACGGGCACGAGCGGCGTCCAGCGCTCGCAGTACCAAGCCACCTTCTCTGCTGTCGCGAGCCTGCCCTCTGGCGCCGTTGTCGCCTCGGACAAGCAGAATAACACCGTTTTCTACGCTGGCTCCGGGTCAAGTTTCTATGTTAGCACTGACACCGGGGCCACTTTTGCCACGGCCGGCTCCCTTGGCAGCGCCACGGCCATCCGTGACATCGTGTCTAACCCCCTCTCGTCCGCCCAGATCTTTGTCTCGACCGACGTGGGCGTCTTCCACTCGACGGACTACGGCGCGTCGTTCACGCTGACGTCCACCACGCTGACCAATACGTACCAGATCGCGCTCGGGCTCGGTTCTGGGAGTACCTGGAATCTTTACGCTTTTGGGATAGGCGCCGCGGGCGCCCGGCTCTACGGCAGCGCCGACAACGGCGCGTCCTGGACCGACATCCAGGGCGATGCTCAGGGCTTCGGCTCCATTAGCGGTGCTATTTTGGAGGGCAGTGGGAATACGGCCGGGCAGGTGTATGTCGGGACGAACGGACGAGGTGTGTTCTATGCCTCTGGGGCGATAGCAGGTGGGAGCAGCGGTGGGAGTACCTCGTCGACTACGCTGGTGACGTCGACGACGACGTCGCGGGTGACATCTGCGTCTTCGACCGCTGTCCCGACGACCACTGTCTCGCCAACCACTGTGCCGACGACCGCTGTGCCGACGACAACAACGTCGGTTAGTGTGTCTACCGTTGGAACGACGACGATCTCAGCGCCGAGCTCGACGGCGACTGGTGTAGGGACCGTTGCTCATTATGCGCAGTGTGGCGGGTCGGGGTATACAGGGCCGACGGGATGTCTGTCGCCTTACACTTGTCAGGCGCAAAACGACTACTACTCTCAGTGTGTGTAAATTAGGTGTACTGTTGATAAGCTCTTGGCCTTGGCGGATGTTACAGCTGTACATATTCAAATTGGCGAAATTGTACTGCCCCGAGTGCCGCTGTGCTAACGACGATACGGTGACCCGGCGGGAGCCCCTGCTTGGCAGTCCAGAGACGTGATGACTTATACAGAAGCTCCTTATGAGCTTCTGGTGTCGAGTCGTAGCCTGTCTACACCTTTTTTTACGGGGAGTAGGTAGTGGTTTATGGTCGATCGAGGTCAGAAAGCACAATAGGGGCGAAGCAAGCTGTGGGTTTTGCAGACGGGCTCTGCTGTTGCCGTCGACTCGTATGCATCCTTTGCCTTCAACTCAATCGCACAAGTGACTGCACGATCATGGAATGGAAACAAGTCGTCTTTGAATTGGTAGCACAGAAGGAGACCAGATTCACCTGGCCCTTATAACGGTACATTAAAGGATCACCCGCATCCACAAACAAGCTATACCGGAACTCCAGGCTGGATGCCAATGCCAAAAGAATCAGACTAGAAATCATCGTGGAAAATCTAGGTCGCCAGGGAGCTCGGCCGGCGAACTCGGCTTGGTCGTGTCTGCACTCAGCTCATGCCTGACACGTGAGAGGTGTAACACCTCAAATGGCTTCTTCCAACTCGCAACCCTAGTCGCACTTCCATCCAGCTCTGCTTTCTGAAATCCCTTTTCGTCCGGGATAATTCGTCTCTCATGGTCCTCTTGTGCTACCAAAGCCCGCTTTCGATAGTGCCACACCAGCCATACAAGCGCAGCGAATATGGCCATGGCGGCTGCAGATCCCAGCACAACCCCCGCGACCGAGCGGCCATCCAATCTCAATGTCGCGTCTTGGTTGTTTGTTGTATCCGAGCTACTGGTATCAACTCCTAAGACGCCACTGCTGGAGGTGGCGAACAAAGGTCCATAGATAACAGGGCTGTTGGACGTAGCTACAGTCGGGTTCGTTGACTTAGTATTGGGAGGTGATGAATGTGGTGGTCTGATCAACAGGAGAGGCTGAGACATCGTCCGTCGTAGCGGTCACAAACACAGGGAAGGCTGTGATATCGTCCGTTGTAGCGGTCACGAGAACTGAAGTGAGGGTGTTCATTTGTTGTGTAGTCGTCGATGTAAGAAAGGTGGTGACCTCGCTAAAATAAGAGGGAGCCTCAGTGGGGTCGGCGATCCCACGTTGAGGCACCTCAGCGGCCGCAGTATGAGCGAATGTGATAGAAGCGGACGCCATTGCTCAATATCCAAGACTTCACCTGTTAAGCTCGGAACATGGTAAGAGAAAAGAGAATCGACCAGGTTATACGAGAGCAGCAGGTTACACTGTGGTGTGAAGAAGCAGCAAGCCAGTGGACATGGCTAGTCCAGTGCTGTTGGTTCCATCATGACCCCCATGAGACGTGTCTGATCCCTGCATCCGCGCATGACGACCCCCAGGTTACACGGTTTCAACATTACATCTTTCGGGTCACGGAGATATAGGAAGCCGCAAGTCAGTCAACCATCAATAAAGTGGAAGGCCGGCCAAAGGTCGTAGAGTTGTATATCTTCTGTTATGGTGAAGAAAAGGGGGTGGGGAAGCTGGCCTACCCTATTCCGTTTCCCAAAGCCTGATCTGCAGGCAGTCATGAGTGAACCGTGGAGAGCGGCCTGGAAAGTCATTAGAACGTCGCATTCGTAATACTCATAACGGACCTTTTTGCAAATTTTAAATAGACAGGTGACACCCTTCTCAAATCAAAGCCTCCCGTCGTGTTCAAGTGGTTCGCTTGTTGGCCATCCAAGTACGGGAGATAGAGGCTTCTGTTCCGCACGAAGATCCCTTGAAGAGTCACCCTAGCTTGATTTTCCAATAACCCAAGCATTACATCTATCATTCAGTATCTATCAGAATATAACGGTAGGCTGAGCAACATTTCTCAACAGTAAATCTCCTCGACGCTAGCTTCTCCAGGTGTATCTATAGACCGCCCACCCCCACCGAGATCATATCTCAAACGACGTATCTGCATCACATCCACCAACTTTTTCCCCGCCTCCCCAACCTCCGTCCCATCCAGTTCCGCCTTCTGATAGCGGTGCTCGTCCTGGAACAAGTGTCTGTCATGGCGCGCCTGCAGTACTGAAGCCTTCCTCCGATAATGCAACACGAGCCAGGCTAGTCCCACGATAACGGCTGCAGCGGCGGCAGCGCCCAGCACAATGCCTGCGATGGAAGCGCCGCTCAGACCCCTGGTGTTCTGGTGTTCGTTGGATTTGTTGGAGTTTCCGTGATGGTGGGAGTCGTCGTCGTTGTCGTTGGATCCGTTTCCCGTCGAGGGGCTCATGATGGTTGAGGTGGCCATTGAGCTGCCGAGACTCATCCCCATAGCGGACATTGTTCTTGGAGATGAGCCGCTTGTGATGATTGGCGTACCCGAGAAAGAATCGGAGGACGTGGAGTTTGGATGTATGGTTGAATTGGAGCCTTGGCTGATCGAGCTCGTGGGAAATGCTGGGGAACTGGATGATGATGGCGAGGAGGCGGAGGAGTGGGTGAGCGGTGGTTGGTCGTGCAGTGAAGTGGTATATACCTGAGTGAACCTGCTGACCACAGCGTAGCCGGTGGAGGACTGTCCCAGGTCGATGGCGCTGTAAACCTCGATGACTTCTTTCACTCTCTCATTGCAGTTGTTGACGTTGATGTTCACCCGGATCGTTCTTGTGGAGAGGAGATCGGCTGCCATGTCCCAGAATGCCAACAGCTTGAGCTTTGAGAAAAGACCTACATCGTTGGATCGCCACGGAATAACAGGCATAATATGATGGCTTCTTCTAGTTCACTTGCACATCTGCCATTAAGATGCCAGAGTACAGTCAACTCAACGCAACACTGCGGTGAGACACGACAAATGGCCGGGCCTCTGCATATACTACCTCACATAACGGCAGACGTCGCCAAAATGTTCCGGGTACACATTCATCTCATCTTTTGTTCTCGTCTACTGCCAAAATCTATTTCCGTACTGGCCTGGGTTCAGCTATCTATTGATCGTGCTGGGAGTCAGTTTCCGCAGATTGTTTATTATAGGAACCGGGGTCGCATTTCTCTCCCTTTTCGCGACCCGTCTAGGACCTTGGGGTCTTCATTGACACGGCACACGCAACGCCTCGTCCAGTAAAAGGGACCGCACGAGCCAATTTCCACCCCAAATGAGTACACTTATCGCCTGGGTTGGACCCAACCATCCTACCCCCCGGCACCCCCGGAAATACGTCCCTACTCCCACGGCATCTCCTTCGCCAACCTCGGCCCACATTCAGCCGGTAACGTTAGACCACTCCCGGGACCCGCTTCTCCATGTTCCCGTCCGGCTTTCCTAGTTCTAGCCCACTGGGAACCTGCTTCTCGCAATGCCGCTGCACGGTGATCCTTCTCTTCCGATATCAAAACACAGACCAGATGAGTCCAAGCAACCCGAAGGCCGCGATCATGAAGCAGATAACGATGCTTCTTCTACGCCTTATCAAGGTTTACTTGTCGTGACGCTGAACAATCACTGCTCCGGCGTTGAGTTACTGCTGTTGGATTATTACTGCTATAGAACTCAACGAGGATGCGTTTATCACCACTGGAAGCGCAGGCACCTCATCCCGACGATGCCTTCGCGCAGTCTCCACCAGTCCTCAGTTTCTGGGATAAGACTGGAGGAAGGAAACCGTTGCTATTGATCTTGGGAGGAAAACCGCGTCCAGGCATGGGGAAGCACGAAATGGATTGTGACCCGTCCACTGAGTTCGCCAGTCTTCATGATCTTTGAACGGCAGGCGCCCCGATATGCATCAAGGTTCTGGCAGTAGGCAACGCCGAAACGCTCGCCATGGCTTCAGAAGTGGCCAGTCCTACCAGCACTGATCAGATCATCCATTATGATCATGTTCACAGCTCCGGGGAAGTATGAAGAGGGTTGAAACAAATCCTCAAATGAAGAACTGTACTATTGTTGGCCGGCATGGGACGCGAATGAGACACAACGCCACATCCCTGCATACGCATACCAACGAGCAACCAACTAACCTTATTAGCACGTACCAAGTGTTGCGCAAAATGATTCGGTTTATGGGCATCGGGTGTCAAATGCGTAGAACCATAGAGCAGGCATGAGACGACTAGGAGCAATGGGTAGTTGGGGGCGGCGACTAGGTAACATCGACGTTTCGCATACTTAGATGTGTTTCATTGATGATGTGTTTTCAGTGTGGATGAACCGTAGGGGAGGCCAGCTGCTTCAGCTCCTCGCCTCGTTTCAGAATCTCACAAATTTAGGACCTTGAAGGACAAGCCTATAACATCCCAATATCTAGACCATCCACTCTCCCAAGAAACTCCCCTTTCGCACCCCGGAGAAGCTCATCCATATCGACCAAGCCAGTCGCGATGAACTTCTCGCTCACGCCGGCATTGATCCGTTTCGAGAGGAGCTCCCTCAGCTCCGCGCGCAGCGCGCCCATCTCGGCCTTGGTCGTGGCCCGCGCCTCCTCCTGTTTCTCCTTGCGGCCCCCGCCGCGGCCGCCCCATTTCCCCACCTGCTGCATCTCGTCGCTGTCGTACTCGACGCCCAGCTCCTCGGCCGCGTTGCGCATCCAGTCGTCGTCCTTGTTTCCCTTCTCCTTAGCGAGCGTCGCGTCTGCGATCTTCTTCGCGAGCGTGAGGCGCGGCTTGAGGCGCCCGACGAGCCTGCGGTCCATGTCCAGCGTCTGCACGAAGAAGTTCTTGCTCGCCTTCTTGCGCCGCGAGTGCACCTTGGCGATGAGACGTCGTGTTGGTGTTACCTCCTCGGGCGCGCACAGCAGTATGCTGAGACCGGTCTTTTCGGCACGTGCGGTTCGACCGGACCGGTGCACGTAGGCATCAGCGGCCCGCGGTACATGATAATGGACCACGAGCTCAACGTTGGGGATATCAAGTCCTCTGGCAGCAACATCAGTAGCAATCAGTATAGATGATTTGCCCTCGGATTCGGCAGTAAACCGTTCGATAGACCGTAAGCGCGCCTTTTGCGCCATTTGGGAATGTAACGGATAGGCGTTCATATTCAAATTCTGAATCATGGGCGCTATACGCCGCGCCGAGCTGATGGAATTGGTGAAAACGAGCGTCCGAACATTGGGGTAAAGGAGAAGTAAGGCGTAGAGGTATAGGTCCTGGGATCAATTAGCAGGCCATTCCACATTGATGATGAAATGCTCACCTTTTCCATGGCACCACATTCGACCAAGCCCTCTTTCAGCTTCTCCGCCATCTGCGACACCGGATTCACATCAATAAACTTGGGCTTCTCTTCCTGGAAGTTGAGTTTCTTGAGGAGATATTGCATGGAGTCATCCTCGTCCATCAAGCCATATTTGCCCTTGCCAGCAAGCTTCTGTTGTAGGCCCTTGTGAAAGGTAGCAGAAAACACCAACGTCTGCCTCGGCGAAGGTGCGGCACCTTCATCATCCTCCTCGGCTTCGAACCGATCTAGAGCGCTCAAGATCTCCGTGGCTTCTTTGAAATGCCCCTCGGTCAGAAGTCGGTCAGCTTCGTCAACCACTAAATATCCGATCCCCTTGAAGCTGTTGAGCAGGTCAGAACTGGAGCTCAGGACCTCCCATAAGCGGCCTGGTGTTCCGATTACGATATCAGCTTTCGCCAGTTGGCGTTGTTGCTTGTGCACCGACAGACCACCCGTTATTGAGCATATGAAAGGAGAGTTTGGCAAGCCAGCACATAAACCCTTGATGTGTTCTGTAAGCTGATGTGCAAGTTCTCTAGTCGGTGAGAGAACCAGCGCAAGGGGGCCCTTAGATGCTGACGGAGGGTTCTCCTCGTCCGACACTTCCAGCCATTTCTCGACAATGGGAATGGCAAACGCCAGTGTCTTTCCTGAGCCCGTTGAAGCTTTTCCAATCACGTCGTGACCGGCTAATATCTGCGGTATTGCGGCCTCCTGGATCGAGGTAGGCTTCGAGAACTTCAACTTGGCCAGGGACGAAAGCAAGCGAGGAGACAGGTCCAAATCCACCCACGCAGATACATCAGTATCATCTTGTGGCTCCTCCACGTCATCAAGTCCTGCAAATACATTCGTCTCAAGCTCCGCGTCCTCTTTGCTCTGTTGCACCTTGTTCTTCTTTTTCTTCTCTTTCTGCTCTTTTGGTGCCTTCTTGGTCTCAACCTTCTCGTCTCCATTGGTAGTTTCGGCGCTATTCGTAGATTTATTCGTTTGTCCGGCTTCGGGTTTGTCTACAGCTGCTGGCTCGTCGCCAAATCCTTCGAATTCATCGCTTTCAGGTTCGTCAACTGCATCGGCAGGTGAATCAACTGCTCTCTAGTGACGCGTTAGAGGTACAGTCACCTGCAATGTGTTTGGCATACGTACGAATTCGACGGTATTATCGCTCTTGCGGATGACCTCGACATCATCGATCTCTTCCAGCCCAAAGAATCCCTCGGAATCATTGTGCATGTCCGAGAGTTTGGCTTTGCGCCATCGTAGAGAATCCACATCGAACGTCCGCTTCGGTTTCTTCGCTTTCGAAACTGATGAACGGGCCTTGGCCTTTTTCGAGGGAGCTATGACGCTCTCGGCAGTCGCCTTCCTTTTCGTGGCCCCATTCATCGTGAGGAAGGTGGTCAATCGTGGGAGGTCTGGTACGTGAAATCGTGCTGTAGATGCGCATGTCGACATGGATGGAGATGCGGGCTCCCAGCAAAATTGCAGATAAGTTGCTTATCGGCAACCCCACTACCACAATGGACCCACTTAGTACTTCCACGCCCTGACCACATCTTAAATCAGCCCTGCAGGAAACGCCTTCATTCGCCGAGAAAAACTGATGCGTTTCCTCTGCTTCGCATGTAATTACCTTGAAAACTCACATCAACGCTGCTGGGAAGGTCTGTCTCAAAATGGGCAAATCTTCCAAAGATAAGCGTGATGCGTATTATCGACTTGCGAAAGAGCAAGGGTGGCGGGCAAGAAGTGCTTTCAAACTCCTGCAGCTCGACGAAGGTGACCATGTCCCTTAAATCTCAAACTTTCATCAACTCTAACTTGAAAACAGAATTCGACCTGTTCGCCGACGTCACGCGGGTGGTCGACCTATGTGCGGCACCAGGAAGCTGGTCTCAAGTCCTCTCGCGAGTGTTGATCAAGGGCGAGAAGTTCGGTCGAACGGCATGGCAAGATCAAGAGTCTAAATTCCGGCAGCAGATGCTGGGACTTTTCGGTCCCACCAAACCGACGGCTGTCACGACGGTGTCCGAGGTGGACCATGAAGCTGATCAGCTGAGACCTCGTCAGGATGTCAAGATTGTTGCCATTGACTTGCAGCCCATCAGCCCGTTACCCGGCATCGTCACGCTCAGAGCTGATATCACGCACCCGGCAACAGTGCCCCTACTGCTGAAAGCCTTAGACTCGGACTACGACGCAAAAACAATGTCGCAGCAGGCGGCGCACCCGGTGGACCTTGTCCTCAGTGATGGTGCTCCCGATGTGACCGGCTTGCACGACCTCGACATATACGTACAGTCGCAACTGCTCTTCGCAGCCCTCAATTTGGCGCTTTGCGTTCTAAAGCCCGGTGGCAAGTTTGTGGCCAAGATCTTCAGAGGCAAGAACGTCGACCTGCTTTATGCCCAGCTGAAGATCTTCTTTGAGCGTGTCCATATCGCAAAGCCGAGGTCGTCACGGGCGAGCAGCGTCGAGGCTTTTATCGTGTGCCTAAACTTCCAGCCACCCCACGGGTTCTCGGCTAGCCTCGAGGAGCCATTGGGCGTTGGGTTCCGTCTTCATGATATGACAGAGCAGAAGTTGAGGAGTCTCCCTATCAGTGCACCTACGGTGCTTCAAAATCCGCAGACAGAGGCTTGGGATAGTGCCCCGCCTCAGGTGCGGCACTTGGATGAAGATGGGGTCACGGAGATCCAACCTGAAGATCATCGTCAGAATCGCGAGAGCGATATTAGATGGGTTGCGCCATTCATCGCCTGTGGCGATCTATCTGCATTTGATTCAGATGCCTCCTATCGACTCCCCGCTGGGCACATCTCTCTCGATCCTATCCAACCTCCAACCGCTCCGCCTTACAAACGAGCCTTGGAAATGCGGAAAGCTCACGGGGGCGCATATGGCCGAACGACGACATCTCGACCATGAGCGAGCAATGCCGCGGGTTATCTCGTCCAATCAATGATTCGGGTGCCCCGCTGCAGGGCCTTCTATCAATCCGATCATAATGCACTCAGTCTTGCACTCGTTCCAGTCCTTCGCGCCGAGGGTCTTGCGGTAGAGATCCATCGTGTTGGACGTCAGGAACATGAACCGTCGCAGATGCGCCCAGCCTTTGATGACCTCGTTCAGGCACTCCATCATCCACCGTCCCAGGCCCTTTCCCTGGTAGTCTGGCAGGATGTACACGTCGGTGAGGTACGCGAAGGTCACATCATCCGTGACTACTCTCGTAAGCCCCACTTGCACCGGTGCGCCATGGCCTGTGTGGGTATGTGAGTCAGGCCCCTCCGAAGCGGCACAGGACGGACGGAAACACGTACCGGCGATCTGGGAGGTAGACCCGGGGAGCTTGTATAGCCCGAGGCACAAGGAATTGTGGAGAGCCTTCTTCATCGTCGCCCGCGGCAGACCCTGCGCCCACCACATCATTTCAGAGCTCATCGCCTCGTTGACGGCGTCAATCTGGAGGAGCTTGGGCTCGGTTGAGACTAAATACTCGTCCCGATACCAATTCTTGGGCTCGATAGTGAGTACCATGATGGGTTAAATTGAAGCTGGAAGTGAGGATTCAAGCGCGTCTCGTGTTTGTGTCTGATGCTTTGGTAGACAGTTGGCGTTGTCTTTATGTAGGTACCTGTTGGTAGGGATATGTCCGTGACGCGGGCTGACGACACCCCGGGCCGAGCCTCGCTCTAGCGTACGCACGTGATGAGCGCCAACTGCACATGTCTAATATTAAGCTAGGTGCAGTGTCGCGCTCCGTTACAATACAACTACTCATACTGATCATGCTCGTTTCGGTGGTAGTATAGGGACTGACAACAACTGTCGCTACTACACTACGAGCTTCGCGTGAATAACCAACTGATCAAGTCCTGCACAGTGACACATTCAAGGAAAAGCAACGCCTCCACGTTGACACCCGACCCTGCTCTGATCTTGTCAGACAGCGTGATCGAAAGTAAAGAGTCAACACCAAGGTCGGCGAGAGCGGCCTCGCCCGACGAATCTTCCAAGTCCAACCCCGTCTCGTCCGCAATAAGTTGGAGGCAGGCGGCTACCCGCGCGTTTTGATCTCGTTTCCTTTCTGGCTGCTTGACACAACAGCCATCGACACTTAATAGGACCCCCAAATCACGTTCGAATCCAGTTGTTATATGCATCATTTGTCACAAAATAGCAAGCGTTGGACAGTGTCCTATATCCATGACATTGAGATGTTCACATGATAGACGGCTCGGCAGGATGCTATCTTTGGAAGTGCACATTTGATTTTTGCCTCATGACTTCTCTCATTCGCTATCGCACTGTGTTCACGGCTAATATGACTGACCGGCGTCTGGATGCTCTGATGCAGTATTCCAATTCCGGCGGGCTGCCTCCTACGACCCTCCCAAGGGCCTGCCCCTTATATACCGGGGAAATCCCTGAAAGCCAAACCAAAGCTCGCCACTTCCCGGATGCCCACCAACAATCTCATTCCTGCGGCCCTTGAGTTCCTCCACGTCCCAAGCGGCGAACACGAGCTTTCCGTCGAGGAAGCTTGCTTCGGGGGAAGCGATCCAGACGAGGAAATCAGATGGCAGGGAGACTGCGTGAAGAAGAATCAGCATACAGGGGTCAGCTTTCATGAATCCATCCACATGGCTGATAATCAAGACGAAGAAGTATAGCTGGATATACTTACTGTCATCAAAGTCAAAAGGCAATTTCGTGGTCCGCTCCAGCTGCGTGGACATGGCAGTATCCAGAAAGCCAGGGTGCACATTATGAAGACGCACGTGAGGATTCTCGCCCGTGAACGCCTGAAGGAGCTTGACGGCGGCCATCTTGCTGCTGACTTAGGCACCCATGCCGTGGAAGGGGGTGAACAGGATACCCGCCGTGGTCAGGTTGATGAAGATGATTTCCCTGTCCTTGGCCCCTTCATTTGTGATCGCGCTTCTATTAGCGAGGACAGCGCTCTGCGCCACCGTCAGTGTTCCCACGACGGTAGTCTTGTAGCCGTCGAGGAACGTGTTCGGATCCGCATCCAGGATTGGAACGACGGGGGCCAATGCACCAGCGCAGTGAACCACAATGTCGATGCCGCTAAACTCGGCGACTACTTGGTCGAAGGCGCGGCGTACGCCTGCGCCATCGCACAGGTCGACCTTGTGAGTCTGTACGGTCAGGGTCCCGTGGCTGGATCGTACGAGCTTTGCTGTTTCGGCTAGGCCATCGGGGCGTCTGCCGAGGAGGATGAGCGCGCGAGGCCCGGAGGCTGCGAATGATGAGGCTGTAGCGCGACCGATGCCGCCGGTTGCGCCGGTGATCAGGATGACCTTGCCGTCGTTTGAGAGGCCGGGAAGACTTGGGTTGATTGCGGGATACGTGGCTGAGTGCGTCAGCTTGGTGTATGAGGGTTGCGGTGCCATCGCGTCACATAGTCAGATTGTCAATACTCGAAGGAAAGATTGGTACGATGAATGGCGTAAGCAGAGACGATTTCGACAACTGCATCACTGAAAGGTATTAGAACCTAAGGCCAGAGAAAGGTCGAGTAAAGTACCAGCACCTCGGAGTCCGACACATAAGCTACATCACTCGAAATTGCCCCGTGTTCGAGGGCTCGGTGTTCGTCATGCAGGGTGCCATGCAGGTCAGCATGCAGGTGAACCAACACGAACCAACACACCATAGCCACACTCTACGCCTGGTTGGCCGGCAGTACTCGCTTGTTTGGGTCTGATATGGCTGTTCAACGCCAACAGCCTTGTTGGTTCAACTGGTGTGGGCTTATCGACGAATTGTCAGAGTGGGCGTTTTCCCTGACCTCTGTTTTCTTTTGAGTTATCCACACCCCTTTCGTCGTCTCACCCCTTTTGTCAGCTCACCCCTTTGGTTGTCTCACCACTTCCGTCTTGTCCTCCACATGCTATTTTAAAAGCCTTCCTTATAATAACAACATGATGATCTAATGAGACTCAGCCTCGACCTGAAGCTCGAGCCCAGCTGTCGCCACTGGGAGCCCTCGACCCAACCAAGACGGTGCAATCTCCACCCAAAAATTTAATTTTTTTTAGAAAGCTTGGGAAGGATAGTGGCTTCAGCTTGTCATTCCAGAAATCGTGAACCACTGTCCGTTCAGTCCATACCAGATTACGCAAGCATACTTGGGGTCTTGGATATATAAGAGGCCCTCCTTAGTGGCACATCAGCATTCAGCACATGGTCGTCGAATTAAGCGAACCGCCAACAAAACAAGAGACTTACAGGATTCTGTTAAGTGGCAGACTCAGCCACGGGGACTTACAGATTACCCATCTCGGGCCTGATGCCAGGTATCACGACGTCTACCGTGAGATCGTACAGTACAACCTTGCCGTAATGGATGGGCGAGTTCCCAGCATTGGGCTAGGAGGCTTCGCCAGCAGTGGCGAGCAGCTAAACTGAGGCTTGCGTGTTTCCACTGGGGCTAACTTGATCTTTAGGTTGCGTGACCTTTCTGTCCCGCAGCCATGGTTTCAGCTGTGACAACATCTACGGCTACGAAGTTGTCCTTGCCTCTGGCGAAATCGTCTACGTCACTACAAGTTCTTACCCCGACCTTGGCGGGCTGTCAGATATTGCAGACATTGCCGACGTCGTGAACACTTATGGAGCTACTATCCCATCCTCTGCCAACCGGTAGGTCGATGTATTTGATTGTTACGCGTCATTATCACAGCTCGACTCACTCCTTTCCAATGCTTCCAACATGGTGTGGGCCGGTAGTTATGTTAAGCCATGCAGGTCGCTATATGCTCCAGGCGTGTATAGATTTCCCAACAACAGTGCATTGTGTCATCCCCGGATTGTAGGTAGCATGCCCACCAGCCGGTCTTGTAGGAGAAAGCCTGGAAGTGCAGACTCGACCATTGAGACCTAACTAGTTCAAAGTCGGGGTGATACAATCTCGCCAAAATTTAAAGCTGGTACGCAGGAAAAGACTACATTGATAACTCTCATATGTCCAAATATTACAACCCTGGCCACTCCTCCAAGTGATCCTCTCAGGATCACGGCCTCAATCAACAATATCCCTTTCATAGAGGCAGCACCTGCCCGACATGGCGCGTCCAACGACTTCACCACGTATCCCATATGTCGTCCCAGTCCCATCAAGCAGGCCTCTGCGGCCAGACCCAGCGTCATAACACAGCTATCGCGCCAATGAGCCCCGCAGCAGCAGCAGCAGCAGCCATGAACCCAGTCTCCTGCGGCGCCGCGGCGCCCTGAACCGTCGTCGAGGTCGACGTCTCTGCCGTATTCGTAGCCCCGGTAGCCGTAGCCGTCCCCGTCTCGGTGCCCGTCGCAGCACTACCACTACCCGTCGCAGTAGTCTTCGGCACCTGCGCGCAGCTCTCATAAGCCTCAACAGTAGTAACCAGCGCGCTCGCGCTCGGGCACGCCGTGATGATCTTCGCAATAGTGGCCGAGTGCGCGCGGTACCAGCTGTACCACGTGGGCAGGTATGCCGTGTAAACGTCGCCCACGGCGCCCGTGATGGAAAAATCGCAAACGTCCGACAGCGCCAGCGTGGTCTGGCTCAGCGCCTGCGTCAGCAGGTCGTTGTTGACGAGGCCCTTGGGCAGCGGCGGCAGCTGGGTCACCAGCGGCAGCGCGCCCGGGATGCACGCCTGGATCTTGAACGCGTTGGCCGCCGAGATCAGCGTGCCGAGCAGGTTGTCGGATGTCTGGCGCGGCTTGACGGTGTTTCGCACGGCTGTGGCGGCGGGCTTCGGGTCGGAGTCGGAAGCGGCTGCCGCTGAGAATGAAAAAAGGCCAGCGGCCGCGAGGAGGAGGGTGAGTGCGCTTCGGGCGTACATTGTGTGATCTGAGCCTGTGTGTATCGAATAGTCGAAGTGGTCAAACGTGCGAATTTCACGCCGAGACTGGAGTATGTTAGACAAGAATCCCAGTTGACATATCCAAGAACGTGAAAGCAAAAAGCCCACTCCGACCTCGGGACAGCTTCAAATGGCATCTCCCCTCCCCAACGCCCATCTGCTTACCCTGCGATTTCCGCCGTGGTCACCGCATCTCGATGCGGGGAGTGTGGGGAAAGTATGCGGAGACAACTTCCTGTCAGGGAAGCATGACGCTGGGGTAAGCAAGGCACCCCTGGATCCTCCGCGCAGATCCCAGGATCTTATAGGGCGGCGCCGTCTGGGGTAACATGGGAGTGTTTCGAAGCTTAGCTGACAACTGCGAGGGGAGACGACCATGATTCGTCAACCATTGCCAAGCTATTGGACGACGACCCAGCACGAGACCTGTCCATCTTTGCCCCGTCTGTTGCCTTTCCGAGCGCGAACCCTGCCCGTTACTCTTGATGATTGAACAGCCGTGCATCGAGTGCTTCTGCAGTAACATTGACCTGTCACGACACAAGTCTCGCTATCCTGATATACTGCCATGTGCTGTATGCAAGTTGTACTTATCGACAATATGGCCGAGGGGTGCGGCTCATGGCCAGGGAAAGGTACCGAATACCAGACGCAAACATGAACCTGTACCTAGACACCGCAAGGTCAGTCATTCCACCAGTAAACCGTGAACCCAAGCTAATCCGCCATTGCAAGAGAGGGGAATGCGCGAATGAGCAATAAGGCACGTATCAGAATACTGGACCCAGACCACTCTTCCCTCTGCCCGTGTCATATCAGGAGGCCTACAACCATCGAGACGAATGCAAGTACATGCAAACACCAGGGCAGGGCTGCGTAAGGTTGGTACATGTGGCTTGATTGGCTCCCACAAAAAAGATAGAACGAAAAAAAGGGGAAACTTTGTGGTGACTCCCAGCTTGCCCACCGCTAGGAACGCATCTGATGTAGCGGTCAATGTTGAGTCTTGACGAGAAAGCAAACACATGGCCACAAACAGATGGGCAGGCAGGCAGGGAGGGAGGAAGGAGGTGGAGGTAGTCACCACCTCTATTGGTTGTAAATTTAACTCTGGCATCCCAACTTTATCAGCCATTGAAAAGGCCAGAAATCGAGCTGGGAAGCTTTGGCCATCACAAAGGTGCCACAGGTAGTGGCATCGCCCCGGCCACACTGCCCTGTGATTAATATTCATTTGCGTGTGATGTCGTGGCACAACAGTCAGTAAACACCCCCGTCAGTGAAAAGCGGATGTCAAATGTAGTACCTAAGCCTAGGCTCCTAGCAGAGAACTTCTCGAGGCACCTATCTGCAGGTGGTCTGATCCTAAGTTGCGAGTGAGGGCAAGAACGCTCTGCAAAACTAGCCACCCACCAGCAAAGAGCTTTTTCTTCTGGAATCTCTGCCATATCTGTCAGCTCGACTCCTGCACACTCACGCATCCACGCACACGGATGTGACTCACCATGGTGTCCAGCACTGCCTGCCTTCTGCCTGCCCTCAGATGCGTGCACACCAGCTTTCCCACTTTGAAAGCACATCTTTTCACTTTTCTCCTTGTTCTTTACCCATACCCTGTGTCACCTACGGCAATCGGAATGTTTCTGATCCGAGGGTGACAGCAGCACCCGAGAACGTCTTCACTCCAGCCATCAGGGCGTGAAACCGTCGTGGATGTATCCTTCGAAGCCAGCTCTACCAGCGGCGATAACTTCCTCACGGTTCCAGCCGGAGTCTTTCTCGAACCCCTCCCCGGCAGGAGATAGGCAGGTGCAAGGGTGCGAGGCCTTGCGTTCCTTCGACTTGAAAGGTACGACCTTCCCATTGTCTGAATAGATGGCGCTGACGGTACAGCCAGAGGACAGTCCAGGAATGCCTGATTGGCGTTTCATACCCAGGGCCACGACCTCCCAGTAACGATGCGTTTCTCCAAGACTTTGGTTGATCACGATAGATCGAGCTAGGGAAACAGGAACAGGTTCCCCATCGATGGTGAGTCTGAGCTCATGCTGAGTACATCGTGTACAGACGCCATGTGCATAGCCGATATCTTTAAAGTACCAAATGCGTGACTTGGGAAGAAACATGCTGACACTCATGGTGTGGATAGGAGCGTTACCGAAATTCTCGTCATGGAAGCCACCAGTGTTGTCCAGGTACTTCAGATAGGATCTATGTTCCTCTCCGCGAAAGAAAGACAGGTCACCGATTTCAAGTTCCGAGTAGGACTGGCAGCTGTTGTACTCCATGCTGTCGTACGCATCCTCGTCATCCTCGTCAGCGGGTGTACGATTTTGGCTAGCATCCGCAACTTGTCGAGGGTCTTGGAGGAACCAGTCATAATCAGCGTCATCATGGATGAGGTTCTTGTGTGTCTCGACAAACGACTTGGTACTGTCCCAAAGGGAAGGGAAAGATCGGGCATCGTCGAGGATGGCCATGTTGAACCCATAGGCCATGTTGTTGTCTTGCATGAATCGGAACACATCGTAGTTGATGTTGCTGCGGAAGTCGACCTTGGCAACACTCGTCAGCTCAGACCTCGAGAAAAGGGGATACCGGTGCGTATTCTTGCTCATGCGCAAAAGGGGACAGTTGGGCAGGATCAAGATGCTGACTTACACCAGGTTCGACACGCCAGAAGTAGTCATAGTTGGCGAGACTCTTCTCCATGGCAAACAGGCCAGCATTCCATCGACGCATGTGGTGAGACCCATGGAGCCATGCTTCGCTAACACCAAGACTTCGACCCTCGTCAAACCGGGATGTGTCACTCCAGTGCTCTTTGGTGATTACCTCGAAGTAGCATTGGGAACTGGTCACATCAGCGACAGCCTGCTTGAACTGGTCGGTGAACTCCTCGTCACTGAAGAAGACCCAATCGTACTGGTGTGTAAGGCGACCATTGAAGCGAGCCTCCAGCTGTGCAATGCTGTATACCATATGGTTAATCTCGGAGTTGTGGACCAGCGCAATCAACGCAGCACGGGGACGCGATGCCAGGAGCTCCTTGCGATACTGCTCGGGCATCTGGTCGACATCGAAGATGGTATTCGCTCGCAGCCATTGGATCGGGTTCGGCTTAGCCGCCTTGTCTGGTGATCCTGGGAGCTGCGCAACGGGAGGCGGATATACGTCAACCATGAATGCCTGGCGAACGACGCGCTTGGCATGGTCCTTGGAAACAACCCGAGTGGCGCCAAAGATGACAGAGGCTAGGAGCAGAACAAAGAGGATCTTGCGAATGGAGAGTGTTCTGTCATCGCAGGTGGTAACATTAATAAAAGCATGGCTTGGGATGCTGTTGGACATGGCTTACCGGAGGCGGCGTGGCAGGAAGCCGAGGCCAAGTCCCTGCTGCCTGTCTTGCATGTGAGGTTCGTTCAGAAAGGGAGCTCGAATACCTTCAATACCAGCGACATCCTCCTCGTGGACGGTAATGGCCAAGTCAAGAGCACGAAATCCGTCGTTGTTCGAACCAGACAAGGAGCGCGCGTGGCCAAGTGCGTGACCTTGCTGGACTGGGAAGCGCTCGGTTGACCTGCTGGCAGCGCCAGAGCTGGAATGGGCGTAGGGGCTGGACATGGTGCACGCAAGCTGAAGTTGAGATACAGTCAGCTTGTCACGATGCGACGAGCGGGACTGGATGGATGTACTTGCCTCTGCTGGTGATAAGGTGCTACTGCTTGACAATCCTCGAGGTGCTCTAGGCGGAGATGGTTTTTGGTGTTGTAGGAACGAACTTTTGAAGTGAACCCGCGAGAATTTTCTGGAGTGCGAAGTAGCGGCTACCCTTGGCCTTCTTGCGAGACAGGCCGAAGGGAGGCGAACGAGAGACTGAGTAGAATGAACAAAGCAGGTTCAGGAGTCGATGCACCAAATGATGTTGAAGATGTTGTGAGGTAGAGAAGGGCGAGTAACGAGGTGGGAGGCGGGAGGTGGAAAGGGTTGGGGCAGCGAGGATGCAATTGGAACCGAGAAAGTCGAGGGCACCGATGATAAGGTTGATGCAGCAAGGCCTAGCGGGTTTCAGGAATAATTTGATCTCGCCTCAGGCAGGAAGTCGTGGCCTGCTCGGGACAGTTAATTATACGCAACAAACAATCCCGATGTGTGCATACCTTATCCGACTGCCATGGAAACGCCGGTGGAGTGTGCGCGTCGCCAGTCGCGACTGCCCTGAGTGATTCACTGCAGGTGGCTAGTCACCTGTCTCCGTTGCCCCCAGCGTTGCCCCCCTATCCGTGACTTGATCTTCAGGGGAGCCGACCTCAGACGCCTTGCCTCCCCAAGAACGAGCTTTGTTATCGTCCGTCCACAAGCAAACCGCCCACGGCACTCAACCCACAGCCTCGGAGCATCTCCCATGAAGATACAGACGGGATGTAGATGGTGATTTGCAAGTAAACAGTACACATTGCCATCCAGTATGCTACGCTATAATACAGTAATATCAGCCACAGAGAAGTACTTTGTCCGGTACTTTTGCTCCATAGGTCAAGTAGCAACCACCAACGCCATTCAAGTCCATTGGGTAAACAGACATGACCGTGCCACCCATCACGGTTCAACCGAAATAGCATCACCAGCCAGGTCGTCCTCCAGGGTCAGGTCGAGCACCCGAGCGTATTGTACAGTGAGACGCTGCAGCTCCCGAAACTTGCCTGTATCGTTATATCAGTAACTGACTGCCCTTATCGATTGCGGTGAGGGACGTGATGGAATGACAAACTTACCGAGAATCATTACCACCCCTTTGAGGAGCTCCTTTCGGTCCCACCCGCAGATATCCTCCTCTGTACTGTTCCAACCCCTGCCCTTGTCTTCATCTTCGCTTTGTTTGTCTTGCAAGATCCCTCCCAACAGGCTGTTCAGGAGCTCCTCAACCTTGCCCCGCAGCCCCTCGGCTCCGATTCGCTTAGCATACATGAATATATACAATCGGAATTCCTCCTTAGCACCCAACTGAAGAGCTCCCGCAATGCGGTTCTCCAGATGACCAATGCTGACGCTTGATTCAAAGCCCTCAAACCCGTCTTTTGAGAGCAGGGACTTGATCAGGCGCTGCAGAGTGTAGGCCCTTCCCTTGAGAAGGAACTCATTGGTTGTATGTCGCTCCAGGAACGGGATGACGCCGGCAGAAACGGTCACGTCGTCGCTCTTTCCATCCTTTGCAGGCACTGAGCCCACGGCGGTAGATTGAAGCGAACCGACCGAGGAGTCGTTGCTGTTCCAGTACTGACTCCCAACGGCCCACCACGATTCGGAAAGACGCTGCCATGCGAACATATTAGGGCAGTAGTGATAGCCATCGCCATTCGTCAGCGTGACAATAATGTGACCACTTGAATTCAGGTGGGCTGAGGTGACACCCGGAGCAGGCATGGCGCCATGTGGTTGGAGGGAGCTGATAGCGATCTCCAGGATGGGAGCAAGGGAAACTGGCGGATGCGGTGAGGAAAGGGTGTTGATATTCCAGACGTAGCACATGCCGGCTGCAGTGATACATAATAGCCACCACTCGCGGCATTCGAGAATCACCGGTTGCGATTCTAGTACCATGGCGTTGATTAGTCGACGACCAGCTGGTGTCCAGGTGTACAAGCTACCATCTTCACAGGCAGCGGCCCAGAATCTTTTGCTGCCGGTCACAAGAACAATAGCTCGTGGGAGGTAGTCCTGCCAGAGTAAGGTGCCACGTTTGGTTGCTGTGATGTGTGAGGGGTCGCGGATGGCGGCCGGATTCTTGGCCTCCAAGATGACATTCTCGGGAACCTTCGATGCTTCCTCCACAGCGCTGTCTTCGAGGAGAACACCGCGTTCCAAGGGACGAAGGATATGTGTCCGCACCTTCGGTACAGCGAGTCGAACTTGGGAAATGGCAATAGAGGGATTCAGGACTGCTGGTCGAAGATACTCAGGTGTAGGCACTAAGCCCTGTTTAGGGGGTTCTAATGCTACCGCTTCCAGACCATCTGCCCCATCCCTCATGATTGGTCTCGGACCGGTAGATTGCCGTTTGCTCGGATGTTCCTCGTCGTCTTCGCCTTCGATCGCGATGGCTTTTCTCTTGTTACCCAGGAGCATCGCTGCAAGACCACCTTCGGGTAGTCCATCGTATGGCTTGGAGAGGTCCAGGATCGTCTGAGGTGCGTCATTCTGCGCAGCCTTTGATGCGCTTGATCCAACCAGCTGTGTCTGCGGCAGAGAGGATTGACCCGTTCCAGATGAAGATATGAGCATTGGAGCAACTCTCTTTCTTCCATCTTTGGTGATCGTGACTCTTGACTTGAGTTCATTGACACGCTGGGCCGTTTTGTCTGCTGGCTCCGGTGCTGGTATCGCTTTGTCTTTCTCCCTCTCGACCTCGCCTTCTGCTTGGCCATTAGTCAATGCCATCTTAGGCGTAGCTACGCCCGGTTTGACACCATTTGTAGTAGGCACCTGATCCTTCGGAAGAGGATGGAAGTCCCCCATCAGGGCGCCCATCCTGGATTCGGCGCCTCTGCGCTCTCCTTCCTTGCTGTGATTTTCGAGTTGAAGGCCGTCCACATCTTCAGCAATACCCATTGCCTTTCGCGACGCTCCGTATTTAGACAGGGCTTTGTCAGTCTCTTCAAGATTAGCAACCCAGCCTAATTCGCCCGTCTCAAACCTAACGCAGACAATGCCACCGTCAAGACTTGATGCGAAAAGCGTTTGGCCATCAGGCGCCCAGGCAATGTCAGAGATCGACTTTGCCGCCAAGTCTTGCAGGATGACGACCGGTCTCGATGAATTTGTGTTCCAGATGCTTAGAGTCTTGTCCTGACCAGCCGAAGCAATCACAGTGACCAATGTGCCCGCCAAGGCATGTCCATTTGTCGCGCCGTTTTCTACCGGTTTTGTGGTATGGAAAAGCCTTGGCGAAAACATGCAGACCTCGGTTGGCCCTTCATGTCCGATGAGGTTGATTTCGCTTTCCCATCTCGCCCGCTCGATAATAGCAACCGAGCTCACAGGTCCATTAACAGCGTTCGCAGCGGCAATGTGGTTGCCATCTGGAGACCACGAACACCGGCGGAAATACGTGGTCAAGGGGGAGGATTTAAACGGCGCACTGATGGTAGCCTCGAGCTGGAAATTATTAACCATGTCGTGCTGGGTCGCGTTGGGTGCTGGGGAAGTGAATCGAAAGATCTTAATTGTTCTATCGTCACTTGCCGTAGCAAAGAACTTGTTGGCTGGATCAAAGGTGATGCCCTTGACATGGCTCTGGTGCATGGGCAGGACCTTGAGCTTCTCAAAGGTGTGGCCGGACCATATCACCACCTTGGAGTCTAAACCAACAGAAACCAGTATAGACCCATCGCAAGACCAGCCCAGGTCTTGGACATCGTTCTCATGCCCTATCAGTCGCCTGGTGGTCTTCCAATTCTCGACCGGAGGTGGCTCGTTGGTGCCAAAGCGAGCAATGGCAGGCGGGCCGCTCTCCAGTTGGTATATACATATGATCTTATCGTCTGCGCCGGATGCCAGGTATCGTCCATTGGGGGAGAAGCGCACCGAGTGGATGGTGCCGAGATGATGGCTCATGTGGCATAGCTGTCGCGGGCCGGTGTAGGAGCGGTCGTCGGCACTGTAAACGGATTCGGTTGACCAGACACGGACGTGACCATCTAGAGGAAACCATCAGCGCGAGTCTCGGAGTGAAGATGACGAAAGCACTTACCACCGCCTGCAGTCGCAAGTCGGGTTCCATCTGGCGACACATGACAGCTGTAAACCTCGAAGTCTTTCTGCTCGCCTAGGTACCGGTGAGTTAGTTCCCACCAGAAGCAGCTTCGCTGTGTCGCAAACCAACGGGTGCCTACCTTTGTGGCTTAGCCATGATGGCTTGGTGACGCGCATGATGAGAGGTTGTCTAGAGCTGTGGTTCGCATGTCTACATGGAGTTGGCTTCGCTGTTGCTGTTGCTGCTGCTTATGGTGGTGGTTGGACGGGAGGGAGTCGAACGCGCGCGCGTGGCTCCCAGAATATTTTGATGGATGTCGGCAAGTCGGTTAGAGCTGGGAGCCCTGGAGGGACTGAGGGATTGCAGTTGCTACTCGTTGCGCGACGCGGTCCGAGTCTTTTGGAAGTGGGTCGATCAATCAATCAATCGACCAGTCATTTCTCGCGTTTTGGCACGAGCTGAGTTGTGTTACTTATGTAATCCTGCATTAACCTCAGCTCGGAGTCTGGACAGCTCCTGCGGCCTGCCCTTGCAGCCTCATGACACATGTACCTAACCTCAGCCCTCGGGCCCTGAGGTCAACTTCCCCTCTTCCACGTACAACTTCATGTAGAGTCTACCTAAGAACATGACGCGTCTCCTGGCAGAGGAGGGGCCGAAATCAACGCAATCATCTGCCATTTGATGTGGGCTCCCTCTTCCATATTATGTCTCTGCTCTGAGTTGCACAGGTGACAAATTCTTCTTCACATGAACTACCATTTTAGCTTGCTGATGTCTTGAAGCCTTGGAAAAACCTGACAACTGAGAACATAGCTATCCTGGTAACCGGGTAACATAGCCAATGAATCAAGAGATGCTTGTGCAGGTCATTGTAAAAGATAGGTACCACCTGCACGTTCCAGTGATCACTGATCTGTGACTTTCACATGGGTCAGCTTTGGCTGCTGACGTAACTACCTTATGCACGGGCCATTATTGAGCCAAGGTACCAGACGCTCGGGCTTGGATGTGACAAGGTGATCCTGGTGGTCGCGCTTGGGCCGCGGCATTCTCCAAATTCTTTCAACTTCACTCCCGTCTTCATCGTAAGCTTGCGCCCAGCAGCGAAGCAGCTTCTAACTCTCGCCACTGCAGGTACGGCCAGGCAGATTATACAATCCTTATGGTTTCACTTGATTAGGCATTGGTACGGGACAGTCGTCCCAGTCCACCTTTTCGTCTTCTCTCCACTTCTCCACACCCACGCCCACGCCGCTGCAGACTGCAGACTGCAGTTCAGTCAACATGGGAATTTGTGCTTCCTGTCTCGGTGGTCGGCGAAACGAGTCGTACGACGAGGTATGCACATCCACCTGTCCTCCGCGTCCTCTGCATGCGGCACATATTGACCGAGTCTAGGACGATGTGTCGCGACTGCTCTTCGACGATGCGAACAACATTCAGTACGGCAGCTTTGGCGAGCACAACCCGAACCCCCAAGCCGATCCACTCGAGTCGCAACGAGAAGCCGAAGCTCTCCAGAGGGTGGTAGCGCGAACCTCCAAGTACATATCTCTTGTCCTTCAGGGTATTTGGGATTGCGTGCTGACCAGTATTTAGTAATCTGGTCGATGTTTTCGAGATTGCGCCTCAGGAGTCGCAGAGGACGCATCCGGCCATGTTCTCGGGCCAAGACGTTCGTCTAGCACAGTACCAGAACATCTTGTCGAAATTGTCGCTGGACGATGGAAGCGCTTTTGCCGAGGGCAATCATGGATTCGTGGAGTGGCTATTGAACGAGGATGACACCACAGAACTCCACGGGAAAAGCCCGAGCATCAAAGATGGATCAGGCGAGCCTCTTGTAGGCACATTTGCAGATGCGGTCACCGCAGTAGCATGAAGCGACTAGCTGGAACGATTGGGTAATCGGAACAATCGGATGGATACCACCTGGCACCTACGCCTCCCTCACCTGCAACGCTTGCGTGAAGATTTCATATACTGCCCACTCGCCAGCCCAGTCATAACCACAGCCTAGCCAGAACCCAAGGCGGGTCTATTGCTACCTGAAATGGAGTTCAACGAGCTCAGAAAGGCCTATACTACATCAAGTCAATCAAGACATTACCCCATCGGCTGGCGCGCGTCTCGCTGTCTGCGATAGAGCCAATCGTAGCTGTTGGCTGGTTTATTTCGAAGCAGTACCCATTGAGCAGCAGACACGTGCCCGTTCCATCATATACGCGGAGATGGAGTCTTCTCTTACCTCACAAAGATTTCCATTGCCTACCTAAGCGCAATATCCTACACTACTAAGCTGCCAGGTAAACATGACCCTCATTCGGATTCGAGGCAAGAGAAGCGAGCGGTCAAAAGGAGGGAGCACAAGAGGGGGCCTCCCATGAAGGATATTTATGTATTCCTAATCTGGACCCCCGGTATGAGTTTGTGCGTCTGATCTGGTCATTTAGCGTGTACGCCAGGAGTGGCCCGCCCACTCTTTCGCCCCGTCTACAGCCCTTTAGAGTCCCTGGGCGAGATGCAGACTACCCACAACGAGCAGGAGGCCGAGTCTGAGTCTGATGTCACTCTTGTCTGTTCAGTGTCATTGCTACTGAAGCAGTCCAGTGGCCCGGCTGTTGCAGCTCTCTTCGAGCTGCGGCTATCGCTCTTCGCCCACTTTCCTAGCCGAAGCTTTTTAAGTTACGTTACCAGCCTGCGACTTGGTGAATCACCTTCGCTTCTACCGCCAGCCTAGACACCGCTTTCTTCGCTCCGAGTGCCGAACAGGTGATGTACGAGCTGGGTCCAGTCTGGGCATGGGGCAACTCGAAGCTGGAAACGATAGGATTCTGTGCGCGCCTCCCAAAGACCCATCGTTGGCAGTACAGGGACGTTCAGGGACGAAGGCAACGGCTACGATAATACAAAGCTTTCAAAACGGATCACATATAGTGTCACGTCAGATACAAAATACAAAGGACCGGCTTCCCAGCTCCAAATCCAGATGCCACACCGTTCTCGAAACACATCTCCGTGGGTCTGATACCAGCCCATAGTCACACCCACAGCCACACCATATTTCCGTCGAGATGCCCCGTTCAAGGGCAACGTCTCTCAAGAGGAAGCAGTAAACCAGGAAAGTCACCACAATGATGTTGCACCATGGCCCTGCAACATGCTTGTGGTCCCCTCCTTTCCCACGTCCTCATGCAGCACTCAAATCGTCGAATATAGCCGTTGGTCGTGCTGCTGGACCATGTTGTGGATTGCCTCACTGACCTCTCCCATGTCTCTCTCGGCCTTTTCGATCGTCGCGGTGCGGTTGCCTTCTCTCTGCCATCGGTAGATGTCGCTTTCGAGTTTCTTGTATTTGCGTTGTTTCTTCTCGATGTCCTTGCACAGCTTGCAAATGTCCAACTCCTGGTTGGTGTTATACACCAACTTTAACCCGCAGGTCTCGCCAGTTCTATACTCTTTGGTACATTGCTGACGGAAATGACCCCAGCGCCAGTAGCCGCAATTCCAGCGTGTTTGCTCGAAGTAGCACATCGTGGTTGTCGTGGATGGCGAATCTGTTGGCACCATATGTCAGCCTCGCAGCCCCACAATTCAGGGGATCAGCCCCCTGCCCAGCGGCGAGCTATTAGGGAAGACGCACCGTGGAAACTCGAAATTTACACCTGTAAGTGTCAACGTTATACACACCCCTCGAGTAGCCGTTTGTAGCAGTTTGGGTGCAAGAAACTGACTGGTAATGTACAAATCAAGATGCTTTATCGCCGGGCAACATCACACGACTCATCCCCGAAGACCGAAACGAGATACTTATACTTCCCTCCTCAACCGTCGTCGACGTCTTGGCTTCCCCACGAATTCTCTCTACCTCCTACCCGTCCTCGACATGCGTTGGCAGGAACCTTCCACCACATAGTGGCTGGTAGTTCGCCCGAAGCCATCAGAAACGACCGCAGTGGATTGGTCGAGGACAACTCAGCCTGTCTGCTAAGTGAGGTTACATGGCCACCTCGCATTCTTTCCCGTCCAACACGCTCATTCGAACGCCTGCCTGGATGCCACGTTGGCGATGGGACATTTCTAACCGGCTCAACTTCCCCACCTGGCTACGGATACCCAGACAGTCCAGCCGATGATGAGCGTTCTACCAGCGACCTGATTCGCGAGGCGATGGCCGCCCCCGTTCCTATTCCAGCATCCATTGGCTCTATTCAGACGCTTTGGGATAGTACCTCGTCAACCCAATGCGGACACCATCAGCCTCGACTATGACGGACCCTGGCAGCCCTTCCCGTCCCACGCACTCTGGTTGTTTCCCGGTCTGCAACCCTACATGGGCGATACCCACTGGCCTATGCAGGCAGTCTAGCTAGCTGCGGCTAGGTCCCATCCCTGCCTCGTGAGGCAACTTAGTTTTGAGGACAGGCATAGTCGGTAGATCACTGGAACGTAGGCTCATGTTTCGATCCTTGCAATACCCCGGCTGTCGGTTCGAGCCTACCGCCAATAACATGCTGCATGGCTTCCACAACGTGAATCTCCCTTTTAGGGCAGTGGCATAATCATCCGAGACGCTGCACGTTCTCCCCAGGCTCACGCAATTCCATATCGCAATGTTGGCCCCATCGGGAGGTCGGCTGGCGTCTGCCACTGTCAGTCCCATGTCCTTCTTGTCATATCTGTGTGACTGGGCTCCTACCTGACCATACTTTCGAGTGGTCCAGCTCAGCAAGCCCCATCGGGGAAGACGATATTAACCTGACGCACCCTGAGCTCAACCTTTAGCCAACAGAAACCACAACACATCGTTCGAGCCCTCCTGACATCCGATGCACCCGGCTGAGAGGTTCCGCTTTCCTTCAATGGATCTCTGTACATCGACAGCAGCAGAACTGTGGTTCATTGGCGTTGGGTTGCGATGAAGATCACATCTGTGGTGACACCCTTGATATCAGAGACTGGGTTGCCTTCTCTGCGACCACATGCGGGGGCCAGATAAAAGCAGGATAATTTTCCAAATACCGCGCACCTCCCCACTCACACGTGAGGACGTCCAGATATGTATCGAAGTCTCTTCCGCATCGGGTTTACACCATTTAGGCAGACTGAGGATCTTCACCGGGGTGGTTGGGCCAGCGGCCGACGTGGCAATGTTTTGTGGCCGGACTCAGGCAGGCCCACCCACTCACACGAATCCATCCCTAGTTTAGGTAGAAGCTCGCTTCTAGGGACTTTCTTCCCTTCGAGGCTGTCTTGGTCTTGCTGTCGGCGTCATAGTTGAAGAAACGGCTACCTTTGTGGCCGCGTTCTGTGGCTCCTGCTACTATGCATAGCATTTGAGGGCAAGTACCTAGGTTTCAGATGAAGGCAAGTGTCACAAACGTTGTCGGATATCATTCATATCACAACTAGGATTTGAAGCAAGTTTTACTGGCTTAGAGAGTCATGGTTAGGAACTTCATCAGGTTTTGTGGGACGAGCACAATCAGGTACTTGCTGCATCTGCTTTGCGATCTACGACCAACCATTAATGACGACGGAGTGACACTTGAGCATTGCGTCGGATACAAGACTTTGCCTGAATTGCCAACTTGGTTTGGTTTTCTACCCTATTCAAGTAGCAATATACGCGTCAGAGTAGGACGCAAATGCAAACTTGCCTATTGTCACGCTTCTCAGCCCCAACGTAGCAGCACGGATGCCCTTCCCCGTCGGCAAAGAACGGCGGGATAGAGAAGAGTGCCTGCTTTACTACCAAATTAGGTATTTTTTGCGTCCTCCCTCACCGTGACACCGATTCTTACCATTCCTACCAGGTGGTCGCGTCAAGGAGGCCGCAAAAGGCGGCCAGGAGCTGTTGGTGTTGTGGACATACAACGTGATACTCGCGAAATTCTCGGCCAGGTATCAGGCCTTGTATATCACGGGCCGCGCCGGTTGCAGCTCCTCGACACGATCATCGATCTAGTGCTCGCAGAAACGGCCCTCGCACAGGAAAGAATTAGTATCGTACGTGACTCAGAACCGCGCAGGACTAGACAATGTTGACGTTGAACACGATGCCCGGCCTATCCAATCGGAACGCTCTCGTTGCTGTGTGTTTCACCAAGCTCAACAGAGACATTATTAATTCCGGCCACACTTGGGGGAAATCATGTGGCATCGGACACATGCGCTCCCCCATACGGCGCTCAGAGCCAGCAAAGTACCGTACGTTCGATATGACCCAACAGTGGCACTTCTCGACCCACCTCTAGACGCTGTCATCGCCATCCCTTCCGTTCCTTGGGCCACATGATATCTGAGGGGTTGGGGAGCAAGCACGGAGCCCACCCACTCACCCCTGACGGCACCCGCATGCAACCACCAAAACACACAGGACCCCTTTCAAAAACATGTTTTGCTCTAAGCCGCATGCATCGTCGCTTTGCCAGCTCATTGGCTTTGGGGGCCAGGGGACGCAGGTTGGCGGCCGCAGCGGGACGTGCCTCTGGGCCAACCGGAGGCCCCAACCCGCGACCACGATGCACACCCACGCACACATACGCACATCAACAACTGACAACCATGGATATCCCTGATTGCGCCACAGTTCCGCGCCCGCCCCCCGAATCGCTGCTTGCTCGGCTCTGTGGTGCAACAACCGCTGCGCATGTATATAAATCGGCCGCCTCGATTCGTCCGCTGCTCCTGCAATGGCACAAGCAGTATTTCAGTTCTCTCACCGTCTCCCTCACCGTCAATTTCTGCAGCACGCAGATCCCGGGCGAGCGAGCGAGCGAGCGAACGAGATAGAGAGAGAGAGAGAGGAAGAAAGCAAGGGGGCCCTCTAGGGCACTCATGTGAGTTGTTTGTTGTCCATTGAGAGGAGTGTTCCACCACCACCACCACCACCGCCACCTCCTCCTCCCACTGTCTGATCTCGGTGGCACAGGGGTCCTCGAATGGAACAGCCGTCCTTCAGGCTCCTCGCTTGGGCAGGAGAGAAAGATCGTCAGGCAGGTAATCAGGGCCCGTAAACGAGGCTCGGTACCGTAGCGGGTGTGTGCGCGCGCATGGCATCGATGTGATCTGATGTTGCCGTTTCCATCTGTCAGCATTGCAGAGTCACAACCCACAACAGCCGGGCATGCTGCATTTGCTATAACCTCCGCAGCCCAGACATAGGATCCATAGCAGCTCGTAAACCTGTGCCTGGAATATGTGTACAAGTAGGTAGGTAACACCTGGTATTGGCACAGACCTAATGAAGGTATTGATTCCTGAAGAACATGGGATAAACCACCCCTTGAAGTTTTCTCTGGCGCTTGTTTCAAGGCCTGTCATTGACCTAGTCCACTGTTCAGGAAAACAGGGGGGAGAGGGTGGATCATGACATCCACCGTCAACATCAAGTAGCCCCGTCGTCATTTCAGGAGTGTCGTTATTCTGGTATGGAAGACAACGATTTGTTTTTGTTACACAAACATACGTAAACAATCACAAATATACACACATCACTCGAGCCTTTCGAGCCCAATTGACCACTAGGACGAAGAGGGCAGTCCGGCCATTGGGCATCGATCGTGAGCCCGCCTCAGCCGGGATTATCGACCGCGACGGGGGCCAAGACAGGGGGATTTGCTGGCCGGCCGGCCGGCCGTCTTGGAGACCCGCCCCGCCGTTCATCACCCCCGTGTTGACAAGGGGGGGAGGTTTGGTCTGTCAACAGCTATTGTACACCACCATCGCTTATTCTCGCAAAATCTCCCTCAAGAGGCGCAGACGCAGACCGCGGAAGCAGCAGCGGCAGCGGCAGAATTGTGCATGCGATGTGACTTACACGTCATTGTCCGTCTGAAGCCGAGCCCTGAAGATAGAACCATGGGACTGACTACTAAGGTTACGTAGGTGGGTACGTACGTTAGTTACGTACATATATCTCGGGTACCTCATGTGCTCTGTGTATATGACGTGCAGTGGCGCGAGTCACAGCCGACACCCACGTTTTGTTGCCATGTCAGGGACATGTAAAGCATAGCTACCGGGTAGGTTGGGATTGTACCTGAAATGTGACGCGTCACAAATGGGTGTCTTAACCGGGCATTCTTTCTGGCCTGAGATTTGGAGTCAACGTCTAGTTGCTCCAGTTGAGGCGAAATCAACCAAAGAAGAACATGTGACTGTAGTAAGTCATGTGACAAAGGTCTACCTTTGCAGGCCCCTGACACTCCCTTGTCAATTTGCAGACAACACTGACAACGCACCACGCCGAGTGATTGACTGACGTGATGGACCCCCTTACCCCTTACCCCTGCCCCTTTTCCCGGTCGGTTCATGCAATGCCCAACCTAGCTTTTATGGGAACTGCCAAGCCAAAGAGACCCAAACATACCCGCTTCCCTCGTCCCTGCCATCTTCTCGCAGTTGATGGTTGAATCATGGTTCTCATGGAAACTACCCTGCCTGCGGGTGGGGGCGGCACCCCGCGTCTACTCCAGAACGATCTGCCACACCTGTCGCAATCAGCCGGGTAGGACGTCACGTCAGAAGAGGGATAGCCGGGTACGTACCTCCAGCTGCCAATGCAACTTAGATCTCAGCGGCATTCATCACGATCATGCGCATTCCGACGATCATCAGTACCTACTTAGCCGACTCGCTGTTGTTGCTATGTCGACTATTGTCATGCTGTGAGAACCTTAATTTGGACCTTCAATCAAGTCCCCTGCTCATGTCCATAAGTATCCCGGTACCTACTTATGTTTCATTCATATCATAACGCTAGCACTGCGATACCGAAGTCGTAGTGTACAACGCGCATATCATTTTGGTCTCCTGATCAAAAGGTGTGACGCCGGTTGAAGCCGGTCCTTGGCAAGCGGAAGGATACGGCTTCACAAGGAAGTATGCTCCCTATGTGCATCTGTCAAACTTCTAGAATAGGTATGTATCAGCTCGAAACTCCAGGCCGCCAGGTACGTCATATGCCTCCTTGTCGCACCACTCTCACCTAGAGATTCAGTCTGTTATAGTCGCGTTTGAACTTAAGAGTTCGGGTATCTAGCTCTGTGTTTCTCGTCAATAGCAGGGGTATTGCACCATTAAATGTTGCCCTACTCACGGTGCGAACAACGTGCGCAAAACTTAGCGTAGTCCCCACTAAACGGCGGCTGATGTGTGTCGACCCCTGCCCAATGCCCCCTGCCCCCGACTCTCCGTGGCACTGGCAGCCCTGTCTCCCCTGTCACGAGGCGGATCCCCATTCGTCAACGTCAGGCTACTTCACGACCCCGTGTGTCGCCGGCCTTGTTCTTGACCTCTTCGCTACCACCTACACCCACCATCAACACATCATCGACACTTCATTCACTGAGCTCATTCTCTCTCTGCTTGCCTCTACCTCGCCATCTCTCAATCTACTGCACCTTCATCACATATAACCGCGACAAGGGCGACTTATGCGACCTCCCTGCCCTCCTTCACACCTCGGGACCCTGGTCATGTGTATTATTAACCGCGCCCATCTTAACAGAACCACTCTTCACAACCATTGACGCGCTTTCGCTTGCTGTATCTTGAGTCTTCCACATAAGCGCAACCACCTTGAGCCCGGTTGACTTGGTACCTATCGAGCTGCCGCTTGCCTCGCCTCCGCAATAGTCATACCAAGTATCAATACACGCTCATTCTTGGCCAGGGCAGCGAGCAGTCTTTTCCGGGCCAGAACCGAGCCTAGTCACCTAGTTTGCTGGAGTGAGCCGTTGCTGCCTTGCCCTCCTGTGCCGTGCAACCCTTGCCAGCTGGCGCCGTGGACCAGTCGGGGAACGCGGATCTTGTTGACTGGCATGAGACATTGATACTCATTACCACGACCTCATCGCATCAGGCCATCATCTCGCAGGCAGGCTACGGAATCAAGAGCTCACCGGGAACATCATAACCGTGCTTGCTTCCGCACAGCCCATCTCGGTGTGATCCGAGGAGATGTTAGAGTGAGGAACAGACAGCCACTGGTACTGCTACCTTACCTTACCACTTCTGCCTATCACGTCGGCTTGGCCTCGTAACGCGCATCGCCCTTATCTTGGCAGCAGCGCGCGAAAAAAAAAACATGACGAATCATTCAGCCACGGACACGGGTTTGCCGTCGTCACAGCAGCAGCACGCCATTTCAACCAGAGACTTGAACATGGACACGACGTCTAGGATGCCTAGCACTGTGATGCGGCGCGCTGCTTCACCTGCCTCTTCGCTCCCTGCTGAGAATGGAAATGTCACCTCGCAGCAGGACGAGCAAAATGAACAGGCCTCAGTAAAGGCCTCCACCGTGATTGATGCCCAACCACCCATGAACTATCCGCAGCAAGGGCGCACAAGGTCAAATCCGGCAAGGGAAGACAAGGAAACCAGCTACGCCATCTTCGATGAACCGCGGCCAGACGCGGGTCAAGGTGCTGCTGCCGTCTCGAGTCGCTGGGAGGCAACGAGAAACTCGTCTAGAGACTCTTCGTCATCGTGCGATACAGTTTCCTTGGCTGAAGATCAGAGTGGGGAATGGGCAACGCAAGTTGTGACGAAAAGGACATCGTCACTGTTGCGCTGGGGGTGGGACATGGCGAGCTTGGACTTTTTGCCGAATGAGGTTCTGATGCACATCCTCGGCTTCCTGGATGTCAGTGACCTGCTGGCCACTTCGAGGGTACGTTGGCTTCTCTGTTGATGTTCAATTCGCCCAGGGTTGACTCATCTCACGTGTCTCTGCATGTGAATGAGGCCCTGTGGGTTACCGAGACCTCTTCATCCCCATCTCACTCGACAATTTTCAGACGTGTCTCGCTGTCATCTCTGCTGCTGCTGCGGAAGCTTTGGCTTGTCATGCATGAGTTTACTGTCTGTCTTTGCGACTTATCTCTCCCGAATGTAGCTCACTCCTTGTGAACCATCACTTGCACGACCATTTCATACCACAAATCCACTCCTCCCCCTTTCCTGCCAGATCTCATACTCCCACTTTCCTCCCCCTTCTTACTCACCCAATCTCAACTCAAGCTGAGTCTCGATATTGGGTTTCAAAGTTCTATGGAAGAGCTAACAAGACACAGATCAACCACCACTTCCGCACCCTTTCCATTCATCCAATCCTGCACGCATATCGTTTACAACGTGCCCGCAGCATTCTCCCACCCCTCCTGACCTCGCCCTCGCGCCCCACACTCGCCGAGCTCATCGCGCGCCACATCTTCCTCACGCACACGACGCAGATCTCACGTCGCCTTGCCCGCAACCTCGTCGCCATCCGGCTCTCACGTCGCCTGCCCCAGCGCCCCTCCGCCGAGACTCTCGTCCAGCGCGGAGTGCTGCCACCCGAGTGCTCGTCGGTGGCGCCGGGGCTCGTGGCCAAGAAGCGCGCCGTCGAGAAGGAGAGGCTGAAGGACGGCCTGCGGAAGTGGGTCGGCGCCGTCTGGAGGGGCGAGGTGAGGGAGCGGAGCGAGGGCGTCAAGAAGTGGGAGGAGAGCGCCGGCGTGGGGAGGGTGTGGAGGCTGCGCCGCTTCTGGGAGCGCGTGGGGCATGAGTGAGAGTGATGAGAGGTGTGTACCTCATCAGTCAGGCCTATATGGAGCTGCTGGTAGCCAGGCCTGCCTTTTACAAGTGAGTGCGGATGAAACTTGCTGAAAGGCATGATGCGGTAAAGCCCGCCGTCTTGCTCTGACGATTACCACGGGCCTTTGCGAGCAATGAGTGGAAGAGGGACTGACTATCGACTGACGATGATATTACGAAACAGCACAGCACATTTGGAGTACCGGAGTTCGGGTAGGGACCATGATTTTCTTGTACATCAGACCGTCGTATGTATATCACTTGTTCTGAATACCGAGAAGCTGTACACTTTGCGAATCACCGTACGTACCTTGGTTTGAAAGATGTCTGGGTGCTCGGCACGACCGCATCACGAGATCGGGTGGAATTGATTCTTGTACAGGTATAGTAATACAGACATCCAAACACGCAGCCCACATGGCCAACTATGTTGTCTTACCGAAAACACCAGACACTTGTCCAAACCCATAAATACGGCACCGCCTGATTTTGTGTTTGTCGTCTTTCTAAAAGAGAGACAGACAGTGACTGTAGAACGCCATCGCCTATGCAAAAAGCAGAGCACATGCACCTATAGTATGCCATCCGGCGCCGCCATTGGCTTTTTGAATCCCCTTTTCCTGTATCCAGTTAGGGCCCGATGTGATTTCTTTCCCCGTGTTGGCTCTCTCTCCACCAGTCGAGTGTGGCGTAGTGTAGGGTAGAGTTGTACGCATACAGCGAGCGCCATGTAAAGAACCTATCCGATCCTCAGGGCGCCCTACGCCTTGAAGCGGAAGCCATCCCACTCATCTTGATCTTCATCCTCGTCATCGTCTTCATCTTCTTCACCGTCGTCTTCACCATCCCTATTGGCGAGATTCTCCTTGCCCTGGCCGGCTTTACTGTGTATACTACCATCAGCCGACGCCGCCGCCGCCGCCTTGAGGTTCATGACGCTCCCCTTGCGCAGCTCCTCGCGGCGCTCCTTGAGGCGGCGCACGCGGCCCTCGAGCTCCTCCATCTCCTCGAACTCGGCCTCGAGCTGGCGCGTCGCGTCCTCGCGCTCGTCGGCCATCTGCGCGTCGAGCGAGTGCTTGCGCCGCTCGTTCTCCTCCTCGTGCGACTTGGCGGCTACCTCGGCGGCCGTCAGGGCCGGCGCTGAGATTGTGTAAGCGTCCACGGCGTAGGTGTTGGGGTTGGACTGTAGGGGTGTGGCGGCGGCTTCCATCTCGGCCTCGAAGGCGGCCCATTCGGCTTCGTCGACGGTGGTGGTTGTGGTTGGTGGTGCTGAGGTTGGTGCGGTGGAGTTGGATGTGGTATTCGGGTGTTGCTGTACCGGCACGACGAGCGACTCGGTCGATATCGCCAGGCCCACCCCCTGACCCTGACCCGGACCCGTAGACGACGCAGCGGCGTCGGGCGCCGATCCGATCAGCAGCGAGCGGCCCACCGGCGCAATCTTCGGCACCGAGTTTGCGGAATTAGACCCTGCCAGCGGCGTGGCCGGCCGCGACGGTATCGCGATCTCGACGCCCTGCACGGGCGTGCCTGAGGTTCGTCTGCTCAGCACCGGCGGCGTCTGCGTCCTCTCCTTATCGCTGAACGCACCACCGCTGGAATGGCCATGGCCGTTGCTCGGTGGTGCGTCGACGTTGGTGTTATCGAGTCTGCTTCGCTTCTTCCGGATTGCCTCCTCGAAGTCCTCGTCCGCTTCCGATATCGACTCGTCCACGTCGTCGTGTTTCCGCTTGCCGTCTGCTGCAGGCGGGGTGGCTGCGGCGCCGGTGTTGGTGGTGCTGCTTTGTAGTGCTTGCAGCTTCTGGCGGTGGTTCGGGCTGCGCAGGTGGCCCTCCCATAGCGATTCGGTCTTCACGGGCTCGTGGCACAGCTTGCAGAGGAGCTTGCCGGCGTCTGAGTAGGCGGCGTGGGGATGCTTGATGCGGTGCTCGACCCGGTGGGCTCGCAGGAGAGTGCGGGCCTCGGTCATTGTGTGGGAGTTTGACGTCGAATTGTTCTTGAGGTTGGGAAGTTGAAGGTGCAGTGTGACGGAGCTTCAATGTTCAATGGCTGGTTGTGTTACTCAGGGGTGTTTGTTTAGTCTGTCGAATGGTGGAAGCATTGGCGTGGTGATGATCGATCGTCTGCTGTGGCTTTGGCCTCGTCTGGTGGGCTGAGATGACGGAGCTGTCGACATTCCAGCCACAGTTGGAATTGCGTGTGGGATTTGGAGATGGAGCTTGAGCTTGAGCTTAAGCTTGCAGCCCCGCGCCGCTAAAGTGGGCATCACCTAGGCGTGCCTCAAGGGTTCTCAACTTCTCCCTTCACTGTTCAGAACCCGACTGGCTGGGAGTTCCCATTTGGTGGAATCTCAAACACAAGCAGCAGCATGGCAACGATTTGACTTCAGACGACACACTAGTCCCTTCTGCGTATTTTCACTCCTCGATTGTCCTAACACCAATATGGAGGAGGAGCCGGTATCCTCCACCTGGCCTCTGCTGCCTCTGTTCTGGCAGAACTTCACACCCGAGAACACCGCGCGCATCGCCGACCTGAGAAAGGAGAAAGCCGACCAAGAAGGACACAGCGACCCGTCCAAAGTCCGCATCGAGAATCTGCCCCGAGAGCTGCGCTGTCTGCAGCCGCCGCAAGAGCCCGAGGACGGAGAATGGCGCGTCTTCGGCAACAAGTACACCCTGGTGGACGAGCTGCCGAAGCTCGAGGACATGGGCATCCAGCGCCTGTTCCCGAACCCCGAGGAGAGGGACCAGGACGGGAAGCACTTCGACCGCGCGACCATCCTCAAACGGTCGGCGAAGTCGCTGCTGCTCAACTTCTTGGAGCTCACCGGGCTGCTGGCTACGAACCCTGAGGCTGTACGTACAACTAAAATCGTCACCCCTTCATGCTACCTATTTGCGTTTTATCTCTCTTCCTCCTCCGGGCATTGTCTAACGCGACCATGACAGGCCGAGGAGAAGATCACCGATATTAGGGATATCCTCATCAACTTCCACCACCTGATCAACGAGTACCGCCCCCACCAGGCGCGCGAGTCGCTCATCTCGATGATGCAGGCACAGCTCGACCGCACGCGCGCCGAGACTAACGCCATCCGCGATGCCAAGGACAAGGCCGAGCGCATCCTGGAGGGTCTGGGCAGCCTGAAGATCGAGGACGTGGCCAGTGAGGCGGTGCCCGAGGGGAAGGATGTCTGGCGCGACGACCGCGAGGCTTGGGACGCGCTTGTCGGGGAATCTACGTCGTGAACTGTACGCCCACGGCTGGTTGGATTGAGTTGTGCCAGCTTTTGTCGAGGCGTTGGAAAAAGATTTGGGACGGACTCGCATGGATACGGCGTATTCGGTCAAAAACACATTTATGATACCCTAGATTTATCCCCAAGGCAAAGTCGCCTGGAGTCACTTCCATATATATATATTTCTCCATTCCACGTATCAGGAGCGGTATCTATGTGCTTGTGCCTTGTGATAGCGGTATCCAGAATAAGGACCAGGGTCACGAATGGTGGCTATTGGTCTGTATTCTGGAAGTTGCTTGATTGAAAGAAGGGATGGGTGGTGTCCCCATCCCAGAAGTAGCTGTCATCCCAGTTGGGTACAAATCAGGTACAAACGGGTACCCGTTGGGCTCCAAGGTACCTTGTATCCTGGTCCGTGACCCATCCGTCATTGTGGCTGGAAAATGGGTTGAGGAGCCACATGCTTACCTTCCGCGTGTGTTCTCGTAACCAGAGGACGGCCTCGCAAAGCAATGGTCCGCCATCCGCTAACGCCAGCTCGTTATTCGTCAGACCGCCACTTCCGTAACCCCCCTAGTCTTCTGCTGAAGCCAGTCCATAGGGTAGCCACCACCACCACTTCATCATTCTCCTCCATTGTAATCCACCATGTATGTCCTCGCTGCGAAGCCCTTACATGACCGTGCACGGGATCGGGATTTAGCAGCACGAAGCCGTCACATTCGATGCACCGCGTCTTGCCGCCGCCGCCCGTTGCCTCGGCCGGCTTGACGATGCTCTTCAAGGTCGACGACGCGGCGCTGCCGGGGCCGTTGTGGTTGACGCGCGCCGAGTGGGATGAGCCATTGTGAGAGTGGGATGTAGTAAGGTAGGTCGTAGTGTGTGTCTTAGGACTGGTCAGGACTGTGGTAACGGGTTAATAAGGTATAATATAATATAATATAATATAATTGAATAAAGGTGTTAATTAGCGGTATTTTTAACTCGGGTAGTAAAAATATTAAGCGGGGTAATTACTTTTACCAGTAATAAGTTGTTTATTTATACATTATTATTATCAAAACTGGGGTTTAAGTATTAAAAGAATATCAAAGGTAATTTGATAGCGATATAATTGAGAGACTTATACTTGTAAAAAAGGTAGATTTAAAGCTGTTGAACGGTTTTATTAATAAAGTTATTACCTGCTTTATAAGTTTCTTAGCTTGTTCCGGTTTACGTTACGCGTAGTTTAAAATGTAAAAGTTAATGCATTTAATTAAAACTTAACTATATAAGTAGTATAGATAAATAGGTGGTATTATTATTTAAAAGCAGGTGTTATTTATAAAATATGGCTTTTACCGGCTTAAAAAGATAGTTACGTAATAACGAGCTTTAATAGCTTAACAGCGGTTTAATTACTTGAATAATACTTAAAAATAGCTGGTATTACTACTTAAAAGTATGTATTATTTATAACGTTGTTTTATAACGAGTTAAACGACACCGCTTTTTTTTAAAGCGACTTTACTAGCTTTAACACAGGTTATATAATGTCGCTATATACATTATAACAGCGTGTACGAGCTTTATTTACACATTTTAAATTGGCGTTTTAACAGCGATGTAAATAAAAAATTTAAAAAGTTAAACGGCTAAATAAATCATTTATTATATAACTGTTAGATGTTAGATCCCAGATATGGTGCTCTTAGGTGCAGTACACGCTAGGAGGCTGCCAGGGGACCAGTGGATCCACCCTGGCATGGTGCAGTATGGTACTTAGCTGTAGATTAGCCCTGCCGAGCGTACTTGAGAATGACAACAACGTTTGCAGCGACCGCTCACACCACCAAGGCTTGTGACCCTTCTAGAATCTCACAATAACGTTTTTATTGTTGGATCCATGCGATTCCAGACTGCAAACCATCTATACCAGGACCCACATGTATGATTAGATAAGATAAGATAGTGGATTGAGAGGGCACTTGGCCAGACCTTCGAGTCCAGCTAGATTCCTCTCAATCCAACCATCAGCAACATCATGACCTTGACCCCATACTCGAGTATTATGATTGATCATTCAAGCCTGTTCCAACACTGATCAGTGTTGTCTCCCAAGGCAACACAGATAAGCAAGGAAAAGAAGAGGTCTTACTGTATCAACGTTCCTGATACGAGACTCGGGATACAGCTAAAGATCTGGATCTTCTGTCGCAAACGTTCCTCAAGAGGCGATTCGAGGCACAGCACGAGATCCGAGGTTTTCTACTGCAAGCGTTCCTCAAGAGGAGGCGACTCGAGGCAATAGATTACGCTGCAATCACAGCAATATTCACATCCCCGCGCGGCAGCACAGACTGTTGACAGAACCCTCCCCCACACATCCATCTGACGCGCCCGTCCGACACACGCCCATCCGACACATGCCAGATTGTTGACAGAACCACCTGACACACATCCATCCGACAAGCCCATCCCACACGCCTATCCCACACGCCCATCCGACACGTGCCCATCTGACACGTCCATCCGACACGTCCATCCGACACGTCCATCCGACACGCCCATATCCAACACAAGTACATCCGACACAAGTACATCCGACAAGATGGCCTCCAGCAATGGCAACAGCGAAATCCAAGTCGCTCAAGACCCTGCAGACATTGTGAGAGACGAGAAGCTACGATATCTCAGCGACCGCAACCTATATGTCAACCTTGTCGACCTCATTGATCTTGATCGCATCAAATTTAGAAAACAAGTCGACCTTGAATATGGCGAGGATACCCATTTCAACTCGTACACCTTGTCATGTATCGACCGCTACAACAATGCTAAGACGCCCGTCCCCTTCGAGATTCACAAGACATTCCAGATGGACTTTGAGAACTGGACAAAGGCAGACTTCAAGAAGGTTGAGCGCATTATACGAGGCATCTTCAGGAAATGCCTCAACTCCAAAGGAATCTACCTAGGCAAAACAAACCACTTCATCGCAGACGCCCTTGCTAACCTTGTCACTGCAGAAGACCTCCTAACCTGGGATAAAGTCTTACTTGACAGAACAAGAACTGCTTATCTGCACCCAAATGTCTGAAAAATCGTTAATGTCTGCATGGCTACACAGACTGATGCTCCCAATGCTGATACCACAGATTTGATTGATCCTCATGATGACATCCCTTCTGTTACCGCCGAACATGCATCACAAAAGACTACCCCTGATCTAAATCTAGCCCAGTACCGGAATCCCTCACCACCGCAAATCCCAACGGCATATGCAACCGGCAACTTCATGCCCAATCCTCGGCACATCGCTATCACACCAGACCCTGGCTTTGGAACATACCAGCAGCACAACCAATGGCTACAGAATCAACCACCTGATCCATATACCCAGATTCCCCCTATCCCAGTGCCCAACAAGGACCTAGTTCCTGGAACAATCGCAACATTTGCCAAGATCTGGAAAGAGAAGAACTGTTACCCAGGACGACCCTACGATATTCTGGATGACAAGATACACTACTTCCTAAACACATGTTCTACCATTGGCATCAAACCTGGCCAGTTCCACGCAGTATTCCCCCAAGTCCTCACTGGCACAGCTCAAGAATACTTCATGCACCATATCAGCCGTCACTCGATGTTCTCAGACATGTACAACCGTCTCAAGGCACATTTTGACACGGAAGTCAACAAGACTCAATATCATCGCGATTGGTCGGCAATCACCTATATCAACATGAAGGCACGACCTGACAACGCTAGCAAGACCAGCATAGAGATCCTCAAGGCACTCCTCAGCAAACTCAACTTTGCCAACGTGCCCTTGGCCCTTCGTACCTAGGCGAGACACAGCTGATCGCAGCTGTAGAACGCGCCTGCCGTGATATCAAAGTATTCAACTACGCCTTGTTCACTCCTTTACACACGTTTGAAGCTCTTGCTTCAAACCTCCGACAATCACTCCAAACCTCTGAAGACTCAGCTGACAGCGCCCAGCATACTACCAATCAATACTTTACTGATCGCAAGTTTCACCGGCGGAAAGACAAATATCAAGGCCCGTACAAGGTTCTATCGGTAACAGACCGAGAAGTGACCGTTGAGATGGTCAACAGACCAACCCTATTCAGCCGCACGCATGTCAAGCCCTACAACCGTCACCCTGATGCGACCCTCGATACTGAGAAGCCTGACGACCCCGATACTCCCGTTCCGTTCGAATATCCTGAACCGACACTCTCCCGTCGTCGCGGCCGCCCTCTGAAGCTCCCTATACCCGTCCAAAGCACGAAGCGAACGCGAGGCCGACCCAGAAAAATATACGTGGTACACATGGCTACTACGACTACAAGCGAAGAGGAGAACTTCGCTGGCTCCTTCGTCCAATAAGATGAATATGGCATTTTCCTCTTGCACAAGGAGCGTGCTGACCACGCTCTCGCCCTGAAACTGCGCACTGAAGGCAAGATCACAGCCCCTGGAGCACCCTTCGAGCAATCCGATGTCCTTGAGATTGAGTCTCTATTTGCCGATAAAGTGCTTGTCCCCATTCTGTTCGACAGCAAGATTTATAGCGACACCCAACTGTTTAACTCTCGTCTTGTCCGCACTGTTAAAGGCGTCAATGACCGCCCTTACGAGAAGAGCAGACTCGTCGTTCAAGGATATAACGATCATGAAAAGCACGATATTATGACCCAAGCTCCGACGATCATGCGATGCAGCCAACGACTGGCAATGGCCCTGACACCGTCCTTACGACGGCTAGGATGCCTCGCTGCCTCTCAAGACATCACCATGGCCTATACGCAGTCACGACACCCTATAAATCGTCTTGTCCTATGCAAGCTGCCCATTGAACTAAAGAAGAAGTATCCAGAGGGTACGATTCTTCGCGTCAACAAACCACTGTACGGAATCGCAGAAGCTGGGAATCATTGCCCTTCAAACTGACGACACCTTTGTCATTGGCACTACCGGCTTCTTAGAGAAGGAAGAAGACGAAACGAGGAAAGCGGGCTACAAGACGAAGCCACGAACCCAGTTTGATACTGGTTCTTCTGGCGACTTTAACGGATGCCGCCTAGAATTTCAGACTAAGAGCATGACAGCGACTCAAAAAGGACAAGCTGACAAGCTCGTCCTGATTGACATGAGTGACAAGGACTACAAGCAGAAATTTATTGAGCAATGAGCAAGAGGCGCTTACATTGCCTCTATCTGTCAACCAGAAGCTGCATTTGACTATTCTGTCGCAGCCCAAGCCCAAGAACCCTCTTACAAAGATGTCGAGATGTTAAATAAACGCATTCAATGGCAACTAGACAACAAGTCACGTGGACTTCGATTCGTAACGACTGACCTGTCTACTGCTAAACTTTTTGTGTTTGTTGACGGATCATTCGCCAACAACAAGGACCTATCATCACAGATCGGATTTGTTATCATCCTTGGGAATGAATCATCTGGCAATGACGAGACATTCACATTCAATCTGACCGGGAACATTGTTCATTGGTCCTCTATCAAATGCAAGAGAGTCACTCGGAGCGTTCTAGCTTCTGAAATCTATGGCATGGTTGCTGGCTATGACTACGGATACATGATCCACCGTACACTGGCAACTATCTGCCAACGCCTCGAAGTACCTTTGATCCCCCTGATCCTCTGCACGGACTCATACTCGCTATACCAGTGCCTTGTTAAGCTCGGTACTACCAATGGAAAGCGCCTGATGATCGACGTCATGGCGCTCCGGCAGTCATACGAGAATCATGAGATCACAGAAATCCGATGAATCCATGGTGAAAACAACCCTGCTGACTCGATGACCAAATCGTCTCCAAATAAAGCTCTTCATAGTCTTGTTTCTAATAACAAGACAACGGTTCGAGTTGAAGGCTGGGTTCAGCGTTGAGATCACCTGGAAAGACGGTTTGATAGAATCGCAACCATGAAAGAAAGAGTATCCTGTATTGGACCCATGCGATTCCAGACTGCAAACCATCTATACTAGGACCCACATGTATGATTAGATAAGATAAGATAGTGGATTGAGAGGGCACTTGGCCAGACCTTCGAGTCCAGCTAGATTCCTCTCAATCCAACCATCAGCAACATCATGACCTTGACCCCATACTCGAGTATTATGATTGATCGTTCAAGCCTGTTCCAACATTTATATAAATTTCGATTAAGTATATCTAGTAGTTATTTAATTATAAAGGTAAACGTCCGAAAATCTAGCATAAAACTAATCCATCTGATTAGTTAGTCCTAATTATAGCAGTACATTTGTATTAGAAAAGATTACGATTACCCAGCTGAGTCGTCATCGTGTGGGGAAGCTGCAGGTGGTGTGGCTGAGGCGCAGCTCCCCCTGTAATATGAGCAGGTGGAAATCACCGGATTCCCTGACTCCTCACCTGCGGGACTACAGCTTATCTCTGAGTCACATGAGAGATGTGTTTGTTACTTTATATAAAGAAGCTGGCTACTTGGCGATAGGAATGTAGGTACTGTGCAGTCACACAGCAGGCCGCAAGCAGACTGGACGGCCAGCACATCGATATCTACAGAGTATTTTGGAATTACTATTACAGTGAAGCACGGGAACCCAGCTGCGAGCCTCGGGTGATCTGAGAACTCGTTTGGTGAAGGAGGCTTTTGTTATAGAAGTCCTCCGTGGCCAGCCGCATCTTGAGATCTAGTTGTTTCCGCAATGGATATGCAGCAGCGCATGCCAGCCGGCCAGAACGGACTCTTGCAACTTCCCGAAGAGATCCTCCTCGACGTCTTCGACTATTTCGCGAAGCCTGCACGACAACTGCGCGAATCAGAGACATGGCGATACCCCGAAAATCTGCATCCCGGCGACTTCACTTGTCTGCAGAACGCTCGCTTGGCCTGCCGACGTCTGAGCGAGGTGGTCAGCCCTTTGCTGTGTCCTGTCGTCACAGTCGGCCTCAATTCCCAGTCGCTGCGCCGCGCCGACGAGTTGTCGCGCAGCGCGCTGATCGCCAAAGGCATTCGAGGCCTGGTGGTCAATTTGCGCTACCGATCAAGCAGCCTTGCTGCTGATCTTCGCCCGTATCATGCCCACGTCGCCGCGAAGATCGTCAGTGATGAGGCGGCGAGGTGCTACTACAACACCGAGTTCCAGTCTTACGAGGACGAAGACGAGTCACCAGAAGCCACCGCACACCGAGCTTACTTGGAAGCGGAAGATGTCTTCCAGCTCTACGCGAGGCATTGGCGGGAGCATGTCGAGCGAGCTCAACCGGAAAGGCCAGTGGACGTGCTGGACAACAGCAGCATAACCCAGGCGAGCCAGAGGTTACTCCAAGATTGTTTCAGCTCGTATGCCGAACAACACGAAGATCAGACGCGCATCATCTCTGATGGCTCCTTTGTCCACACCCTGGTAGGAATCATCTCAAGGCTCGAGAGCCCTCCGTTCATCTGGTTCTCAGACAAAGATCGATTCGAACACAGTTCTGCTCGCGATGTGTTGGAGTTGGCCAAGAATACACATAACCTTCGCCGGTACATGGAAGCCCCCCATGGCTGGCTGGCTATTGAGACCTTACGGGATATCGAAGTTGATCTGCTCCCTGCGAGGATCCTATCAGACCTGCCAATTGCGTGCCACAGGTCGGAGCTGCAGCTTCGAGGCGTGAGTGTGGGGTGTTTTCCGCTGACCAAAGGTTTCGAGTACCTACTGCCTGACGGGACAACGATGCATGATGATTCAAGTGCCTGGGATCGCCTTGCTGCTGCGTGCCAGGATCTCAAGATATTCCACTTCGGCATGAACGGCATGAACTGCACGCCGCATCGACCTGTCGACTTCACACCTTCACAACGGTGGTTGATCAACGGATTTATAAGCGCTGCCTGCTCCGGGCCAAACCTGGAACGCTTTTGTCTGAGCATGGCACCTTTCCGCGTGTGCGATGCTGGACGCACTTGGCTCGTACCCTCATCAGTACCTGACCAGAACTATCCCGCGGGCTCTATGCTCGCTAGCCTGACGTCCACCCGATTGACTCAGCTGTGGATCTTGTCCGTGCAGATCAGCGGCAACGAATTAGCAGCCGCAGTCGACAGACTCTCCAGCTCGGCACGGTTCGTATACCTGGCCGGTATCACGCTGGAGCAAGGACGATACGCGGACACCATGTCGGCGCTGCAACAGCAAACCGCGAGGGGTCGCTTGAGCGTTGAGCTTACCACTCTGCAAGGCGCGGAGTTCGGATCGGCCAGAGCCGCTCCCGATGACGGTCTCATGTGGGATTTGGATGAACAGGAAGCAGACACCTACTGGGAGAGTCTGGAGGAGCACATGAACCCTGTCCTGCTGAAGCGTTTGTTAGAGTGGATCCACGCTGGACATGGTGAGCCGAATCCTCTAGCCAACAGTCCGAGACCTTAGAAGCATTTCAAAGTAAGGCTACCTACCTTACATTGTAGTCGCAAGTTGGCTCGCACTTATTCCGTGGTATCCAGTCAGAATCTACCTCTAGTTCCTAGCTCCCTGGTTGCGGAAATGCGGCATCTCTGGTGCGCAAGGGCGATACTAAGCAAAAGGGATTGTCGGCTTTTGAGGAGATAGGTAATATAGTATCTACGGTATCGTGGATATATGTTACTGTCGTGGAACGGCGCTGTAATTGCTAGCTCCTCTATGGTGGCCCGAAATCCGGGCAACGAGCTAGCTTGCCATCGGTATTGGGCTGGCGGTATTCCGGGTGATGTCTTGGCATATGGTTTGGACGCGGGACAAAAGCAAAAAGCTCGATCGGCAGGAGGAGACTCAACTGCACGACGTGAACCAGCCTCAAGTCGCTCGCCCGCAAGCCATAAGCTAGGCTCTTGGCCTCTCCGGTGCCCAGGGTCCGCTTGCCTGTGCTCCGCAAGTCCTTCTGGCGCTCCCTCAAGGGTGTTTGTTACATTAGCTATGCAGTATAGTCATCCTCCAAATGCTTCATGTTCGGCTTGCCCTGCGCCTCGACCTCGCTGCCGTTCTCCAAGTTCATGACAAGCACCGGGTCGCGACCCGCCCAGCTCAAACTCGCAAACCGCACGCACTCATCCAGCACCTCGAGCCGCGTCTTGCGCTCCTCCTTGGAGAGCGCAATTTCGGGTATCTGCGTCCAGCCGTGCTTGCGATCCTCGTAGCGCATGGTCTTCATGTCCTTCGAGCGGCCCTCAGCCTCGACCTTCTTGGTCCAGATCTCGCTCTGCTCCCACAGCGTGTCGAGGCCCGACAAGATCAGCAGGATCTTGGCCTGCGCGTGTAGGTATTTACTCGTGTCCAGGAGTCCGGGCGAGGCGCGCGGATGCGCGGCTAGGTCGCGGCTGACGTACGTGGATGCGAGGTGGTCGTCGATGTCGATGCGCTTCTCCTTCGGTTTCAGCGGCTTCAGCCCCTCCCGGCGGAAGCGCTCGCTCGGCAGCTGGCGCAGATCCAGACTCGGGTACAGCAGCAGGAGCGGGATCTGCGAGGGGTAGTCTGGCGGAACCGGACATGGCCATTCTGGCATTCCGAGGCATGCCGGGACGTTGAGGGCCATGTTGAGGGCTATGTTGGCGCCGCTGCTGGCGCCGCTGAACGCTATCCGCGATGTGTCCAGGTGGACGGTTGGCGTCGGAGGCATGGGGACCTTGTCCTTCCTCCGCTCCTCCCGCGTGCCGAGCGACTCGTACCAGTGCGCGCGGAAGAAGTCGGGGATGGCCTGCCGAAGCACTGCGTAGCCGGGGTACGTAGGCTGGAACAGCGCCATCACTACATCTTCGGCATCCTCAAGCGGCGCGGGGAACTTGTCGAACGGCGCGAGCCGGTAGTCGACGCCGATCACGATGGCCTCCAGCTCACGGCAGAGCTTTGCGCAGAACGGCGCCTGCTCGAGGCACGAGCCGAGGTAGAATCCTCCGCCGTGGTAGTCCATGACGACCGGGAACGAGTTCGGGGTCGGCTCGACGCTGTCGGAACCCGGCGGTGGGAACCGCACCGGGGGGATGAAGACGTAGAGAGTGATGTTCCGGCCCGGTTGCCGTGAGGGCAGATCGAGCTTGAAGGGCTGCGGGCCGTTGGGGTTCGTGATGTACAAGGCCTCCATCGGAACGGCCCGCGGTAATTGTACCAGGGCGGTCTTCCACAGCGTCTTCCATGATTTTTTGTTGGTGAGGCCTTCGCGCTGCAGGTGACCCCACGCTTTCTCCATGGCCGGCACGGGTCCCGGGAAGTCTCAATGGAGTCGAAGTGATCGCGGATGGTGCCGGTGTTCAACGTGGGCTACGTTTTGATGGATTTGAAGCCCTGGCTGCTTGTCTTGTGTGTCGCAAGATCTAGTGACGCAATCCGGAGCCTCCGGTAGGTTGAGATGTGTGATGCATATGCACGCCGGAGCTCTGACCGACATTTAAGTTGGCACGTACCCGACCGTGAAGGCTCTCGTTCTATGCGCTGGAGTAGTCGTCATGACTCATACTAAGCATTAGAAGGCTACTCGTTTGGGTTTAATCTCGACCCTAGACTAAGTAATCGAGGTTACTTAGACGCGCCCGCCGCCCAAGCACTAAATGGAGTATTTACAACTCTTTTGCGAATCAATAGCAATTTGCTAATCGACGACCCAGACTGAAGGATTGTCCCCGCCCCCCTCTCCCTCCCCCTCCCCCAATCCGTTAGTCTGAAGGTGGCCATCACACCCGGACGAGTAACATTTAGGTCAAAACAAAGCTGGGCGCATACGGCTCTCCTAGACTGTTGCTTTAGGGTTTGAGACCGCATTGCAACAGCGGGAGCACGGACGACATGCAGGACCCTGGCGCAGGGCGGTACATTGGGTCATGGCCTACGAGAGGCCAAGCAGTCAGTTCCATGCGCGGGCGCCAATGTTGCTGGGCCAGACATCGAAGGCATATGCCAAGCAGGATCAAAATGGGGCGTCCTTGTGCGACAGGTGTTAGATAATCCGAGACATGCATTCCAGAATAGACTTCACGCCTTGAGCGGTATGGGAGCCGACCACAAAGCATGTTGCCACATGGACACAGCCTAGGTAGTATATATAAGATATATATGTCCAATGAGCCCCTCACATCATCCGATCATAGCGCAGCAGCGACACCCAAGGCCACACCAACCGCCAAGCCAGCCATCGCCTTGCCAGTCACCATAGGGCTAAAAGCACCACCAGAGCTCGTGCTGCTAGATGCGGCATCGCTGCTCGCCGTTCCGGTCTCTTTCGTCGCGGTCCCCGTCGTCTTAGCCGCGCCTCCACTCGTGGTGGTACCCGTCGCACTACCCGTCGCGCCACCCAGCACGCTCGACTCGACGGCCTTGTACTGGCCCAGGTAGCTCGCGAAGGCGGTCTGGGCGCTGGCGGGCACGCCGGACTTGTACCAGTCGGCGGTGGTGTAGGGGGCGTTGACGGCGCCGACGCCCTCGATCTGCGAGAAGATGGCGTCCGAGTCGGACGCCGTCGCGGCCGCCATGTAGACTGCGTCGGCGACGCTCTTGTAGGCCGCGTCGGTCACGAGGGTTTCCTCGTAGCTGTAGACGGCGCTGGCGAGCGAGGTCGCCACGGCGCCTGTGGCTTTTGTGGGGATATTGGTCCCGTAGATGCCCGCGAGCACTTCGGAGGCGGGGACCGAGCTGGGTAGGGTGTACCCGGAGTTGTCGGCGTCAGTGGACTGGTCCTGCGGCCGCGCGAGTGCCAGGGGCGCCATGGTGGCGGCGAGGGCGAGGAGGGTGAGGCTTTGCATGGTGACTGGTGGTGTGGAGATGAGATGAGATGACGGGTCTGGTTATGTGGGCTTGTCGGTCGATGTGAACCGTGAACGAGCGTGTGGAGCAAGAAGCGTGAATAGGTATGTCAAGAAACGACTGTGGTGGCGGCGGACTGACTGCCTTGTGGTTATGGTTATATACACGAGAGGACTGGAGAGAAGAAAGAGCGGGAGGGGAAGATCAGGGAAGATGGGCTGCGGAAATTGTATTTCTGCTATTCTGGGCTGGGCTGAGCCGATGAGCTGACCTCGTTCACCCCCTGATCCTCGGGGGCCCAGACAGACTCGGAGACACTACCTGAACCTGGCCACCGGCGCAGATTCTTATTCGCCCTGCAATTTGCAATTTCCAAGCTAGAGACTGCTAGAGGTCTAGGCTCAGCCTGAACTGCCCGATGAAAAATGGTACGGGGAAGATGAACTAGTTTGGCGGGGCGATGCTATAAATATGTCCCCTTAAGTAGGATGTAGTTAGCCTATACACGGCGCGCACGGCCACATCGTTCCACCTGTTCTGCCTGTTCGTATGAAGCAAAGAGTTGCCAGAGAAAACCATGAGCAATTCAAACCATCATAGAATATCATGGATGACTTTCGTTGTCGAGATTGGCACTCGCGTATGCTAGCTGAGGTGTATGAACTCGTTCCGGATCACTAGACACTAAGTACCCAAGAGTCGACTCTCAGCAGCGTATGGCCAGCCACTAACTATTTCCCTCCCCAAACCTTCTTGAGGAAGTCCTCGACCTGGGTGAACTTGTAGTCCGGCAAGATCCTGTTCCAATCATCCGTGACATCGTAAGCCCCGCGCCCAACCGCAACCAAGATCCCTCGGGTGGCCATTTTCACGAACGCCTGCGCCTGCTCGGGCGTCATTGAGCGCAGGTCGATCTCAACGGCACCACCAGTGTCCGCCTTCGGGTTGGGGGGCTCGGTCTTGACGTCTTCCTTCTTGAGCCATTCAATCGTGAAGGGCTTGCCTTTGGACAACTATTAGCGGCGGTCCGGGTCCGTTTGGCAAGCAGGAGAATTACCCATTGCCTCTCCCAGTCGAAGCATCTCTCGCATCGTCACCGGGCTCCCTCTAATGCCGCCGACGGCGGGCCATTCGCCCTCGTACTCGACGGCTCGAGCGACAACGCCGGCGATGTCTTGGACCGTCGTCCACACAATGACATCGTCGAGCGAGCCTTCAAGCAGAGTGGCGTGTTGCTTCTCGAAGTCGAACGCGAATGGCAGCGTGGCGACATGTGTTGACGTCTGGTGCGGGTGCCCAAGATAGTTCATGAAAGCACCGATTTGAAACCTGGTGTACTCGATGACCTTGAAAATTTACTTAGCGACGAGGATTTACAGCGAAAATGTAGTGCAATGGAAGATACATACCTTCTTCTCCTTGTTGAGGTTCTCGAGGTAGCGGGTTATCTCGATCTTGCCGGCGTACCATGCCATGGCGTCGAGCGAGGACTCCAACTTGACGCCACTAGGTGGTACTCATTAGCATGATGTATACGACGTCCTGGCACCGGATACCAGAATCGAGAGGCTGTTTGAAAGGGTAGAGTTGCCTACGTTGCTCACTCTGACGGAGCGAAGCGCTTCACGCCAGCCTCGACTGCAGCATCGATGAGTCGCTTCTGCTTGACACTACCGTGGTCAAGGTTGACAGGCCAAAAGCACAGAACGACTTCAACGCCTTTGAACAGGCGGACTAGGTCTGCCTTGTCTTCGTACGTGGTCTGTACCCATTGAACGCCGGGCAGTGAAGGGTATTGGGCAGGATCCTGTGACCCCTGAGTCAGCTTGTATTCCGCATGAAGTGGAGGGGTCTCGTGGTCGGTCACCTTTCGGACTAGACCGATGACCTCGTGCTTTTTGGTCGCTACCAAGCTGTCGATGACTTCTCTGGCCAGCTCTGGAGTTGTCGGTTAGTCAAGGTACCAAACGGATCAGTCCGGAAATGAAGAAACATGAGATACCCACGACTTGAAGCCGCGGCGATTGCAATTTTGACCATGGTGACGTGTAGATTTCGGGGTCAGGGCGGCTGATGAAGCTTCAAAGCTGGTTTCTGGAGTACTGTTGTTATTGAGGTTTGGTATTGGGACTGCTGTTGAGAAGCCTGTTTGACTCTTACATCTGAAAGACCTCCATACTTATAGAGCTTCTCACCCCGAGTCACCCGGTCGATGAAGCGCAAAGGCGGCGCAACGTCGGGGACATGGCGAGATTGATGGCCATACAGGCCCATACTCCGGCTGGTTCACATAAGTTACCGAAAGCATGGAGCGATATGCTTCGGAGAGCTGGAGATGCCTTCACAACCTACCTAGGTACCTAAGGTGAGTTTCCGGGCACGGGCGGTTATGTGAGCGAGCGAACGGGAATAGCGCCGTGCCAAGCCGCACACGTAACCGCCCCTGCCCACCGGAGCGGGAGTGCCGATCCTGACAAATCCGATTCGTGGCCCGGTCCTCCATCAGACGGTTACATAACTGGCAGAGTAACCGTCCCCAATCATGTCGAAGTAGCCCAACCAGTATAGATCGGTTCTTTCCAATCGCTAGGCAGAAATGACAACCAATGCAGACGATTCACTCCGGGTAAGCCCCAGTCCATTCTCCCCGCCTTCCCACCACATCACCACACCACCCGACTGACCGGCCCAACAGCGTCGCCGCGAACGGGGCCGTCGGTCCCAAGCCGGCTTCCGCAAGCGCCAAGCCGAGTCCTACCAGCAGATGCGGGAGGAGAACGAGCGACTGAAAAGCGCGATTGAGAAACTCGTCAGCTCCATGCGGGGTGACGAGGACCCGGAGCTGCTAGAGACGATCTGCGATGTCGCCGAGGCGGCAGGCATCGAGGCCGCTCACAGACCTACTACGCAGAGTGACATGGTCCAGCTACGGCCGCGACATGTGGACCCAAGGAGTCAAGGCAAGGTGCTCATGACGGCTCCCAGAGGCGACGAGGACATAACCATCACGGCCGCGACGGGGGAGTACACCGTCAGAGCAGCCGACGAACTCCCAGCCGCCACCACCATTACCGACAACGCAGACTCACCCTTATCCTCACCCTCATCCTCCCCACCCACAACCACAACCTCCACCTCCACCTCCCCGCCCCTCCTGACGTGCGGCATATGGTTCGACCACCTGCACTATATGCGCATCACAATCCCTCCCGACGACATCCTGCCCTACCTAGGCGCCGGCGCCCAGACCTTCGCGGGCGTGCTCTTCTGGTCGCTGATGGACCTCGCGCAGAAGGGGTTCGTCTCGGACGACGCCGCCGCCGCCCGGACCAACGCCGTCGTCGTGCGCCGGGGCCTGGGCCACGCCGAGGCGACGGCGGGCTGGGAGGTGCGGCACGTGCGGGCCATGGTCGAGTCGCGCCAAGAGTACAAGCGCACGGGATCCATCAGTCCGCGGTACGCGGCCGTGGCCGAGCCGGACCTGGGCATCGCGGTGCGCGACGCCATCAGCGCCGAGTACCGCGGCCGCGGGCTCGACCCGGACCGGTTCGTGTCAACGCTGGGGGTCGAGAAGCGGGTCCGGGGCATGGTTGGGGGCCGCACGTTTGCCGTCTTGGAGGCGGCGGCGCGCGGAGGGGTCGATCCCGCGCTGTGCAGGTTGTTCGAGAGGGATGTCAAGGGCAGGCTTTATGAGACGGCTATCTGCTTTGGGGATGGGCCGCGGTGGAGTGTCGATATTGTGGATGGGATTTTCCTTAGTTGGTTTCATCAGTCTCTGGGGTTTACTTTCCCATGATGTTTGGGGATCTGGTTTTGCTTCTATGGTTGGTTGCATTGGGCGTCTGGAACAAGCTGTTGATCTGCCTGTGATACTGGAGAAGCTTATTGCTGTATACAAGAGATGCATTGCTACTCTAGAGCGGCAGTTGAACCGTGCGAGTCGAACATATCCTATGTTCTTGGACCACGAGTTCCAAGCGAGACTCTGCCCTCATGTAGTACACCCCCAAAGAATGCCCTTGTGAGCCTTCATCGTTGACCTTGAACCGGTTTGCATCATGGATCATAGGGCGACAAGGCTCTACGACCTGTCAAAGGAACGCCGCCCTTCTCTGTAACGAGGATCGGGTCCTCGAGCCGCACGCCAAAGCCTGTCGTCTTCCCTACCTCCCCTGCCTGCTCCGTAGTCACGTAAATACCCTGGAAGAACGGCAGTTAGCATGCTTTACAGTACCCAGGTGCTCAGAATGACATACCGGCTCATTGGTGGCGACTTCGCCGACCTTCAGCTTCTCGCTATTCGCACCATTCAGGTAGGGGTGCTCGTGCATCTCCAATCCGAGACCGTGGCCCAGCCGATGCGGATAATACGGCCCATAGCCCGCTTTGGCAACGACGTCTCTCGACGCAGCATCGACCTCAGAACACGTCTCATTCGGCCACATACGATCAAACCCGGCCGACTGGGCCAACTTCACCGTTTCCCAGATGCCTGTGAGATGACTGCTGACTTTGGCCCCGGACGGCAGAATGGTCCTCGTAACATCACTGCCGTAGCCGTGGAGGCTGGACCCAATATCAATGAGCACGAACTCGCCATCGCGCAGAGTCTTCCCGTATTTCCCACCATGGGGAGCGGAAGCCTGATCCCCAAACAGTACGATGGCCCAGAACCCCTCGCCCACTCCGGCGCGCGAGAACAGGGCCTGCGCGGAGCTCAGCACGGTCTCCTGCGTCACGCCCAAGACGATGCACTTCTGCAGCGAGCGGATTAAATTGAGTGTGAACGCGTTGATGCCCTTGAGGATCGCGATCTCGGCCCCGGTCTTGACGGCGCGCAGCGCCTGTACCGTCTCGGACATGGGCACGACGGCGACGCCGGCGGCCTGCAGGCCGGCCGCGATCATGTACCGCGCGTGCTCGTCGACCATGACCTTGGTGAACTTCGTCTCGCGCGCCAGAGCGTCGTACGGCGACTCCTCCTCGGCCCACGCGATCACCTTCGCGCCGTCGAACACCATGTCCAGACCGGCGATGCGTCCGGTCTCGAACTGGGGCACCAGGTACGCGAACCCGCCGTCCGCGCCGACGAGCATCAGGAACGGCCGCTCCGACAGCTCGAACGAAGCCGAGATGTTGGCGTAGTACGCCGACGAGGCCGACGGCTCCGCGACGAAGGCGTCGACGCCGGCTTCGGCTAGGGCGCTTGCTAGCCGGTGCTGGCGGGCGAGGAACTCGGCGCGCTCGATCGGCGCGACGGAGAGGAGCGGGATGCTGGATTGCAGAGTCGCCCAGGCGCATGTTTCGAGCGAGGTTTGTGAAGTGGGATCTTCATCGTCGTTGTCGTCGCCTAGTAGGTTGAATGCGCAGTACAGGGCGACGGCGCACAGGAAGAAACATGGCAACAGGACCTGGAGGATGACGCGTATCGCGCCGCGCTGGGCGCGTGTGCGGCGGCTGTGCTTGCCGTTGACGGCATTGCTACTGTCAATTTCTCGCGGTGCGAGCAAGGCTTGTTTCTCGTGGCGACCGGGCGTCATGGCTTCTGATATAGGTATCTAGATATGATGTAAGGGGCAGCTGTACGGTCCGGGAGGCAGAAGCGATTACCGACCGAGGTTGGTAGCGATATCGCTCGGGTGGGGTCTCCGCCAAGAAAGTGGCACCAGCTGGCAAAGTAGGTAGATTAGGTAGGTAGTCTTCATTGCGGACCCCTGGTGTAAGAGGACGTCGGAGTGATCACAAACCAGGCTCATAAGCGCCGAAGACTCAGGCAGCGCAAACAAAGGCCGCGTTTACATAAACGCGGGTCTTTGCAAGAGCCTGTGGTGCGTACGGGCGTTTGACAAGCGACATACTGATCTTCATCGAGCAGTTCCTTGGGCGGATGGTACTTGTGAAGACGGCCCAGACAGAGGACGAGGCGGCTGCGCTGACCGACAGCCCGACGCACAGCCTAGCTGCTTGGCCTCCCCCCTTAATGATTGTAGTCTTGGATCAAGATATATTGAGAATATATGTATATTATAAAACATTAATGTCGTGCGTGGTAGCAGGATAACATTACAATCCATATATCTATACAACGCTATCAAGGCATGGCTGTGCCAACTTGAGACAACCATGCATTGAACAACGCCACGCTATAAGGTACAAGTTTGCTGATTTCCAGGGATATCGTTTAATCATGTTCTCGGGATGTAGATGGTCGTAACCATGCTCAGATGTCCTTGCGGGCATGTTTGCTGTGATTCTTGCGTAACGTCGCGCCATACTGCAAGGTACGTCAGTCATTGAAACAACATGCGCGGATGGAAGTAAACTCACCTTGTAAAGTATGAGAGGAATAGGAATGAACGCTATCGACAGGAACGCAAGCGTACTGGAAGCCCAGTTCACGCCTAGATTGCCGTACATAGCGCTAGCGAAGAGCGGGAAGCCCGCGCCGAAGCTCGACCGCATGAAGTCGTTGCCGGCGAGCACAGAGGCAGCCTCCGCAGGGTAGGCATCCGGCAGGTAGTTCAAGACGCTGTTGAAGAGCAGGAAGGTGCCGATCGAGAAGAAGGATGTACCGATGATGGGTACGATCCAATGGACGCTCTCTCGGGAAGTCCAGCCGAACCAGAAGAGGCAGATAGGTATGCAGAATGCCCCGACGAATGCTGGTTTCAGGCGCTGCTCTGGCTCAAGGTTGCCGTTCTCGTCGAATTTCGGCTCGAGTTTGTAGTGCAGGTACAGGAAGAATGGCGGGATGACGGCGAATGCGCCGACGAGGATTCCGAGGTAGGCCAAGCCTTCCTCGCCGAGGGTAAAGCCGTAGATCCCGATGAAGACGGTGACGAAGGACTCGAACCAGATGTATAGCAAGCTGTAGATGAGCGCAATGTAGAGGTTGAGCAGGAAGACCATGGGTTCGGTGAAGTTGAGCGTGATGGGCTTGACGAGGGACATCATAATGATATCCTTGGGCTTCATCTGCGCGGCCTGGGGTTCCGGCTCGCAGGTGAGCTTGTCGTCGCCAGTGATCTTGCGCAGGCGCTTCGTGCGGCGGAACAGGATGTTGTTTGCGGACATCTCGGGCATGAAGAAGAACAGGAACACAAAGCAGAAGGCCGAAAGCCACATGAGTTCCCAGATCGGCCAGGTCCACGGCGCTGTAAAGCCGCCGAAGCCCACGGGGGCGAGTTGGACGGCAAAGCCACCGATGAGCGGTCCTAAAGTTGGTCCGCATACTGCTGCAATACCCCAGATGCCCATGGCGTATGCTCGTTTCTGCGGACCGTAGATGTCGGCCAGGGATGCGCCACCAGTAGCCAGTACCGGTGAACCGAAGAACCCGGTCAAGAATCGGAAGGCCAGGAGCATGCCGAAGTTCGATGCGAGCGCTGTTGGTGTTTGGAAGGCAACAAATACGAGAAGCGTACCCTGGTAGATCGGATTGCGTCCAATCTGCGGAATCTCACTCATGGGACTCCACAGCATGGGTCCCAAACCGTAGCCAGCGACGAACAATGTCAGACCGAGAGTTGCAGCAACTCGTGATACGCCGAATATGGCCATGATATTCTCTTCTCCAGCGGAGTAGATGGAGGACCCGATGTACACCGAGGTGGTCAGGAGGCATAGTTCAGCAGTGACGACTACTTTCTTGAACGTCGACCAGTTGATAGGGTTCTCTGGGTCGTCGGGGCCGTACTAAGATACCAGGTGCAGGTCCTTGCCCTTCTCCGGGTCGACCTTCATTCCACTTGCTTTGTTGACTCCCTCGTTTCCTTCCTTGTCGACCATCGTCCCAGACGAGCTGTCTGAGTTTGACCTGAACTGATCGTCTCTTGTCCGTACTCCACCAATGCCCTCCATGTTGGTGCCATCTTCCGGTGGGTTGGTGTCTCCGTGATGCGCAAGGTGCCCGGATTTCTTCTCGTCGATGTAGCGAGTCCATATCGAAGGATCCGCCTCTTCCTGGTACTTCAAATATTTGCCTCGTGATACGAGGCGGACGAGATGCCCGAAGGCTGTATCACGGATGAGCTCCGTCATATTGTTGATGCCATGCGACAGCAGTAGTAGAGACGGATGCAGTGGATGCTCTTCCAACCAAAATAGGGAACAACAGACTACTTAAAGCCAGTCACCCACCGCATCCACAGAAGGGGCTCAACGGACCATCCGTGGTACCTAATGTCGACTTTTAGACTCCAGACTAAGCAACGTTCTCCCGATCCGTGTCCCGAGAGAGCCCAGCCTCCTCTTCATTTTCATGGTGAGGCTCTCTCATGTCACCGCGGTGTATGATGGTGGTGAGCTACCCTCGGGACTGTGTCACGGAAAAGGAAGTCGAAACTGCGAGCCACGGAATTCATCGCGGACAGCGATGAATTGTGGCTCTGTCCGCGGCTTTCGGTTCACGGGATAAGGTCACTGAGTCTAACGGGAAGATCCTGTCTCCTACGTACCAGCAAACGTGCAGGAGAGTATCAACAACATGAACAACACAGGCTCGTCAAACGAGGTTGCACCTTTCACTGGCGGCAGTAGCTCCTGTCAGGAGCGAGTCCACAATTCCGCAGCACACAGCGGCCGGGCCCGGAGCCGGGCGACGGATCCGAGCTCGATGACGTTGATACTTCCCAGAAAGAGTCAGAGCAAGATCCACCGCGGACGCGCACTCCCGCTGGTATTCCACCCATGCCAAACGGAGGTGCGCTAGGCCCTCATGGGATGGATAGTAACGACAGAAATGAAGCGCCATGCTTCTTTTTGCACGTCGATAACCCCCTTGTGGACGATACTCAAGGTAGCTCTGGCGCCGCGAATGCACCCCAGGCGCTCAACACGTGGTACGCCAGGCTTTGCGCCGTCGTCTAGCGGTAGCGGCGGCACTCTAGGACGTGAGATCATTAGGAGTGGTACAGATCATAGTCTACCAGCAGAGTCGACCCATTACCTGTTCGGGCGAAGAAGCTAGTCATGACTCATGAGGCCGGCGGGTTCGCAGCCATTGTGGACGAACAACTCTTTGGGAGACCAATGACGACGGTGCCACGCCGTACTTGATCAGATTATACGACACACACTGGCATTGGGACCATCAAGCTCGACTCAACGTTACCACTGAATAGTCATCAGGACCAATTTCACCATTGACGACGCGAGGCCAAACAAATCGATTCTGCGATTTACCAGAAACTAATCTGGCCATGTAACAGCACGAGAATGCAAGTACACAGTATGGACCTGCAGGGTTGCTACGAGAAGAGAACACGGGCCAATCTTATGAACCGTTGGGGATACCCATGATATGTGTACATTCATGTAGAGTATTCTTCCTCATCAGTCCGCGGAACCTTCAGGCTTCAGACCGGCTTCCTTCTCTGGCGTCAGTTCCTCGATGCACTTCACCGACGTGACGAGGTCAAAGCCGCACGCAACCACCAGGAGGAGTTGAGACGATTGATCGTTGGGTAGAGGAGAGAAGGCTGGCGGTGATTTGCGCGTTGTTGGTAAATGTAAGGAATCAGAGTGTGGACTGGTTTTGGTTGAAGTGGAGAGAACTGATGCTTAGATTGAGGGAGAGACGGCAGTCTATGTAGAACTATGAACCATGTAGCTCGCAGCCTACAATTGCCGTCGTAAGATTCTGATGCGCTTGTATGAGAGCCTTTTGGTCGCGCTAGGAGCATATTGCCTAGATGTGAATTCTCTTCCACGCTTTTTCACTTTCTTGAACCAGGTTCAATTCGCAATACTCGTATGAATCGACAGGCTCGCAGCACGCTTGTCTCTAACAGGTGGCCTGCATCCTCAGTCAGTCTGCAGTGTGTACAGGTGTTTTACTGTCTTTGCTAACGAACTTTGCATATCTTCATTGCGAGGTCAAGGAGAGCATTGTCGAGAACCGAAGCGTTGAATGCAAGCAGCGTTCCGGAGAGCAGAGTTAAAACGTTGCGGAGAGCAGAGTTGAGCGTGGCGGAGGAGTAAAGTTGAAGCATTGCGGAGAGTAGAATTGGAAAAGGCAGGGTCGCGGAAAGGCGCGTTGTGGAATGGCGCGTTGCAAAAAGTCGTGTCGCAAACAGCCGCGTCGAGGAGAGCCGCGTTTAAAAAAGCCGCGTCGAGAAAGCCGCGTCGAGAAAGCAGCGTTAAGGAAAGCAGCGTTAAGGAAAGCAGCGTTAAGGAAAGCAGCGTTAAGGAAAGCAGCGTTAAGGAAAGCAGCGTTAAGGAAAGCAGCGTTAAGGAAAGCAGCGTTAAGGAAAGCAGTGCTGAGGAGAGCAATGTTAAAGAAATCAGTGTTGAACTGAGAAGCGTGAAATAAGAGGCGTGTAAAAGTTCTCCAATCCAGCGTGATTTTCGAGTGAGAAGTAGTAAGACAATTCAGCTTGGGGGCTTGTTTGTTATGGTGGATGCTCCGTTACCACATTGATACCTGGCTTATAAGTTGATGCCTGATTTACAAGTTAATGCCTTATTTATGAATTGATGCCTTGCCTGTTAACAGGCGATGTTATACATGTATGGCATAATCGCAGTGTCAGTCGCTGCTACCAGCTAACGGCGGGAACCCAAATTTTTTCGTAAGGCCTATTATCGCTGAAAAGTACTTAAATCGAATTTTTTTTGCAAGATAGACGGCATTATAATGCGCTTAACAGACATAGTATAAAAAGGGCATTTTTATGCTTAAAAGTTAAGCCCTCTTTAAGAAAAAAAGGTGGTTTTAAAAATTTTATATTAAGAAAAGGCCGGCTATGCGCTAACTTATAGCAGCATTAAGTTTATTATTTACTGGATTTTAAAATTTAAAAGAGAATTAGATTATTTAAAAAGCTATTATATGCAAAGCTTTATCTGCTAGGACTAAGAGATTAAGACTAAAATAGGTTAAAAGCTTAAGTATAAGAATATTAACGTTGCTACGTTTAAGAACGTAAATGCGTTTTACGATCTTTATAAAGAGGTTTTTTTTATTAAACTTAAAAACCGGGCAAATGTCGATAAGGACGGCATTATATATTGGTTGACAGTATGTAAATTGTTTATTTAAAGTGGATTCTAGACGGTTAGCCGAGAAATTATAGGTTTAATAGCTTTAGAATAAGTAGTTTTAGCTTAAAAGTAGCTAACGTTAAGTTTAACAACGACTATATATAAACTATAGTAGTAAAACCGATTGCTGCTACTAGGAAAAAGTTCTAGCCGTTTGTTATGTTTAAAGCGAAATCGATATAAACATAGTGGTTTAAAAACAGTTTGTTAAAGAATATTTTGCAATAGTAAAATAGTTTATAACGTATTTTATTAACCGCTAGTTCTCAAACGAGATTGCGCTGTAATAGCTTAAGGTTTTTTTTTCCAATTGTCACAGGGCAGCTTGGAGACCAGGACGAAAGTGCCCATCAATATCTCTAATTGTACAAAAATACTTTGGTGAAGAAGAGAAGAGAGATCTGCAGCACCGGCCAAATCTGGTGGGGTGATAGATCTTGAATCCCGACCCACAATTATCCCTCTATCTGTGTAGTAGGGCAACGCGTCTACACCACCAAACCACCTGATGGGTGTTAGATCCGTCATATTAATGGCGTTAACTATATGCTAATTAAGCCCTAGATTTAGTTACTTAATATAGCTTTTAAAGATCAGAAAGATTTTTACTTTTAATATTAAATAGTTATAGCAGCTATTGCTTAGATAAGTTTATATATGTTTATTTTATAAATAACGTATAACGTAGATAACAAGTGAGCGGCAATTACAAGCAAACGGCAACTTCTTACTAACCTTCCAACTGCAATGTCAAATAACTTAATCACAACGCATTCAATTCAATTCAATCAGTCAGATTCCTCTTTTTCAGACATTTCTATCTCTATTGTACAAGCTCGCGCATTACGGCCAGTGTTGCTGCAAACGCCACATTGTCACTCACGCGCTGCTGCCCTCCTTGGATGACGACTACCTTCACCTGTGACGGTCTGACCTCCTGGAAGTCTGTCAACCCATCAGGGTGGCCTGTGCGCAGCATCACATGACCTGGCGCACAAGACGTGTGGCCACAACTGTACTAGGCTAGGTAATAGTGGGGCGGATGGAAGGATCATTAATCCCACCAGAATTGGCTGGCGGGTCAGATCCTTCTTTCCCTCCCCACCAAGAGATTCTTACACGTAGGTAGTGCAATCAGGACTTTTATGTCCTCATCCTATTTACGCTTCGTGACATCACCCATTTCCTGTCTTGCCAGCTCAGCACTATCCTTTGCAGCCTGAAGACTTATTGTATCTTTAATAAAAAGTATTCCTTTTTTTATTAGACATTTGGTTTTTGTTCTCTGATATTTATTTAATAAGTGATTGGCCTCCTCTAGCTCGCGGACCTGGGAATTAACCAAAGTGACCTTGTGCATAAGTAAAAATAAGCTTAACGGATCAATTATTGATGTAGGTGAGCTTCCCTAGTGGTTTCTAACTCGATTTTAGATATAAACCGATTGGTTTACCGCTTCATTAATGGTGGTAGGCGTCTCTGATGTCCAAATAGTAGGTGGCAAATTAGGGTCTGGCAACGGTGTTTGTACAATAGTGACAGCATCCAGCTTTAAAATGACACTTTCTGGGTCAAAAGGAACAAGCCCAGTGGCACTGAAACCTGTTCAGATATTTCTTAGCGTCATAGCAGCGTTATGTGCTTCACAAAATGCTGTAAGAAAGTCCTCTTTTGAAACAGGGGTTATATGATACCGGATGAGATCCTCAATTATGCGACCATAAGCCCGTTTGAGTGGGCTAAAACTGTTGAATAGGAGCCAGAGATAGACACCGGAAGATCTCCAGTGGGGCAGAGACGTACAGGGCATCTGACCCACCAAGAAGACAGATAATCAATCTCTGCACACAGAGCACAACAATCAATAGAATCAATCATCATCAGTGTATTCAACAATACACGTCTGGATCTTTGTTTAAGATACTCTTCTAGTCCATCTTTCGATGAAAATGCGTCCAAAGGCCAGGTGTGTGTTTAATAAAGTTATGCGTCTAGTT